TCGGCCTGTTGTACCACGTTCTAGGGCTTTAGCAGTTGCTGAGATGAAGTGTTGCTGTATATTTGGGAGGGGGGGGATTGGGCGTCCTCCCCCCCTTCCCAGGCCCCTTCTCAGGGGCGTAGGCGAGGCCGGAGGTCTCCTTGGAGGAGTCTCCATGGAAGGAATTTAGCTTATTAAGCGAGAGTAAGAGAGATTGAGCGTTTTAGAACAAAAAATTCAATCTACGAAAAAAGGTGATGGTTGTCTTACCACTTACAGTACATGAGTATGATGAATTTAGTATCGTGACTCCGACCTACTCCGTACGTTAATTATATCGTAGCACTAGTATTTTCAACTCGCTAATACTAGTATCATTCACATGGAGATACCAAAAGATGCTTCTTTATTGTGACGGTTCTGACAATCACGTGACACTTGTATCACGTGGCGCCGCTCAGCGACCCACACCATGTATGTAGACTCGAGCTCCCTCGAGCTCTTCTCTTCTCTTCACCTTAGAATCTTCGAATAAGACAGTTCTACGATTCCATAACCTACACCTTGGACGCCCACGGGCAACATATCGTACGTGTCGTCACAGTCTTTTAGGATCTAAGGAACAAGGAATAAATTATATTAAGATAAGAGGATATTAAACTAGATTAACAAAAAAGATAAAGATAGTTTCCTAATATACTACTACTTATATATAGTAGTATATAGTAATTTATAGCTAAATAATTTAATTATATCTATTTATACGGCTACGCTTACTTTAAGGTTATTTAAACTATTATAATAATAGTAATATATTTTAACTTAGAATTAAAGTAATATAATATAATAAATATATCTATTAATACTTCTAGATTAACTAAAATAGTACTAGTTATATACTAGATACTAAATAGATTTAAAAAGAAAGGAATAGTATCAAAAATTAACTATATCTGATATAAACTCTAAGATTTTTAGTACTTTAGTTTAATAAGTTTATAACTACTTTAAGAGATATTCTTAGAATAATTCCTTATATAAAAGAGCCTTATATATAACTAAGAACTATACTATCTTTATATTATTCTTTATAGATAATATCTAGTTTATATATTATAAAAAAGATAAACTTAAGGCCTAGACCTTAATTACTAAGCTTAGCTAAATATATAAACTATAAAACCTTTATAATATTAAGTAGTTTCTTAGTATAAGAGTTATTAGGGATAGAGAGGTAAAGAAATTCCAGTTTTTATATAATATATATATTAAGAAAGTAGTAAAATAATTTAGGCTTATGAATAAAACTAGCTTAAGTACTCCTTTACCTAAGGTTAAGTTTTAAAAATTTAAAGAAAATATAATAGCTACTATAATTAAGCTCTTTTAGTAATAGATTAGGTCTATCTTATACTCTAAGATAATAATTAGAATAGATATTACTTTTACTTACTTACTACTTTTATATTTTCTAACTAATTTATTGTAACGAATACTCGCTGGCTAACTAAACTTGGCTGGGTGTTCGCTGGTTGGTATGCTATGATAAGAAGAAGACTGTCGGGTTGTTCACTTGGAAGTGAACTCGTTACTTGTATCAAAGATGTCAAACTAATATGATAAGATTGATAACTAAGTTGAGCACGAAGCTCCTATCTAATGGCAGAAGTGCCAGTCTTATATAGAACCTTCGTCTCTCCTGGAGCTTGAAGGGAGCCCAAGATCCTCAAGCTCCAACCGAAGCTCCTGCAAGCTCCAATGGTCATGTGACCATATCACGTGATACGATTCAAGTTAAATCCCTGGATCGCTTAGCTAGCCCAACCGATCCCATTTGCTATAAGAGTATTCAATAGTGCTTGACCTGTCAGGACGCCGCCTGGTCTTCACTCGTTACGTGCAAACACGTGATTCGTGACAAGTATATCTTTAGTAACATTAAAAAAGAAGGTATAAATAACAAGGTTAATAATATAGCTTATATAGTATATATAATATTTAAGAGTATTAGAGTAAGTTATTTAATATTCATAGTATATAGCTAATACATAATTGTTATTAGCTTTAGAATTAATAGTATAGATTTAGATATAAGTAACTTACTTTTCTTAACCTCTTTTATTATAGTATTATTATTTAAAGTATTACTTATCTAAAAATACCCTAGATTTTATACAAAACCCTAGTCCTTTAATATCTTATATATATTATTTCTAAGGTATTTACTATTTACTTTAACTTTAATTATTTAAGACATAAAACTATAGATTTAAGTCTTTTATCTTATTTAATAAAGTATATAATAATACTAAATATAGCTAGGTTATTTAGTAAACTTTAGAGGTTATAAGAGATATAGATTTTACTATATACGTTATTAATAAAGTAATAGATAATAGCTTTTTAAATTATATATTAGTTAATAACCTAAGCTTAAATAGTATTATATAATTATAAGAGATAGTCTAAAATTATAAGATTTAGATAGTAAAAGAATACTCTAAACTCTTTAACTTTAATAAGCCTAAATACTAGCGTATAAATACTAATAATATATACCTAAAGATACTTAAGGATTTTAATATTGAGTATACTATTAACTTTAACTTATATCTTTTTATACGGTTAAGTTAAAAGTTTATAAAAGCTTATATAACTAATATTTATATATTATAAGCTCTCTCTTATTATAGACTTTTATCTAGTATTTGATAATATTTAATAAAGTATTTTATAAAGGCTCTAGTTCTACTAGTAACCTAGTATAATTAAGTAGAATACTTATACTTCTAAAGAAGTATTTTTATTCTCTTCTAATATATATAACTAAACCTAAGAGTATTAATAATCTATATTATACTTCTACTTTCTCTTTTTTAAATTAGTAGAAGTTAAATTAATAGGAGAGAGTTTTAGAGATATAGGCTTATTATTAGGTTTATTATTATTATTATCTTTAGCTATAGGTTTATTTTATAGTATAGTATTATCTTTGGTAGCCCTTATATATATAGCCTATTATTCTATAGAATCTACTAGCTTATAAGAATAATAATTTAGGTTAAATTCGCTTCTCTTAAGCCTTTTTAGTTAGTTTAATTATATAGCTAGACATCCTAAGTATAGGTTAATCTATATAAGGCTAGTAGGTAGATTATTATTCTATTAGTATAATAAGTCTAGAGTTAGTAGGGTAGATTATAGTATTAAGTTCATAGGTAGTAAGATTAAGCTAATTAGAATACTCTAAATTACTAAAAAAAGTTATAGTTTAAGCTTAGTAGTACCCCTTTCTCTAGTCTATCCTTTAGAAGCTCTAACTAGTAAACCTTTAACTTTATAAAAGTACTCTATTAAGAGCTTTATAAAATAATCTTATAAAACTACTAAAATTACGAAGTTTTAATAGCTAAAACTATATTAACTAGCAGTTTAGATTTTACGTTTAAAACTATACTAAAAATCTCGAGAACTATACTAACTAAACTAACTAACGGAACTAAGATAACTATTACCTATACTACAAATGTCCGAATTGAAATGATTGAAGTGGTTTCCGTGAAGCGGCTTGACGATACAAGTGTCTTTGAGGTCATTGATTTGTCTGGCTCGGATTACAGGTGTCGCAAATTTTTTTTGGCAAATGGGGTTGATGACATCTTTCCTGAGGTAGAAGGTTATAAAGAATGGTGGGGAAAAGGAATGTATGTATCACTATACCTTGACTTTTAAGTTTGGTTTAATAACTGAACTTAAACTTCCGGCTTTCAAAACGTGTTCAGTAATGGGTGTGAAGAAGTGTTGAATAGCGAGTACAAGACAGCTGGGGTACTTGCATTGCAAGCCATTGCCATGCCCAAGTACGCTGTTCACATGGCACACCTATCTGCACAGCACGCACCTAATCAAGTTACAATATATACCAATGGGTCACCTTCCCTATCGAAAGAGATCAAGCAGATTTCTGGATCATCTCCGGGATGGAAGACAGATGACCGTGTCATCAAATCACTGGAGATGCACCCTGACAGCAACTATGGAATCGACATCAAATTCGAGGATGGAAGTCAAGCAACTGAGGCTTTCCTTGCCCATAGTCCATTTACAGTGCCCCGTGGCCCTTTCAAGGAGCAGTTGGGTATTCAACTGGGGCCTACAGGTGATTATGCCGTCGATGGGCCATCAAATGAGACAAATGTCAAGGGAGTCTTTGCAGCAGGCGATTGTATGACAATGTTCAAGGTGGCAACAAATGCTATCTAAAGTGGAGCACAAGCGGGGTCGTTCGCTGCTGTTATGCTGCAGGAAGAAAAATACGGTATTCAGTCAATTTTTGGTTAGGTGCGGGGTAGTAACGGCAATGGAAAAAGACTTACAGTGAGAATTACTAAAATACAAGCTTATTCTGAGGTGTTATGATTTGAGCGTTTTTCTGAGATGTCGGCTGTTTCCATGCGACTCCTGCCCGGTGTCTTCGCAGGAGTCAGAAGAGAAAAAGTCACATGAAAAAATCTTGTTATTGAGATTCAAATAAAACGCAGCAGAAGGTACAAGTAGTTATTAGTCGTGGTGATTTGAATACGGGAGTTAGGATTCGTTGGCCGCTTTTCAATTCAAGCCTTTTCTTTAGATAGCTCACTCCCCACGTCCTCCTTGACCTTCTCATCCTCTAAGGCAAATTGGGTCTCCAATTCCGTTCCCAACTCAATGTGCTTTTCTACAAAAACTGACAGAAATCCAAGCAGACCAAATGCTACAGCGGCATACCAAGTACTTCTGAGGGCGATGGTAGAGAGATGAAGAATCTGTTCCTTCGTATCTTGTGTTAACTGAGAGTAATTTTCTGTGCCCTGAGAAAACGCATCTCCACCTAGAAGTGTTGTTCGGATCGTTTCATTTTGGACCAGATTGATATTTTTGGATATTTCGTTGTTGAAGATGATCGACGGTATAGTGAAACCCCACACAAGACCGAAGGACTGAAGAAATGCATGGGTGGCTGTTGTTGCAGCAACATCTGCTTCTGGAAGAGAAGACTGAACAGCCGGTAGTGTTGAAGATATCAGTGAACCCAAACCGAAAGCTGCAAATAATTCCCAAAATGTCCATTGTACTGTTGGGGTATTCTCGTCCATGCGGGAAAATAAGCCAGCAGCCAAGGCGAAAACACCAAAACCAGCCCAGTGTAGCGGTTTATATTTTCCAAATTTGTTTAACAGTCCGCCGGATATTCCAGCAGATGGAATAAAAAATATGTTGAAAGGAAGAGTATTAACCCCAGAACCGAGGGGGGACTTTACCTTGACTGCTTCGAAGTAGAATGGTAAATAGTAGGTCGCCCATTCTAACAACATACAGGAGAGGAAAACTAGCAAAAAGCCAACAAAAGTGGTCCGGTTAAAGAATAGGCGGCCAGGAATGGTTGGCTCTACACAGAAGCGCGAGTTCTGGTGTAGCTGGAAAAGTATCAAGCCGAGTCCCCCGAGAACAATTGATAGAATGGTTCTCCATGATGACCATGGGTAAATCTGTCCGCCCATAACAAGTCCGAGCATAATGGAGCAGGTCGCCATGATGAACAATACATTGCCGAAGACATCTACCCGAAGCAAGGATGCTTTCCATGTGGGTTCACGTACAGATTTGAGATTAAGAAACAAAATTGCAATTAGGCCTGCAAATCCCCAGATAGGAATATTGATATAGAAGGCCCATCTCCAGGAGACTCGACTTCTGAACGCCCCTCCTATGGTCGGTCCAATCGTGATCGCAATACCGCAAACGGCAAAGATGAGTGCCAGATACTTAGGCCGTTCTCGCAGTGGCAAAAGGTCACATATTATGACCTCCAACAGCATCATGATCCCTCCACCTCCGATGCCTTGAATTATTCGAGCAGCAATCAGCATCTCTATGCTGTTTGAACCTCCGCATAATCCACTCCCAAGGATGAACATTGCCAGACAGAAGAGCATTGGACCTCGCCGACCAAAGATATTTGAGAGCTGTCCCCCCAAGGGAAGGATTGCCGTAGAAGCGATGGTGTATGAACTAACGATCCAAATGTACTTTTGCCCTCCTCCAATATCTCGAACTATTGTGGGAACCAGAGTCGAAAGGATAGTAGCATTCAGATTGGCGGCAAATGCTGCCAGAATTAGACTCGAGAATACGAGCCAAAATCTGATGCTTTGAGTTCCCCGTAGTTGGCTTGGAGGTGATGCCGCAGGTGATGCTATTATTTCGGTTGTTGGCGATACACCGTCGGCATGAGGCTCAGATACTTTGTGCCCTATCATCATAGGAGCCTCCTTCGAGAGTGCAGCTTGATTGGTCATTATGTCAAAGAAGCGTGAAAAGAGAAGTTAACAGCTATAGAATACTGTATTGAGGTTTGGTTGTAATGACGAAATGATAAAACTGAAGATGTTTTGAGTTATCTAGACTTCAATGAATGGTACGAAGCCTCCCGTTCTAAGAAAGCAAAACAAGAACACCAACCCCTATATGCTTCCATACCAATTGCTATAGGTGGTTAGCCGAATGTTTGCTGGTTGGCAGCTAATATGCGCGTTCTCACAGTAGTAATTCCAATCTAAAACGTTTCTAACGTGCTATAAACAAGTGAAAATCTCTTTCTCGGTTGCCGGATATCCTTGGGTGTGCGTGCATGTTTGTACATAGGGGAGATTAGCCGACCAGGTTGTAATCAACTTCGGCTGCCAGAGAACCCTGTATTTCAACACTCGGCCCGCATCTTACAGTACCTATTGCCCTTGTCATCATCTCACCCACCTTTCTGCATTTCAGGATCTGTCAGAGCCTGCCTGGAGCTAGAGCCTAGGCAGATTTAGGTTACGCGATTAAGAACGAGTGTAAGAATACGATATACATCTATGGTACAGTAGGTGATAAGGCGGAAAGGCCATCTGGGCCATATCACGAGGGCGGCCTGTTTTCAAGCATCTCGGGCGTCGAAGAAATTCTCCAAATTGCGGGTCTAGATATACCATATACCGGGCTGTAGAATTACCACTGGCCATCCAAATATTGCTACCAAGAATCAATCTTCATTTAAAATTAATTTTCTTTAGTTTATTAGTTTGATGAATGTAGTTGTCGGACGGCGGGCGTGTAAAAGAGTATTATGATATTTGGAGAGATTTTCCAAAGTTAATCATTCATGCAACCATTATACTTTAGTGTCAATGTTATTGAGAGAGTATATTTGTGACTACGGAGGTATAGGCACGTACATCTCGACGAATGGCTTCATCACACTAATTGGCAAAAGTGAAACAACCCCTATGCGCATTCTCAAGAAAGTATCTCCAACAAGAGGTAAACAGACCCAGAACGATGCAACTACCCATACATAACCCGTCAAAGTGCGGAAAGCCATTGAGTCTCTCGAGTATATATCGAATCCAATCTTCTGATAAGCCCATTGTACGAGGTCTTCTACAGTGATAGCAGCCATTTGCCACAGAAAGAAAAGAAAGAAGCCGAATGTCCGCTCAACTGGTGTGATATTTGTGGAACATGGCATCTTCATCTGTGAAAGGGCGTGAAAGGCACCGGATATACCGAATGCCACATACAGTTTCATGTACGACGATAGAGTGGTACCTTTGGAAATTTGAAGTGCGCTTGCCAAAGCGTCGGCATAGGATATAAGCATCTGCATAGACATTTCTCAGCCCAAAAATTAGAAAACCATTTAAGATGGAAACTCACGGAACGCAACTGTTGATGCCAGTACTTCCCCCAGAAGTGTCGGACTGTTGTCACATCGGCAAGGCGACCGAATGGCGGTGGCCAGTCCTAAGTTACTGTTAGATAAAGACATCAAAACGACCTATGGTAATATACCTCTGGCTTGCTGAGACGAAACAAGACAGCAAAAAATGCAAATTGAGCATACTGCATGCTGAGCATAAAATAGGGAGTCGCGCCAAATACAAAAGCCTTCACAAAATTCCACCGGAAATCGGGATGACGGAGTGTGAGATTCTGGCTGTCGACCCATCCAACACGTCCGTCGGGTGGGGTAAAGAGCCTCGTATTGAGCTCAAAGAGAAGATCAGCAATGAAGAAGCACTTCAGAAATTCAAATGCTTGCTTAGCAAGAAAACTCGCTCTTTTCGTTGTTGAGGCCGAAGGGACATGCTTGATCTGAAAGTTCCAGGGAATCCCTCGTTGGTTGAACACCAGCGTTATCGCCCATAGGATCTTCTTTGCACTGAAGGCCGTATAAGACAGAGCCTCTCGCGGCGGTTGGTCCATACGCCAGTAATTGAATTCTGGTCCGGGATTATGCGAAAAAAGAAGCTTCGCTAAGGTGTTCATATAGTATGACCAAGCAATTGTAAATGGTTGAGCCAATGCAACATTGTTTGTGAAATGTGGATGAATATGCACATGAACTGCTAAAATAATTATCGCAGTGCTGAATAGTGTTCGGCGGCCTCGAAAGGGGGGCGAAGCGAGGGCGACAAACTGAATTGCGAACAATAAAATATGTGGGATGAAAGACGAGTCTGGTTCGTGAAGTGTACTATTCGGCTGCGCTGAGTGGATGCTCATTTTGAGAATTTTTGATCTGTCTGGCGAGACAAACATCGCCCTTCATAAAATAATGTCTAGTGTTATAGTCCTACAGTAATACCTTTCGGTGCCCTGGGCTCTCGGTTGCCAAACCCCGGGTTGCAAACAAGAAACGGTACCCGAATCAAACACAAAGCTAGCAGGCAACTTTCTGTTATTATCAATTCTTTCGCTCAGACTGAGCGAATAATTGAAAAGCTCAATACTCCCACTGGAAGTTTCAATCTACTACTATGGACGGCAAGATCTTCCCTGTCATCGGGACCCAAACTTCGTCAATCGGCTTTTTTCTACTAGCCTTTTTCTTACTATACCTGTATTCACTACCAGCAGGTATATATAGAGAGTTTGAGAATGTGGGAAACTCCTTTTGGGGGAGAGCTAAGGTATATAAGCTGGTGCAGAAGGATTACGTCCAGATATCTAGGACTCCACTATCTGTAGTATCATCAAACTCGCTAACAAGCTTGAGATTATCAAAACGAAAAATGTCTCATTTGTAGTGAATTGGTGGGCGAAGGACTACATAATTCTGTCTCCAAACTATCTGGCGGATCTTAAGACCGCAGGATGGAGCCATCTAAGTTTTTTCCAGAATATCAATGATTTAAGTTGACTTGATAACCATTGTCTCAACGGAATGCCACCGAAACTTACATTTTACGCAGGCACTCTTCCTTGACAAAATTGCCGGGGATTTATACATAAGTCACGAGAGTGAAAGAATGGTAGATATCGTCAAGCGATGTATAAATCCACAACTTCGTAAGTAAGCTGTATCGCCAATATCTACTTTTACTAAAATAGATCCCCAGCTCAGATTACCCCTTTGATGATCGATGAAATCACATATTCGTTCAATAAGCAAATGGGTGATTCAATGGGTAACCTTCCGCGTAGGAACGTGGGCGGATAAAGCTTACATTGTCTACAGGTTGGAAAGGAGTTAACGCAATGGGTTTCTTTGGCGGAATCAGCCATCGAGTAGCATCGCGAATATTCGTGGGCGAGGAACTCTGCCAGGACGAAAGGTTCTTGGAAACATCACAAAGCTTCCTGAACTCCATTTTCATGACCGCACTCGTCATAGTCAAGCTTCCCTTGGGTCCTTTTAGGCAATTGTTTTGCTGGCCGTTGTCCCGCGTTCATGCATGGAGACTAAGAAAAGCCGCAAAGCTTTTGCTGCCAGAAGTGAAAAAGCGGATGCAGCTCAGGATGGACAAATGCAAGACAGCTGCACATAAACTTGATGCAATAGAGTGGACGCTGGACTTTCCAGCTTCAACACCATTCAATGATACACCGGAGCAGATAACAACTGAGTTGCTCTATGGTCTATGGGCGGGTAGCTCTGTACCTGGTGGTATGTTAACAGAAATTGTCTACCAACTTTTATTACTACCATAATATCTCGATGCTCTCCGCCAGGAAGCAGTAGCTGCTATAGAAACGTATAGGTGGTCTAAGAAGATGGTCAACAACCTACAACTTTAAGATAGCTTTATTTGAGAAGTAAATAGACTCTATTCGACCGGCTCCGGTATTTATTTCAGTCTGTTTTATTAGAGAGAATAATAAGACTAATGCCCGGATCTAGTTGCGTGTTCGAGGACAATTATTAGTCAACTATTCCAATTTTCCGATAGACTAACTATTCTAGTCTGATCTCGCGTGGCGTTTCTAATCAAAACCATTTAATGTGACGCAGATAACTTTAGCGACCCCGACAAATTCGACGGATTCCGTTTCGTTAAGGACACTTTAATAGAAACCTCTACTTTAGAGTCCAACCGAAGGTGGGGAGCGGCTTCAATAGGCATCACCAATCTTGCGTAAGTCTCTAGTGCTTTAATATAAATGCTGTTCATATTGTACTTGCTGACCGTATATCTTTAGTTGGAGATATGGAAATTATATTTGCCCTGGTCGATTCTTCGTAGTACGAGAGATCAAAATGGTTATCACGAAACTGCTTCTGGAATATAAGGTGAAGAAGGACAGAGGAGGAGATGATAGACCCTTGCTGTGAGGGTTGAAACCCATGATGGAGGCTCGGGCCATGCCCTCGCTAAGCACTGACCAAAGTCCCCGCTCAGCACTGGCCATTCCCCCACTGCCAAGCAAGTCTCTGCTGTTCCATACTTTTCTGTTCTATTCTTTTGACATCATGTATTCGTTAGGCAGCTTCCTGGAATATTCCAAAGACTCTTCCTCTCTCTATATATAGAGGAAGAGCTTGCATGTATGTAGTCTTCACGCACTTCTTAATTGAATATTCGAAACCACACCTTTGAGCTATTCGAGGTCTGGCCTCTCACACTTGCCTATGTATATAGAGGGCCAGTTCATTCCTAAAACTTCACAGAAGATTAGTATAAAAAGAAGAGTTATAGGCTAGAGGTAGAAGCTGTTACGTGAGTAGGTAGAAACTTTATTAACAAACGCAAATATAATTGAATGGTTCTTAGTAATACTCCTCTCTGTGTCTCTATCTGTTCTTATTTTGCTTTATTTCTTAAAGTAATCGGTAAATTAACTAAACTACCCCCTAGTTAATAGAAAAATCCTTAAATACCTACTACGTACTTAGGAATTTATAGGACTCTCCCCTAATTTATACCCCCTATTAGAAGGGTAGTTCTGTTAGTACTACTTAAAAAGTAGGTTATTTCAGTCTATGGTTCTATAAAAAGGGGTATTTCTGTTAGTAAATTAGTAATCCTAGGATTTCATTTCATTATTAGTTCTTATATATAAATGTACCTAGAAATTGACGAATAAAGTAAATTAATCTACTATTACTACTTCCTACCTCGTAATCCACCGCTAATAGATTTTAGAAGATCTTAGATCTAGTACTCCTTAGGTCCTTACCCTTAACCTTACTATTACGCTTACGCTTATTATTAGTTATTCCTTGTTCCTAACTTAACTAAGCCTCTTGTTATTACGTAATCTGTCTCCTAAGATTTGGAAGATTTTAGGGGATTATTGTAACGAATACTCAAACTGGCTAACTAAACTTGGCTGGGTGTTCGCTGGTTGGTATGCTATGATAAGAAGAAGACTATCGGGTTGTTCACTTGGAAGTGAACTCGTTACTTGTATCAAAGATGTCAAACTAATATGATAAGATTGATAACTAAGTTGAGCACGAAGCTCCTATCTAATGGCAGACATGCCAGTCTTATATAGAACCTTCGTTCTCCAAATCCCAAATGTCGACAGCGCGCTCGTCGTGCTGTCGCGCGCGACAATTCGCTTGTCGCGCTGTCGCGCTTTTATCACGTGACTATGAATGCTATGAAATCCTTGGATACTCAACAACCCTGAGTAACCACTGCTATGATATAACTACTCTGGATGTATCTGTCCTGTCAGAACGCCGTTTGGACTTACTCGTCACATGCTAACACGTGATTCGTGACAATTATTACGAAGCTTTACACCTAGTAGATATACTAGTATACTCGTAGTAGTAGTAAATGTAATCCCTATGGGAACTACGTTAGGAAATACCTAATACTACGCGGGCTGTCCTAGGGTATAAAACCTTCCCTAACGCGTACTTTTCCTAATACTAACGGTGGCTATTAAACCTTAATTCGTACTAAAAGTATAGTTCTTTACTAGAGTCTTTTTTCCGCGTTTACTTATTTATAGGTAGTAGAGGGGGAGAGAGGGGGGGTATAGGGGTATAATAAAAGTAGAGACTTATAGGAGGGTAAAGTAGAGAAGTACTTATAAGAAGGAAGGAAGAGGGATAAATATAAACAACTAAGTACTTAGTACTTATAGGTAGGAGAGGAATAGGTGAAAACGACTAAGTACTTATAGGTGGTTTATAGAGGGAAAGGGCAGGGGAAAGGCTTTATGATATAGATAGATAGCTCGCGGAATACTCGGGTTATACTTAAACTCTCCTAGAAGTATAATATTCTCTAGAGTACCCTCTATCTCTAGAAGCTCGCTTTTTAGTTCTTAAATCTTTACTTTTACCTAGCGTTCGGTAAATAGTACTCGATTCTATAGAGTCTATAATTCTATTCTATATAGAATATTTCTAGACCTCCTTATAAATAGAACACATATTTCTATTAAATAGGCTCTAGAATTCTATAGAATTATAGAATACTAAAACAGGTAATAAGTATATACTAAGCTAACCTAAAATAGCTTATTTGTATACTATTTACTCTATCGGTAGATAAGTAGTATACTTGTTTAGTATAGCGTAGGCCAAAAGCTACGTTAAGTTTACTACTTATCTTATTAAGCTTATCTACTAGGAGTTACTACCCAACTCTCGGCGCTAAGTAAAAGTATGAACTTTTATTAGTCTTCGGACTAAGGAAACTTTACTCCGGGTTATATAAAATTATTCTATAGTATACTATATTCTATAAGGGGGGGTCTAGTATAGAATAGAATTCTAGTTACCGAACGCTACTTTTACCTACCTAATTAAGCCTATATTAGGTATTTCTATATAGTGTTAGGAAATATCTAATATCGAGTTCCTAGAAAGAATATAGTAAACGTAATATATAGTAATAGTACTATTAAACTACTTTATATTAGTAATAATCTAATAATCCTAGTAAAATATTAAAGTCTACTTAAATCAAAGTCTACTATCTAGATTCTAGAAAATACTACCAGATATAAGATATACTCCTATCTCTATATTACTACTATAATTATGATAGAACGGGGATAAGAGATAGTTATAAAGAATATATAGTACGATATCTTAAATATACTACCTACCCTAGACTCATACGAACCCGAAGATTAATTTCTGCGATTAAGTGTTATTAATAATTATACGTTAATGAGTAATGGTACTTCAATAGTAAAACATTAAGCGAGGATGTTAAGCGAGGCCGGAGAAATGAGGTGTTGAAGTTTCTCAAAGAACTTCTATTATGATTTACCTTTTATGTTCTAGTTACTATTTACCTTTATTACACCTGTCATCGTCCTCCTTGCCACATCAAGAATATTATGCCTCGTCGTCTTGATATTGATCGACGCTCCCCTGCGGGATCCGCCCACTCCTCACGGCTCTGCAATGTTTCAAGGCCAGATGGGAGAGGATCTTCCACTGTGTTCCTCGGCTGAGATCAGCCTGAATGGGCGTTCTGTTCTGGGTTTGAACACCCCAGGTTGGGTGAGATATATCCACCTCTTTAAAGATTATTGTCCAGGAGGACTTGGTAATTTGTGTCCAAATCTTGCTCTGTTGTTTCATCCCTTGCTTCTTCGACACAAAGCTGCCACAACACTGATATCATCGTGTTTACCTGAAGTTTTGTTAGTAAAATCCTGCCTCTCGAGGTTCGACAACAAACCTCCTTCCATAGCAAGTCCCTCCTCCACTGCATGCTCCATAAACGGACTCTCCGCAAAGGGGTCTATAGCAATGACTCTAGCAGCATTCATCAATTCCTGCGTCACGAATTGCATTCCCCCGCCCGCACCACCATTTCTGCTTCCGAAACTCTTACCACCTTTCCCTTCTTCCCATTTTCGAATACTGCTCACCACATTATCAATAATTTCGTGCTCCCATAAATTATCAATCACGCCGTCGGACATGGCTAACACGACGTCATTCTCCTCAATTTCGACTTTGTCCAATACTGCATTCTCAAGTGGAGTATCTGGAGAATTGGTGCCCAGCTGTCGAGGACAATCAAACCAATGCCATTGTTCCGTCGTCTTAAATATTAATTTCGAATCTCTAGGTCGGAGTACTAATATCTGCGAATCCCCTAAATTCGTGACATATAGCAAAGGCCTTGGAGATGCTTTCTCGTCGCCATCTCTATGACGGAAATGTAACTGTGCGCCCGCCGCTGTGGTAGTTCCCTGCCATTCATTCGGTTTCGACGTCGCAGCCTGGGTCTGCTCAAAGGCTCGCTGTAAATACTCCACAGGTCTGGGTTCGAAATTCTGTCCCGGAGAGCTCATTCGGTCTGCATCCTTTTCCATCTCCAGAGCCCAGAAATGAAGGATTAACCTAGACCAAAGTCTATAATAGTTATTTTTAGCAGGAATGGAGACTTATTGTATAAGAAAGACAAACCCAGCATGACCACCGGGTCTGGTAGACCAAGCTCCCACCCCATCATTTGCACCTATAAAGTTGTCGCTCACATATACAGCATCATCTCCATTGGTGTATCCCCGAATGAGTTCCCCGTTCACGAAAGCGCGCCGATCACGGCTTCGGTTATGGGTGCTCAGAGGGTCGGAGAATGAACCTGAAGGCGGTGACAGGAAGGGCGGAGGAAATGGTCGCGGTGCTCGTTTCGCGTAGAGAGATATGCCCGTCTCGAAGCGAAAGGGGAGATTTGGTTTTTGCGGGTTTTCGGGATTCGCGATCGGTGACGTTGTTGAGGTGGGTGCTAGGTCAGGGCAACATCGCGGCGGAACGTGGGTGAAGGGGCGTCGAGCTGGAGGTTGCAGAGCTCGCACGAGTGGTCTTTGAGGGAGCGACCTCCTCATCCCAGCGTCATAGGCAGAGTAGATGTTGGGAAATCCTTCACCAATAAACAATCTGGGAGTTGTGGTTTTGGCTGCGAGTGGCAGTGGCAGTAGCAGTAGCAGTGGTAGCCAGATAAGATGAGGGACGAAGGAGGGCTATCGGGAATTTTTGTGGAGCCGAAGCTGGGCCGGATGGAATTTGGGAATGAGCCAAATCTTGAACCAAATCTCGAAATCTCAGGGTCAGCGCCTCCTTGAAATAACAAACCATTCATGGCGACGAGTGACAGTTCTTGCCATTACTCCGTAACGAGTAACGGGAATTTGCGTTGGAGCATAGATCCAGATACAGGACTAGGTCTAGTCACCACCACAAAAAAATGTGAATGAATGGTTTAGTACGGAGCACGAGTACGAACTTGCTTCCTCGCTTGTCATAGTGATTGTTGCTGGTAGAACGGAAAGCACTCCGAAGGCACTGCGAGTTGTACTCCAGATACTGATACAGGCGGGGAATCTATCATAGATCCATAGGGAAGGTTCATAGATTCATAGGTAGGCCCATAGGTCCACAGGAATCCCCGGTTTGACGCATTCCCCATACTCCCAATCTTAACCGGCTAAATTTACGGGTATCATAATTCGTATGCTTTCTCATAGTTAAAAGGTTACTCCAGTGTACAGTGTACAGTAGATATGCGTGGCATGATACTCAAAAGGACGAATATTTTGATATGATGCGAGGAATTATAATTCTTTCCTTTTCCAGGGGCCTCCCCAGGAGAAATGGGACGACGACGCCATGTGTTTGGATACTCGAGTACCACCTATGCACGCCATGCAGTCATTCCGCTGCTGCCGCGTGAAAATGGGATGGCGGCAAGGAGAGTGAGTAATGGAAAAGGAAAGAATGATATATATACCTGTATAGTACTGTATGTAACTGCCTGTAGGTATACAGTGCAATACTGTAGTATATTAGGAGCATACCATGTACCTAGGTATAGGTACGTACGTCGTACCGAGTATCTAAGCGAATTCATATACTTCTAACCCCCTCGGCAAGTTCGGACGGTCGAGTTCTACAAGATGCACCTGCTGAGTACGGAAACTAGGTACAGTACGGTATGTGGGTGCAGACCGTCCCAAGAATAGCACTTGCTGCATTCGGTGATGTTGTGTGACTCGCACAACATTTTGACCGTCAGACAGAACAGTGCTGAGAGTGAGTACCAGTCATCCACTCCAGGTCAACGATGACGCAGTCGACTGCATCACTTATACACCGTAGTCGTGCTGTAGTACTGCAATGCTATAGGTATATCTGTACTTATGTTCCAATAGCCGCCACGCCCTTCCTTCCAAGCGCTGGGTCTTGGTGTCTTATGCTCCCGCTTGTGTGCAAGTTGGCTGTGTCACGACTGACACCTGGCTACGGCTACGGCCATGGTGGATTCGAGTGGAGTATTGATGATTGACCTCGGGATGGCACGAATACGGGTTCGGGGATACGATCAAGTGCTTCCTCAAGTGACTCGATTGGGGTGCAAGAGAAGGTCTGTTAAGCTTACTGCACTTGTACATCCATCGGCATTTCTAAACGAGAGGCCGGTGTGTGCCAGTAGTCATCCTCGGCAAAGTATGTACTGGTGTACTACGAGTACTGACTGTGCCTTTCAACTGCGGCTGCAGCTCAGAGGAAGAAACCAAACATGACGCGTTCTCTTCAGCCCCCAGCCCTCTTCTTGGCCGCGTCAACAGGAACTCTGAAGGTGTGAAGGTCTACACAGGGGCCCAGGGCCACAGGCGCAGGGAGAATACGATCAATGTTTGGCTGGGTTGCTGGATGGTCACTGCAATTAGGTTGACGGTGGTGGGCTGTACCGTGTACGAGTAGCGGAGCGGAGTCAGTGGATTGTATCTCGTACCTCTATGCGCCCATCGGGGTCATCTTAATAAGCCCATGACTGATGGTCTGATGTGATGTGGTGAATTCGTAGATGCAGAGTAGTTGGTGATAAGTGAGGCATCTTCATCAAAATCTCTGCATTCTCATGCTGTTCCCTCGGCTCTGCTGGATATAGAGGCGTGAATAGTGAATAGGTAGTGAGTACGGTACTACACTACGTAGTGAATACAGTACGAGTACTGAACATCATCACCACCCCGCAGATCCGACACCGGCGAGTCGGAAGAATCCAGTACAAAGTTCCCGCCAAGTCATCATCCACCACTAAAACCCTCGCCTGGGATCCAACCCTCCCCTACCAAGCCGTCCTGCTCGACCGCAGCCGTTACGGTCTCCCTCAAAGTGACGTCCGATCAGAGCCACCACCTTTTTTAATTTCAAAGGCCATTCCTCACCCATCGACACCCATTATTTACACAATCGGATCCTGTATCTGTCTAGCCCATCCCACCACCCGTAGCGAAGCTCGTAGTTCGCGCAGGTCCTACTGCAGGCCACCCTCTGCCTGCCAGTTGCCAGTTACCAGTTGCCATCCTGCTCTTCCGCCCACCAGCATCATCCAGCCAGACCTTTGCGCTCATTGATGCTTGGAAAGTAGCCACCCGGATAGAGGCGGACACGCAGTACGCAGTGAGAGCATCGCATTGGGAATCCCCTCACACTCGTTCCTACCACGGCCAACATGTCGGCACCAACTCCCAAGATGGGCACTCGCAGTCGAGGTGAGTTCGCTAGAGCCAGAGCCAGAGCCAGAGCCATCTGGAGAAATGCGGTCAAGAACGCAACGCTGACCAAGACATTCCATGACAGTCCTCTCCTTCATGTCCAGCTTCGCGAATCGAGATGCACAATCCCCAACCCCCAAAGCTGCTCCTTCCTCACAAGCCCCATCCGAGCCCTTTCCAAAGTATGAGCCCAACCGGCGAGACACGGCAAGGGAGCCACCGACCCAGGCATATGATACGGATGGCAGTTCTTCTCAACCCCAATCCAGAACGAGAGAGCGAGCCCCTTCACGGCCAATGTCAATGGTACAGACCTACCAACCTCCTCTAATGGACGTCAATCAGGATACTCTCCCGGAGCTGCAGCCCATATTTACCTTCCTGAACAGCCACGCGAACAAGCTGTACCAGGAGGGCTATTTCTTGAAACTGGACGATCAAAACACCCGTATGTGTATTCCTTCGCACCATGTTACTTTTCTAATCACCAGGAACAGATGGTAAGGCCAATACGGATCGAACATGGACCGAGTGCTTTGCGCAACTTGTGGGAACCGTACTGTCATTGTGGGATGCTGCTGAACTGGATGCGGCTGGGCAAGATGGGGAGGTGCTACCCAAATTTATCAATTTGACAGACGCCTCAATCAAAATGGTATGCATTGAAGAAACGTAAGTTGCGGCAGTCAATATGCTAACTGCAATAGATTGAATCACTGCCCACCCGATCAGATAACGAGGCCCCGCTGCAAAATGTCCTCAGTATTTCTACAGCCGGCCGCAACCGATATCTCTTGCATTTCAACTCTCATCATTCTTTAGTGCAGTGGACGGCCGGAATTCGACTCGCAATGTTTGAGCATGCCACGTTACAGGAGGCCTACACTGGAGCCTTGATCGCCGGGAAAGGAAAGCAAGTCAACAACATCAATGTCATTATGGAGCGAGCGAGAGTCAAGCATGAGGACTGGGCGCGTGTAAGATTTGGAGCAGGAACACCATGGCGACGATGCTGGTGCGTCATCACACCTCCAGACGAGAAAGAGGTCCAGAAGTTGCAAAAACAAGCCAACAAGAAGAGATCCGCGTACGATCGATCCCGACCTCCAGTTCTAAAGGGCGACATCAAGTTTTACGAATCCAAGAAAACAAAGAAAGTCAAGCCAATTGCTACTATCACCGAAGCTTATTCGGCTTATGCAATCTACCCTCAATCCAAGCCTTTGATAGATGCTTCCACCTTGGTAAAAGTTGAGGGATCAATCATGATTCATTCCAACCCGCCATCAATGACAGAGGGGTTTGTTTTTGTCATGCCAGAGGTTCACCCTGCTGTGAGTGGCTTTGAAATGATGCTACGCTGGCTCTTCCCTGCGTATGACACATTCGCTTTATATGGACGACCGGGTCGATTGATTCCAGATACAACGGACCCCAACAGTCTGATGTTTGCCATGCCAAAACACCGAAGATATGGCTACCTTGAGATCTTGGATGTGTCCGGTCTTATCACTGAACAAGGGAGCGGCAGTTGGCGAGAATCCGAATGGCGACGAAGGATGAAGGAGCTCACCAAAAAACGGATGACAGCCATTGAAAATGGAAGTCAAAGGAACAGTCGATACGGCAGCCGAAGAAGCACTCGTGCAAGCTTTGGGCCCTCCAGAAGCCGCATTCAATTTGATGATGCTGCTTCCGTGAGATCTACTCCATCGACGAGCTATGGCCAAAGTGATGGAGCGGGTATTGTAGGAGCTTTGCCACGGGTCGATTCTGCGCCTGTTCAAGCAGGGACCTTTGCTCCACCACCAAGAATGGCAAATCCGACCCACCAACGTTCGGTGTCTGAAACAAATGGTCGTGATCCTTATGAGAACCAAATGTCCAACTCTCCTTATGATGGGACCTACGAGCAAGGCCCACCTCCTCCGCCACACAATATGCCCATGGCTATTGGTCATCCCGGGTCAGCACTTCGTTACCAAAACGAAATGGCAACAACTCCAGAACGTGTGAGTTCCGAAGATGAAAGTGCTGCACGAGAGACTCCTGTGCGAGAGTTGCAAGACCTTCAAACCACTTCTACTCCTGAGCCAGTTTCTGCACCGCCTGCATTTTCACACGCCCCTGGTGCTTTACCAATCACCGTACCATATCATTCGCCAGAACTTAGAAGGGCCAAGAGCCGCATGTCCACTACTACCTTATCACAACTTGCCGGTGCTGGTGGAGCTGCTGCTACTTATAATGAAAATGGTGCGAGGGATAGCGAGGAGCAGAAAAGGGGATATGCGGAGGATCAGAAAGGGGTACCATACAACGCCAACAACCTAAAAGAGTTAAATGCTAATCAAGGTGGTTTGAATGAAGGCCTGGTAGCACCAAGAAATCGTCGCTTTTCTTTCGAAAATTCCTCTCTTCAGTCAGATATCAATAATCCACAACCTCCCACGCAACATTCAGATAATTTCACAAATCCTCCTCTCCGAAACGATTCCCAAGCTCCACCACCTCCAACTCATGGCAATACCCGTACGTATGAACCGCCAAGTATTTTCACTACCCCAAACCACACCCAAGGCCATAATTCCCAAACATCAGTAGGTTCCACGTCTACCGTGAGCCCTCATCAGCCTCCTCGGCTACAAACTAGCCATAGCATCGTTCGGAAACCTCTTCCATCCAGGACAGCAACATTGAAGGACCCATCATCTGTGAGCGATGACGATACACCATCAAGTCTCAAGAGCTTAAGAAACCATGTCATTGACGAGGCTGCCTTTGAAATGATTGGACGTGACCAGAGAATGCAGACATTGCGATCCGAATACCAAATCCACCGACAGAATAGCGGCGCAAGTGTCTATGATGACGGTGCCTCCACTGCTTCTCCAGATTACCCGAGCACGAGGCCATCAATCGATAGCAAGAGATCAAAAAAGTCCGTCGAAAAACCTCGAGCTGGTGTGAAGAAGACCGTGGGTGACCCAGAATTTGAAACATTCAACAACTTTCGCCAGTCTGTTCATATTGACTTTGGTCCAACAATAAACTATGCTGCTGAGGAACCACCTCGAAAACCAAGCCCTGGCCCCAATCAAAGCTATAATGCAGGATCACCCAGAGGACACTCACCCGGTTTGGGCATGGACAAACACTCTTCTGACCGACCGCGCCAGCAGAGCCCTGCGGCAAGGCCTGACAGCGCTGGAGTCATGAATCGAAATAGTGTATCCCCTCAACAAAATGCAAATTATCGTCATAGTGTAGCCTGGCAACCGGGTCTTGCTGTTGCCACTCATCCTGCTGCGAACTCACAGAGTATTACTCCTGAGCAGTTTGTGGCTCAGAAAGCTGCCGCTGCTGTTGCCACTCCAATGTATGCTCATCAAAGACAGCATTCTAACCTTACTCTTGGACGTACAACACCTACCATGATGGGACGGGATACACCTACACCGCCCCTTGTTCATAATCGTCCAAACGATCATTTGACCAAGCAAAGTCATTCTCGTAATACGTCAACCGATATGCTTGCCCGTCCAAGCGATCATTTGACCAAGCAAAGTCATTCTCGTAACACCTCGACCGATATGCTTGCCCGTCCCAACTCGAGGACCGCTGGTGTTGCTCTTGGACCTGCTGTAAATCCCAAGTTATCGGCACGCGAACAGGAACATATTGCGCGGGCTACTGGAACACCACTCATTAATATGGCACAGAACAATCGCTCTTCATCCGGAGGAGGTTTAGTTAATGCTATTGAAAACCGAGAGCACGAAAGGCAGCAATTGAAGCATGGTATGAATAGCCAGGCCGTTCAACAAGCAATTGCTCAAAGACAACAGCAGCAGATGTATCAACAACAATATGCTGAACAACAGCAGCAGCAACAACAACAACAAATGATGCAGCATCGTATGTCTCAGCAACTCAATATGAATCAATACCAACAGCCACAGTATCCAGTTCAAGGTCAAAGTCCAGGATGGGGCATGTCTCCGGCAGCGAATGTCTTTGCGCAAGGCGGAGGGTGGGCTTCTCCTGGGTATGCCCAAACTCCACCTGGTCGACAACCGTCGGGGCAATACTTACCACATCAACAATATTTCCCTCCCCAAAGTGGTCACCAAGGACGAGGAAATAATGGCGGCTATCGCGGTCATTAATGAGCTACATACACTACTTTGTTATTAGCGAGCATGGCGCTGGGGAGTTTATGAAGATTGATTATGTGAGGTCTTTTCATGTCACGTGGGGTGGGAAGGGGGAGATTCATAGCGATTCATTCCATGGAGTTTGCCTTTTTCTTCTTCGATTTTCATTTTTTTCTCGGAACACTTTTTTGATTACTGCTACTCTTCATATGAATTGCATCAAGACAGCCTGACCAGAACCGGGGGCTTTTCTTCTTTGTGTTTGTTTACGTAGTGTATTTTCGTAAGGCCTAGGTACCTACACTTTTTTCTGTTTTGTTTTGTATTCTTTTTTGTATCTGAGCATATTGCATTGGTGGGTATGACTGGTGGTTTTTCTGCATGCATACATAAATTTTGAGATGAGGGAGGGGGTTCCTTGAATTTTGGAGAGGGGATATGTATGTTTACGCGTGCATTGAGGGGTTCGAATTGGGGACTGGAGAGAGGGATTTAATTTGAGAGGAGAGGAGAGGATAGTGTGAGTTGAAGGGGGAGGGTCTTGTTGGGTGGCTGTGATGCGGGGTGTTGTAGTAGGTAGGTAGTGAGTGGGATGGATGGGTAATCGAAGATATTTCACCTTGCCTCTTTTTTTGTTTGTCTTGGATGCTGGGTGCCCTGATTCCTTTTGGTCTTGGGGATTGTGAGGTGTGAGTTGTGAGTTGTGATGTGGGATTGATTTACCTTTTTCTTTCTTGGTGGAGGTAGGTATTCTTGTATACCTAGGTATGCATTTTCAGCGATTACGGTACCTGAAGGATATCTTGTGAATCTATATCCTGGGGTTTCGTTGGCCGTCATTCGTGGAGAAGGTATTTGGTAGGTAAGTGCCTAGGTAGGTAGGTAGGGAGGTAGAGCTAAAGAAGGAAGGATGAAGAAGTAGGCACGAGTAGATGTTGGTAGGATTGTGTTTACATGGTATTACTTGTATAGAGTAGGATTCGTTATATCTATCGCATACGAGTACTGGTAAAATCTCTAATAAGTGAGCTGGGTAGGTGGGTAGGTGTGGGTGGGTAAGCGGAGGGTTTGTATATTATAGGTAGGTAGGTAGGTAGGGAATAGGTAGGTAGATTTAAATCTAGACGTAAGACTCTAGGTTGGAAGTATAGGTACAGTACCTATTAAAATTTAAAATGGGGAAAGTTCGGTTGGAGACTAGAGGGGGTTTTATTATGTTGATGTCGGATGATTGGATTCTTCTACCTTGCTAGGTCGGTAGGTTAGTAGGTTGGTAGGTAGGTTAGTAGATGATTTGGTGTAGGGGGGGGTTTTTTGGTTCGGCGATTGAGGGAGCTGGTACTGTAGCTTAGTTATGGTGTTGATGCTTGGGATTGGGATTTGAAGGATGCGGGAGAGGTTCGTTATTGGTAAGGAGCTTGGGAGTTTGGGCAAGAGGGAGTAAGGTTGAGGTTGAGATTTTTGATGAGAACAGAGAAATATGGGGGTGTTGCTACCTAGGCTACGTAGGTAGGTGGGGGGAGGAGCGAGTTTGATGTTAGCCCAGATAGCCCAGGACAAAGACGAAGATGAGTGCCCTGTCGAGGTGAGACACTAGAATTTCAGGTAGTCTCGACCGTAGGTAGGTAGACGGGTCTCTGGACTCGACTTTCTGTCTATAGGTAGAGTGGACAGTGGACTGTATTGTACCACCTACCTTCCTTCCCTCTAGATTCCGTCTCTAAGTCCTAGACTGGTTTCGTTCTACTCTGTCTCAACTCAAGCTTCGTTCCTCCCTTGCCATGGCGGCCTAACATAACCCCATTCCTAACATCACCTCGACCAGTTTGGAAGTGGGCTGGATTTGATGTCCATGTAAAACTGGGGGCTTAGAGGTCTTAGGAACCTGGAAGTAAGAGAGAAAGATTCTGTATAGTTTTTACATATGCATGTCCTCAAACAACGACCAGATATCAACAACCTTTCTGCTATGTAAAAGCTCAGTTTTTGGTTCAAGTTTAAGTTCACTGTAACGAATTTGCAGAATTATATTCCATTGGACGTCAATCAATTGAGATTCTTCCTACGGTTGAGGTAGGTGATATTGTAATATCTAATACTGTAGCTTAGTTCTTGAGGGTATATCTAATGATGCCTGGTACTAGCGAGGGTATCTTGTAAGTTGATGGGTTGTCAAACACCATTCCTTTGTGTATCCATCTAATCCATTTCTGTAGGGAAATATTTGGAGGGGAGAAAATGGAGGACTTTGGGTTATCTCATGCTTCTATATCTAATCTAAACTCCTGAACTCGTCATACTGACATACCTTGAGTACAGTACCTGATACTCGGTAGATAATACCTAGGTACTGTACTTGGCTTAAGCAATCTCACTTCCCAAGTCCTCAAGTATTACACATGACTTGTAAACTAGGTAGGTAGGTACCAAGCAATGGAAATCCTACGGTATCACGATATGACGAGAGGGCAGGCACTACATCTTTTCTTCTCAAAATCTCCATTCATCATCCCCCTTTTACAACGAGCGTATCCTCCTACACACAACCCCAAACATCACATCCTCATCCACCTGGGACAACACCTCCACTCCATCCCGCACCCCAAAGAACCTCACGGCTCCAACAAAACATCTAGACATAACCACCCTTTTTCCCCAAAACCCAGAACAATACAACAGGAAAAGCGTCAGAAACCCCACCTACAAACTCATCATCCGACAGAAAAAGAAAAAAACGCCCCCTATTATAAACACCCCCCAAAAAAAGACTCAAAGAATCGATAGAGTAAAAAACAAAATATAAATTAACCCCCAAAAAACCCCCCTTGAAAAATAACATACAACAAGAAACCCAAAAAACCACCACCCCCTCACCGTCCCTTCACACTCTTCAACCGCTCCGCCTCCTCAATCGCCGCATCAATCCTCCTCTCCTCCTCCTCCTCCGTCAACCGCACAAGATCAGCTTCACTCATCGAGCCCCTCGATTTCCTCTCGTTTCCCAAGAATGGGGCGGGTGGTGTATGTCTTTCTGCATATGTCGTAGGAACGTCGCGGTATTCTTCGAAGCTTCGCGCGGGAGGTGAGACGTCGTTGCGGGATGGAGGGCCGATTGTGGATGCTGCGCTGACTTCGCGGGATATGGTGGGGGAGACGGTGGTTGTTGGGGAGAGGGCGGTGGTTGTGGATGGTGGGGATGAGGATGAGGGGTCTGCTATGGGTGGTGTGGGGTTGTTTATGTTTGTTGGGTTTGCATTTTTGTTTGAACTTAGGGTTGGTTTTCGCCTGGGAATAGCGGCTGCGGAGCCGGTATACGGTTGCGAAGGGATTTCCTCGTAAGGGGAGAGTGCCGAGTGACGAGTAGGTGTCTGGGGTTTGGGAGGGAGGTTTAAGGCTCCGCTATATACTTGGGTTGGTGCTTCGTATGAGGATGGGGAGCTTCTTTCTGCTTCTTTTTCGGTTATGAGGTCGTGTGAGTCGGCTGAGCTTTGGTTGAGCATGATTTGATCGGGGCCTTTGGTTTGGCGTTGTCTTTTTCGGAGACATAATAATATCCCTAGGAGGATGATTGCGGCTACTCCTAGAGCTCCTACTCCTATTCCTGCTTTTGCTGCTGTTGAAAGTCCGCTGGGAGGTGCGGGGGTAGTTGTGGTGTCTTGCGTACTTGAAGCATCTGATGTCGGTGTTTGTGTAGGAGGGATTATAGTTGTTGTAGCAAATTGAGTAGAAGTTTGACTGGGCAATAAACCTCCATCGGGACGAACATATCTAGGGCTGGTATCGGACTGGTGGATAAAAGGGTTGAATTGAAGTCCGGATATGAGCTGCTCTGGTTCACCAGGTAGACCAGGCGCCGTACTAGATCCGAGGATTTGAAATGCTTTACTCGTCGAGGCACAAAACTGTTCGTCATTCGTAAAACATAGAAAGAAGTAGCCCGGAGGTGGAGTTCCATCCTCCAAAGTAAATAAAATATTCCTCTCTTGATCATTCTCGATAATTCCGTTCAAGTCTTTTAAACTCTTCTCCTCATGACAAACGTTGCCTGCGCAATAAGCTACAGATAATTAGTGAAAGATAGAAATAGCCCTATATGATTGTGATTCTCACATCCAAGTCTTTGGGTTGATATGGGTAGCTTGGTGGTAACTCCATCAGGCGCTGTCGCTTGGCATAGGAAGAGCGTGGTGTTTTTGTGATTCGCGTTCGATGTTTTAAAGCTTATAGTGTAAGTCGTTGTTGGGTTGCCAGTATATGGTGATATGCCAGTCGTATTCGGCGCAAAGGATTGAACATTGGTGGTGAAAGGTGCTTTCAATTGACTGCTATCCTCCTGTCCATGAACAGGCGACAACACCCAAAACGAAGCCATCAGGCCCAAATATCTGCACCTCATCGCATCCAAAATCCCATCGACCTCAAACACACCAACAAAAACAAAAAATAAAGATTAAAGTCAATTGCAAAGTTCGCACTCACAACCAACCTCAAAAAAGACCAAAAGGAGGAAATCCTCAGCTCGCTGACCCGTTGGGGGGAAACCAGACCATTAATACCGGCAGCCCTCCCCCCCAAAACAACTCGTGCTGTAAGCTAACACAACCACGGCGCAGGACCGCAAAAATGTACTGTAGTCTGTACGAACATGAAAAAGTATGGGTCTCACTGCATGGAACCCAACAAAGAAGGACTAGGGTCTTTCCGCTGCGCCTCATTTTTTCGGACATGGCTTGGTCCCATGAAGTGAAGCGGATGGGAAATTTCCCCTCTTCTTGGTGAGATGTGCATCGTGATTGGATCGTGGGGTGAGATGTAGATGTACGCCGTACAGGCTGGTGCATCCTCCGAAGCACGAAATCGTCGCCCGAAAGAGAGAAAGGGGAAATATTGTTGGTGTTGGAGGTGTGTTCACTGGGTCTTGGTGTACCGTATCACAGAAGCGATGCGATGCAGTGTTTTTTCAACGCCCACTTGAGGTTGTGACATCTTACAGTACCATCAGCGCCAATGTAGAACTCCGCGTTAACAGTTGGTATGTGTATTCTTAGAAAGAAAACAAAACGATCGCGAAATCGATTGGCTTATCCGGATAGGAATAGTGCTTCCGTAAAATCCGCCCATGTCGAAGTTGTATGTCAAATTCCGTACGCGAAGGAGCGCCATTCTTGCAATTGGGAGCAGAGGAAAGGCGCCACCATGACAGGCATCGATGGTGTGTACATGGGGTGGATGTCGTCGGCCTGGGGGCTGAAGGGTAAGCGAGTAAGCCCCGCAACAAAGATGGACAGATTTCCCCCCCACGAAGGAACCATTCATCATCGACCATTCTTATTCAAAGTTCTCTGATTCGTGGCCCGCGGTTCACTGCCTGCACTGACCCGGCCGATGTTAATTTGGGAAGAGGAGAAGAATGAGGCTGAATAACCTCACGGGCAGCGACGAGCAGTTCCATCCATGATGATCGCTAGGTACCTCAGTCCACCGAGTAGGAAGAAGCCTTCGAGAAGGATGTACACTCGAAAAAATTAAGATGTATAAGATAAGCGGTGTGGCCGCTTCGCGAGGAGAGGAACAGGACAAGAGGGCCAAATGCATCCTTCATGACTTCAACCTGCTCGTACCTGGTCACGATCAGCAGTCAATAAAATTCAAAGTAGATTCGGACGTAATATGCATCTACCAGCTCGTACTCCGGAGGGTTGTATCAACACGTCTACGCTGAAAGGAATCGCCCCGATGAGCGGCACCCAAGCCTCACATATGCTTGTGGTGCTAGACCCAGAAAGATCGGGCTTCCGAGAAGCTGCATCTGACGTTACTGATCCTTTCTAGCCAACGGTTTCAAAGATCTGAGTAATTTGACGCAAAGACTTCATAAGATTGGAGAGGGGAGTCACTTCGATCCTAATTGTTTCATCAATCCACGACCACTCTGCGATAGGAACACCTAGAGTTGTTTCTGCTTATCCTTGAGCGCCGACTACGTCAATCTCTGCTTACTCTTGTTTTAATTGTTTCCAGTTGGCGTTTGGTGTCCAACAGACAATATGTTCAAGATAAGGTGGAGGAAGGCTGAGTTATTTAAAAATTGTCGTTTATCATTCATTAAACCGAACCATCACTTATATCATGCTTCATAACCCAAACTCCACTCCCATGAAAATGATCCGTAGTACAAAAAGATGCTTTGCAAAACAGAGCACCTAACCCCCAACAGTAATTTCCGCTGTAGGATCTACTCGGATGTCGAGCTCCATCAGACCTTCCTTTTTCTCAATAACAAGTCCTTTCTCGTTGGCTAAATGCAACACACAAATGAAGCAGTAGCTAGTCGAGATATCGTTCAAAGTATTCTTGGGGTAGACACTCTTGAGGTTTTGCATGACAGACGTGAACTTGAGGCTGCCATCCTCGCCCTTCTTCGGCTCGAGAGGTGCGGTAGTTCTTGCGGGCAATACCTCCAATGGTGTATCCTAAGTCACATTAGCTTTGTTTATGGCTGACTGCAAAGATTGATGATAGACTTACATCAAGTCCTTTGATGCCCATGCCTCTCCACAGCTCCTCCTTTAACCTTCTTACATCGACCTTGGTCGCTACACGAGCATACTGTACATATTCTGGTCTCAATCGACGACTTTGGGTGACAAGTTGAATACCGAATGCCCCTTCACCATCAGCAGTCTGGGTCATGCTACCATTGAGTACATTATTGACGCCGTTCATACCGCCCTCTCCCCGTTCTTCTGCTCCAGGGGAGAAATGATCTCGAGCATCGGCGAATTCCATATCATCGTCATCATCCATTCCACCAGCCATTGGCAAGCCATCATCCTGGAAGAAATTGGCATCATAATCACCTTGCGGTGCCGCCTCTTCATCAGCACCCGCAGGACCCTCTTTACGAGCCCAGAAAGCCTCATCCATCTCACCCTCCGGAGCCTCTTCCTCTTTAACATGACCGATATTCCCAAACTTGGAACCAAATGCACTTCTTCGGTTGCCCATCTTTGCCTTTGGCTTCAAGAAAAGACGTAATAATTGTTTCGAGTTGAAGTGTTTGTCGTCTGGAAGAAGATTTCGGGTTTTTGATTTCCAGTCCTTTTTCGGTAGAGATATAACTGTGTTGGAAGATGCCGGGGTATAGATGGTTTCGGCGATGCTCTGGCTAAGTGAGGAGGTGAAATCGATCTCAAATAGTTCTTTTTCCTTTCGGGGCTTTGTAACAGCCGCAGGTTTGTTGACATCCTTGATTTTCCGGATTCGCCAATGCTCAGGACCGGCCCAATTCTTTTGTAATGCCTCATCAAAGTAACTCAGGATATCATCACGAGTGCCCTGGTTTTTCCCGCCATGATTCATGGATACGACGTACTCACCGGTCTCGGGATCGAAGTTTCCAGCTCCTTCTCCATCTTCTCCGTCACCAACACCCAAGCCGTCATTATCTAGGCCTGCATCATGAACGCGCATTCGAGTCTCAACTGCAGCGTCGCGGGCCCATGCCTCACCTCCCTCCCCAAAGCCCGCGTCAGCTGGTATATCGAAGCCTTCTAACAAACCATCGTCGTCATCATCAAATCCAACAGGATTGTCATCGTCTAAAAAGATACCGGATTTCATTCCAACAGCTGCCATTTCACCTTCGGCGGGCTTGTCCTTCTCCTGTCGCCAGTCTTCCGGTGCTTTCAAGAATGGTATATCCATTGACCCAGTTGGGTCGCCTAGGTCGAAATTTTTAAGTGATGGACAGATATCCTGTGAGTCCAATTGTTCCAGGTTAGGGAAGAACTTAGCGCCAAGTGCAGCGACATCAATTTCGACGTCTTCTTCATCCTCTACATCTCGCGCCGTAGAGTTCACAGTGGTATCCATATCTGTATCATCCTCATCTTGGACACCATCTTCTTTTCGTCGAGTTGCAGAGCCTTCGCCTGATGCGTCACCAGCATCATCACTGCTATCAAACACAATCCTACCTTGAGAATCAATTGCCAAATGATTAAGCAGTAATCCTTTGGCTCCGCCCTCGTCAAAGTCAGCGGAGGCTTTTTTGAAGAGAGGGTCGACTGAAAACTCTAGTTCCATCTTTTTCAATTGAATGGCGGAAAATGAAGCTGCAAGCGTGGCCTCTGAAGAGCGTTGTGCCTAGTTGATATTAACATTTTGCCTAGTAAAATTTATAGCTGCTGCGCTCGAAAAAGACCATATATGGATCGTCCGTAAGAAAAAGTAAACATTGTAAAGTTCCAAAACATAAGGGGTTGAAGAAATACTGCCAAAAATACAAAGGGGGCTTATTTTAGAAAGGTACATTGCACCAAACGCGATTGTCGTTTAGTGGTATAATCTACCCTGAGCATAGCCTTTACGAGCTTGTGATTGGTCAAGAGATATTGTCAGTGCCAAGAGAGAGGCATAGCAGAGAATGACGAGCGGAATTCATAACCACTAGACCGTCAAGGACGTTTCGTTTTTTTCGAATGATGGTCAAGTGATAATAATTCCCGCTTGTTTCTGAAACCCGCGAGAACTCATTTCGACATATTGGCTGTAAAACATTAACGAGGAGAGATGGGGAGGGAAATCAAAGCAGATATTGCTAGAAATCACCTCCCCAGTGGCTGCTCCGCGATACAATCACGTTCCGCACTAACATGCGTTGAATTACGTCAAGATATCCAAAGTCGTGAATTGACCACCTTGGAGTCTCGTAGGAGCCCACGGCGATGAGCGGGAAATTATGGTATCGAATCGGAGCACTAGCTCCGTCGCCGTGGCATCCCTCAACAAGTACAAGATAAACAGAACAAAAGCGAACATACCCTCTTCTTAGGCTTCTTTCTGACAACACCATCTTCATCCTCGACTTCCTCCTCACTTTCTTCACCTTCCTCGTTTTCGCCTCGCTTCTTTTTATTGTTGCCGCTGTCCGCAAGTCCACTGAGCAACTTGCCCGTCTCTGTCGCAACACTGTCGACTCTGCTGGTATATATCTTGACGCAACCATCCAGCGTGCAACTGGCTTTCTGAAAATTCACACCGTCGCCTTCCTTTAGTAGTGACATGTCGTGGAAGTAGTCGATGAGCGCAAAATTCCAAGAATTGGTAGCGTTAATTTTGTTGTCCGTAGCCATCTTCATCCATTCTTCAAAATTGGCCAATATTGGGACGCGCTTCATAGGTGTGACTGCTGTCCCTCCAACCGTGATCACATCTTCATCAAGATCATTGTCCAATTCCCCCATCCGCCGTGGTGTCTTTGGATTTGAGCCTGGCGAGGAGCCTGCAGATCCATCGTGTTTGCGCATTGGTGAAGCCGCAGCCTTGATTTGGTTCATGTGAATGCCATGGAGGGCATGTCGTGATTGCATCCGCTTTGCCTTTTCCTGCGCATCGTCATTGAGGGGTATCCTTCGGGTGTTAGCAGAGGCAGGTGCAAGCAAAGAATGGGCGGAGGGTGTCTCACTTAATAGGCGATTTGAAAGGCGACGCGGTCATGGATCCGGAGGCCACTCGGCCATTGCTACTGCGGGGTGCTTGGGCGACTCGAGGCATCGTGGTGTGTGTTGTGGTGGTGTTGAGGTTTCCGTAGATTGCGCTTACGAAGATTCATCTCCATGTCAATAGAGACGCGATTTGTTTACCACACAACAAATTTTGGCCTAGGAGCCTTGGATCAGAGGCAGCGACAGCAGGGTCTTGGTCCCTGCCGAGCCTACCTATCGTTGACCAATGACCATTGACATACGAGACGTGCAAGTGGTTGTGGCGATAGAGCTGTGGCTGTGTGGCTGTGCACGGGTGGTACTGGCTCGCTGGTAGCACCGTAGCCCGCCCCGAGCCCGCCCCCTGCAGCTTAAGGTTCTTGGTTTCTTTTCCCAGGTGGGGCCATCCAAGCTTCGTCATACTGCGCTCCCGAACTCTGAACCTGATGCTGATTCCTGAACACCAAGACCAGTCATCTCAACCAATCTGGAGCATGGCCACGCACGCTTGCATCGTCCGCGACCCAGACGGAATTCTTGCCTTTGCCTGAACCTCGAACTAGTGATTGACAACTCACTCTCCCTTCCTCAACCACTTCCACCACCGCAAACCTGCCTACCAGTGGCCAATTTGATCTTCTGCCCAGCCCAGCCCATCGCATCGCGCAAAGCTTCTACTTAACCTCATCGCTCGCCGGAATTCCAAACACCGTACAGTATCATGCGCGAGCAATGCTACAGACCTTCTCGAATACGCCCGCGGTTGCGACTCGCGCACGCCGACCAAGGTCAAAACTGAGTTTTCGCGCATTCTACGTCACCGTTCTTTTGATATCTGCTTTTGCAGTCATCAGCTTGGTTGCGGAGCAGACAGCGAGACACAGACATGGCTCGGAGTATGGTGCAGCGCAGCGGCGGGCGCTGGCCAGTTTGGATAGTGGCAGACTTTACAGGAGGGACGAGGAAGTGAGTGTTGGCGAAGTCCTTCTCAGATATCAACACTAACAAAGTCCAAACTTCAGTGCCGTCTAGTTCACCAAGCCGAAGATAAGTGCGCCTTCATCAAAGCCAATTGTCCGGACGAAGAAGCCGGTCTTCTATCCTACCTATCCCTCTATTACTGTGATCTCAGCTCGGCGCAACCGTTCGCATTTATAATTCTCACCCTGTGGTTGGCACTGTTGTTCACAACAATAGGCATTGCAGCTTCGGATTTCTTCTGCATCAACCTATCCACCATAGCGAGCATTCTTGGAATGAGCGAATCCATGGCCGGAGTGACATTCTTGGCTTTTGGCAATGGGAGCCCTGATGTGTTTTCCACGTTTGCTGCCATGAGTTCTCATAGCGGAAGTATGGCGATAGGTGAACTGATTGGAGCGGCCGGTTTTATAACAGCGGTCGTGGCTGGTTCAATGGCATTGGTACGAGAGTTCAAAGTCGGGAAAAAGACTTTTGTCCGAGATGTGGGCTTCTTTATTGTCGCTGCATGCTTTACTATGGGATTTCTGTCGGACGGGGAGCTTCATTTGTGGGAGTGCTGCGCCATGATTGGATTTTACATTTTCTACGTTATTGTGGTGGTCATGTGGCATTGGTGGTTGGGTCGCCGACGTTTAAGACGAGAGAGAGAGGCTGCTGCTCGCGGCCACTATCTGGCAAATTCGAGCGAAGAAATAGAAGTGACCGAGGAGGATGACGACGATGACGATGCCCCCGCGGGACAAAGAGGTCGATATAGAGACTCGGAGGATTTTGCTGCTCTGGAGGGTGGACCAGGCACAACTTACGACGGATCCCAGGCAGACCATGAGATTGATGAGGAGGGCGAAGAAGGAAGACAACTGGCCGCCGAGATGGCGAGCAGTATGCGTGTCACGCGCCCAAGGGGCTCTCGGAGAAATACCATCACTCCAATCCGACCCAGTTTGGTTGGAGCTCTGGAATTTAGATCGGTTCTTTCATCACTTCAGAGATCTCGAGGATCCCACGCACGGCCAATACATCTTCGTCGATATTCGGACGATCCAACTGGAGGGAACACCATAAGCAACTTTGCTCGATTGCCTTCGGGCCAGGGGCCATATTCAGACAACGTTTCTAGCATTGTTGTGACTAGAGCAGAAGATTCCGACGAATCCGTAGAGACAATGCCATCACGAAGATTACGAGCGGTATCTATGAATGACGCTGAGGGATCCAAACTGCCAGATCCAGCGGCTTTTAGCGTTGCCAAAATCCCAAATATCGGGCTTGTGGCAGCCACTCCTACACACCCCACACACCTAAGCGCAGAATCTGCAAGCCTTCACGCACCTCCCTCACCATCGATTTCTGTCTCTCCTCCATCATCGGTTCTTGGATTCAGGGGTATGAGCCCAGCTCCTTCCAGAGATGGTCGCAAACATAATAGCCTGGCACCCCCAGCTGAGGGTTCGAGCGCTCGTCATCTTCGAGTAGACTCTATAGACTCTTTGAGGCCGCAGCGTCCTCGACTTGATATTCCTGGCTCCATATCAAGAGATAGCTCCCGCTCTCCCAGATCTTCAATCACGTCTCCCATTCTGCAGTTTCCTGCCTATACCGACTCCCCCTTGCCGATGTCTGCCCGCAGCTCACAAGCTCCAAGTCTCATGCTTCCCGACAATGCACTGACTGCAGAGTCATCATATACAGAGCAGGGTCTGGGGGAAGAATATCTAGAGAAACGGATTAAATGGTGGCCATATCGTTTCTTACCTAGCCCCTACGTTCTACTGTCTACGCTCTTCCCTACCTTATCAACGTGGCGAGATAAATCGATCTGGGACAAATTCGTCAGTGTCATATCAGCACCAAGTATATTTCTTCTTGCTATTACTCTGCCTGTCGTAGAGTCTGAGCAAAGGGAAGAGGAAGTTCCTGAACCGGCTGTTACAGAAGAGAGACGCCCTCTTTTGAGGAACAGGTCGAGGAGGGGTACACTGCCACCTGTTTTAACACCAGAAAGTCCATCAATGGGACCCGAGCCCGAATGGTCGCAATATCAACGAATGGCTGGTAGTCAATCTCCTCGATTGCCAAATGATCATTCCGGTCTTACTGGCCACGGTGCTGCAGCGGTTGCTGTTTCTGCTGAGCATCTCCACAACCACATGCAACCAGTGATAGATCCACCAAAACAACCAACTAACTCCGTCGAAGATCTTCACGACACGACCAGCGATAAGTGTCCATCGGGTGATTGGAATCGATGGTTGGTTTCAGTTCAACTCTTCACTGCCCCTTTGTTCACAGTGTTCATAATTTGGGCCAACGGCGATCCTAGTTGGAGTCTTCTCGCCCGATTGGTTCTATATTCCCTCCTCGGATCACTTGTGGCCTTTGCCATTTTGGTCTTCACTACTACGCCCTCCAAGCCACCAAAATATCGATTTCTTCTGTGTTTCATGGGGTTTGTTGTTTCCGTGGCCTGGATCTCGACAATTGCAAATGAAGTGGTAGGGGTTTTGAAGGCTTTCGGGGTCATACTTGGGATATCAGACGCCATTCTCGGACTCACCATCTTTGCGGTTGGTAATTCTCTTGGAGACTTGGTGGCCGACATCACAGTCGCTAGACTAGGATATCCTGTCATGGCATTGAGTGCTTGCTTCGGTGGACCAATGCTCAACATATTGCTTGGCATTGGAATTTCTGGTGTTTACATGACCATCAAAGAGGCGAACCATAAGCACTCGAAACACCCAGGAAAAAACATCAAATACAAACCATATCATATCGAAGTTAGTCGAACTCTTATGGTTTCGGGAGCTACTTTGTTGGTTACTCTGGTTGGATTATTGGTGGCGGTTCCAATGAATAAATGGGTTATGAGTCGACGAATTGGTTGGGGACTTATTAGTTTATGGATCTGCAGTACGGTGATTAATTTGGGTGTGGAGATTAGCGGGTGGGGGGTCACTTCCTAACATCTCTTTTTAAATATTGTTTATGTTTCATAATCATAATTGGGTTTGTTCTATATGGGTAGGCTTTGGGCAATGGGCGTTTGAGGGAAGCTACATAGGTAGCGTCTTTGGCTGTTCTCGGCGTTTTCTTGACTATTGGAGTTTTACATACGAGTGGGAATACGTATATATGTAGTAGATTCTTATGATGACTTCAAATCTCAGTTCAGTCTTGATTTTCAAGAAGTGAGAGACCTCGACATCGCTCCCTAGCGGAGACTTTATGAGACGACAATCTTATCAGGAGTTCCGGTGCTATTATTCTGGTTGTTTACATTCGTAAAACGATTGAGAATTGCAACATGTAGTGATTCTTCCCTTTTGTAGGGAAGGTGAATGATTTCCTGGTTGGTGGTTTTAAGTTAGATTCACCTACCAAGTGCCGTACCTGGTGCTAGCGTACTCGTACAGGAACGGCTTTTCTTGGCTCTCTCCAGCTACCCCATAAAATAGGGATCTCGGATGCGGGGAAAAGTGGGGGTTTCTATTCCACAATTGGACGTGGTGACCATGAGAAGAAATTCTATTGGTGGGACAGGTCGGCGTCTGAAGGTTGGAAGTGGACCTTGTGAAACGGTCTGTTGCTTCACCGTCACCGGTGCAATGTGAGCCGACGATAACAAGCCAAGGTCGAGCCTCCTTCACTTGTTTTTTCCTTCTTCAAAGTTTGCACTGTACGTAGAATTGTTCCTGTCAAGAATCTCCTGTCAATTCACAGAACAATTGCAACCATGGGCAAAGTATTTGATGCTGCAGAATGTAAGGTATCCAATTCCCAACGGTTATGCAGAACTAACTGTCCCGAATAGTGGCTAGACATAACCGACCCGACTCCTGCTACGTCTGTCTCTACGGCGACGTATGGGATGTAACTGATTTCCTGCCCCAACACCCCGGTGGCTCATCCATAATCCTCAAACTGGCTGGCGCAGACGCAACAGAAGAATATGATCCCATCCATCCTCCCGGAACCCTCGAGGACAACCTTCCACCGGAGAAGAAACTCGGCACCATAGACGTATCGCTGATTCCCAAATTGGAACCGGAAGAAGTACAACATACAGAGGGACCGGTGGATGTGCAAACGCTGCTGAACCTCGATGAGATCGAGGAGGTTGCCACGAAACAGATTTCCAAAAAGTGCTGGGCGTATTACTATTCTGCGGGCGATGATCTGATATCAAAGAACTTCAATAATCTGGTTTACAAGCAGATTCTGTTGAGACCTAGGGTTTTTGTGGATTGTACGAGATGCGACCTTACTACCTCGATGCTAGGTCACAAGGTGGGCTTGCCACTTTATGTATCTCCTGCTGCCATGGCGAGGTTGGCACATCCAGATGGAGAACAGGGTATTGCGAAGGGCGTTAGTTCTTTTGGGGCGTGCCAGATTGTTAGCAATAATGCTTCTATGACACCCGAACAAATTGTGGAAGGGAGTGCGCCGGGACAGATTTTTGGGTGGCAATTGTATGTTCAGGATCAGAGGCAGAAGAGTATCGAGATGCTGAAGAGGATTGGAAAGATGGCTGATAAGTATAAATTCATCGTCTTGACATTAGACGCGCCTGTCCCTGGGAAACGAGAACACGACGAGCGGTCGTCTATGAGTATCAATGGTCTGCCGAAGAAAGACGGTTCAGATGGGGGAGTGGGGAAGCAGTTGTTTTGGGGCACGGCGGCAGATTTGACTTGGAAGGTTACGCTAGCGTGGTTGAGTAAACATACGCAGTTACCCATCGTCCTGAAAGGTTTGCAAACTCATGAGGATGCGTATTTGGCTTCTCAATACCCGCAAGTCAAGGCTGTTATACTCTCTAATCATGGAGGGAGAGCACTGGATACGGCACCCCCGGCGGTACATACTCTGCTTGAGATTCGAAAATTTTGTCCCGAGGTGTTTGGCAGACTAGAGGTCTGGGTTGATGGCGGGATCAAGAGGGGAACAGATGTGGTAAAAGCCCTGTGTCTTGGAGCGAGGGCGGTAGGTGTTGGAAGGGCGGCATTATTTGGTCTGGGAGCCGGGGGAACAGAGGGCGTTCATAGAACTTTCGAGAGTGAGAATTCCTTGCTTCCTAACCGTGTGGCCCTGGAAGAAATCTTGCTAATTAAGTTTCACAGTCCTCGAGGCGGAAATCAAAACTTGCATGCGGTTACTCGGTGCTGAGAAAGTCAGCGATTTGGGGCCGAGATTCGTAAGTCCAACCCCCTTCCCCCCTTTTGCCGTGTGAATCCTAACGAAAGCAGGTCAATTCCAGGGCTGTGGAACGAGATATCTACGATGGACATGCGGGACTAGAAAAACTGGGGCTGTGGGTGAAATCGAGTTTGTAGATAGAGAGGGATGTACAGTCCATGGCATTTCCGACTTTTCGATTACCGTACCTCAATTTACCTTTATATCTTAAGTCTAGGGAAACTAAATCGTTGTACTGGTAGGTACTTATACCCTAGGCGCTACCCCTGTATTACAGCCGCCCTTGTGTTGTTTCCGGAGACGTTTTTAATGTACTGATTTTTGGGAACTTGTCTTGAATACATAAGAATTTAAGTCACTCATAATGCTGTCTTCTGATTGTGGGGCTTAGAGGGTCGAACTATGCCGGCTCCTTATCTGAAAACCTACTTTGGCCGGAAACAACGTATGGGCATTGTAGATTTACGATACCTACTTGGTTCCAGGTGTAGTAATCGTAACTTTCTCAAGGTGGCTTCATTAGAGAGCAGGGTGAAAATCCCGTAAAAGTACAGTTATTATCCCTGGGACGAAATACCAGTACCGTAAGAACTCGATAGGATGGTCCAAAGTGTAGCAGGGGGGGGGGACTTTTGACCTTGGCTACCTATACCAAAAATACCCTCGGAATGCCCTTGCTACTGTACTCCTTTTCAAGCGGCTTTCTATTTCGAAATTGGTACGTTAGTACTTGGAGTATACTTGAATGGGAAGGAAAAGTGGCTTGTAAAGAGATCTGGTATCAAGTCGGGGCCCTTTTATGGTACTTACGGTATGAGCTTTATGGTGGTTAGGAATCCCCCGGCTACCTACACTTTGGAGTATCCTCTTGAGTTCTTGTGGTATGATTGTAGATTGTTAGGGTTGTATACCTGCAATCTTACTAGGTGTAGTCCCTTCGCAAATGTAGCAAGAAACAAGGACCATCTACTAGTGTGTTGCAGGGTATTTTACAAGGCATTTTATATATAAACTGCTTTTTTCTACACGTTCTGGGGTCGCGAAACATCTTGCTACTTTTGCGAAGGGACTGTATGTTCTTGTTGGTGGATTGTCTACCTTGTCTTGTTTCATGGTTAATCGTTACTGAAATGGCGTGATAAAAGTTAGTCTGGACGTTGATCTACAGGTTATGTGCACACTAACAGACGGTATTTATAGAAATTGAAGAGGCGGCAAAACTCCTCTGTTTTGTTTCTTTCTTCGATTCAGTTGGAAGTTCAAGTCATTGTAGCAAGAGTCTAGCGACATGGTATGCCTTCCAGATGGCAACATGCACCGAAAGCGAGGTACTGTACGAGTAAGGTGGCTACTTTTTCAACATCTACCAAACAACGTCGTTTGGCCAAGCAGACTGATCTTCCAAGCCTTTGAACCTCAAATATTCGACCCGTATCCCGCTCCGAGTGTATGTTCTTTTGGCAGCTCTCACATCCGGACGGGATGTCAATCTAGAACAATCTGATACCGTTATCTTTTCCTATTTAGGCAAAGAAGTTGGGCACAGGAGGCAGGTCACTAGGCTTCCCTGTCAGTTGTTGCGAATACGCTGAATCTAAAAACCGCCACCGTGTTCGACAAAGTTGTCCAATCACGGTAGCTCGCTTCCCAATATCCTAATGTATTCGTATGATAAGAGCAGAACAGCGGATAGGGTATGTCGTAACCCATCTGATTCTTGTTCATGCATACCAATACTTGAAGGTTCTTTCGATGGTAAACGTCGTCTATCGTAACTCAAAAAACCCCCTAATAATTCAGACCAGTAAGGCAATTTGAGTTGTGCGACACTCTTTCTGTCTCATTCCATCTATCAGAGACTTAAGTATAGCCCCGGGTTTTCCGTTACCCGTCTCCTTTTGTGTTGTTACAAGTAACCTCTTATCACTAAAAGCTATTCTCTTGAATTTACTGTTGCAATGATTTAGACGAAGCTTTTCATATTGTGATTGCGATTATACTCAGAGATTTTGTTACGGGGGGCTGGTCGTAAGGGTACCCTCCTGTTTGCGCAGAAACAATCGACGAAACAATTTAAGCTTAAGCTGCGTCGAATTAAGCTTTGGGGATCGTCGTGCATGAATAGTCATCTCAAGCATCGGATTCTTTTGCGCAGGACTCGGTTAATAGCCGAGCACCGGACGGCCCGTCATCAGAGATGCTGTATTTTGCCCATATGTAGATTGTCTAACATTGGAACCTCGACGACTATGGAAATATTGCGAAGATTAAAATTATCGATCTCCTTTGTATGTTCAGTCTGTAATTGAGCCTTACCATCTGACTGAAGTGCTCAGCACTCCGTTGCCAAGACTTCATGTATAAGATTACCCTGGGGATCCTGACAATTCGAAACAGCACTATTACAGCTTCGAACAACATGTATCACGATCATCCTTGTACTAGTATGAAGGCACTCTGTACCCATTCTGAGCAGCAGTCAATATCCTTTCCCCACTTCAGTTTGAACTTTATTGTTTAGCCCCAATCATACTTGTTTGCGTCATCCGAATGGTTAACTCGACGACCCAAGTTCGGAATCCATGGAGCAACCAGGACTAGATAATAACTTTCATTCCCTTCAAGTCTACCTAGGGCCATCCAGGTTTGATGGAGTTTTAAGAGGGACGATTACTTCGAAAGAGGGTTTGTTCCACACACGGTACGAGTAATATGTGCACGTGGCCACTGTCGATCCTATAATCCGTTTTGCATTGTTCCTGACGAAGAGGCGAAACTTTAACTGCGGAATGCATACACTTCAAACGATCGCGGGAGTGTCTGATTCTTCCGAAGACGAGAAGGTATATCTGTCTGTGTCTCAGTAGAATCCTCTAGTCAAATACCTACCTCCTCTTTAGCAAGTTCGCTACTTGCGCTAACAAAAACCACCTTGTTATCTGAACAGTTCAACACCAATTGCAGATATGAGGTTTCCCAATGTTCCAAGTATTGTTCTCCTCCTCGCCTCCGTCCTCTCTGTAGAGGCTGGTCCTCTTCCAGCCAGTGGCGTTCAATCCAGAGGGTCTGTTCATGGCTTATTCCCCCCAATCATAACGGAAGGCAAGGGAGCTGTCGAAGAACGAGATTCCGTTATTTCAGGAGCATCAGATGAGTCACCTGCAGTGGAAAGGAGTCTTTCCATTCACGACAAGCGAGGGTATGTTCAAGGTCCAACATCACCGCGAGGTCCCACTGGTCCTCATAAACAAAATCGGGAATATGATCTTTCTCTTTATGCCTCTCTCATTTACTGACCTCATCTCGTTCAGTGTGTCCAACGCCTCACCGCCTGATGCTCTTCAACAGCGGGGGTGGATCGAAAAGCCGAAGTCACCACCCTCTATTCCTCATAAGCGGGCTTCTGAACCTCGCTCACGGCCTGTCCATCCAATAGATGGAGAACACAACAAGCGAGGTGGTGGTGATGGAGAGGAATCGTTAATTAGGGCAAGGACTATAGTTGAAAGGCAAAAGCCGACGCCGCCTCCAAAGTCTCCAAATCCTCTTATCATCCACACACCCAATAATAAGAGGACGCTCACGTTTTACCTCTCAAGGGATAAACGGTCGGATGGTGAGGGACCAGAGGATACTATTGAGGAAAGAAATCCAGGAAAGGGAGTTTTTGGCAGGGGGCCTGCGAAAGAACCAAAAAAGCCTGCGAACCCTCTTATTATACATGGTAGCTCTAAGAGGACGGTCACGTCTTACCTTTCAACGGACAAACGGTCGGATGGTGAGGGACCAGAGGCTACTATTGAGGAGAGAAATCCAGGAAAGGGAGTTTTTGGCAGGGCGCCTGCGAAAGGACCAAAAAAGCCTCCGAACCCTCTTATCATCAGCAGCCACTCTAAGAGGAAGGCCACGTCTTACCTTTTACCGGACAAACGGTCGGGTAGTCTCCAAGTCCCCAAGGGACCAGGTGTTACAATTGGGGAGAGAAATCTAGAAGAGGGAGTCTTTGGCAGGGCAGATGCGTCTAAGCACTCTGCAAAAACTGGAAACCCCCTCATTATCCGCTCCGAGTCGAAAATCGCGTCTGCTCTTTCATCGGTCAAGCGGTGGAATGGTCTTTTTGCTATTGAGAAGAGAGACCCAGGAAAGGCCAATCCAGACACGCCAACGCTTCCACTGAGTCATGATGGGAGGGAAAAACGGTGGAATGGCCTTATTGCTATTGCGAAGAGAGGTTCAGCAAAGCCAAAGCCGGACAAGGCTCCCCCTGACCATCAGAAACGGTGGAATAATCCTCTACAACTTCGCGAGGCATCTGATATTACTGTTAAGAAGAGAGATCCAGCACCGGGAAAACCAGACACACCAAAGCTTGAACCTTACAATCCGGGGGAAAAACGATGGAATAGTGCCTTTGAACCTCTGAATATCGAGAAGAGGGTGCCCTCAGATAAAGAAAAAGTGGACCCAGGGAAAATTGATCCCGATGTACCTGGCCACCACAAGAGGGCGCCCGCTGATGTCGCTGTTGGGAAAAGAACCCCTCTGCCTGGTCAACACACTAAGATAGGACAGCCTAAGCCGGGTAAGAGGTCGAATAGCCTTCTCGAAAGCCGTGAGGGTTCTCTTGTGCCTGGCCAACACCCCAAGATAGGACAGCCTAAACCGGGGAAGAGGTCGAATAGCCTTCCCGAAAACCGTGACGAATAAAGCGTTGCTGCTATCAAGAGAAGCCCAAATACAAAGCCAGATCCTACAAAACTGCACCCTGGAGGGTCTTAATAGCTGGGGGCGTATGGAATCATGACAAATTGAATGATGACAAGAGGAGTGGTGATATTGCAGGCGGATACCACAAGAGACCCGGTGCATGAGGACGGCAAGCGAGGGGAAGTTCTCTCTACTCATTCATTTATCTCTGCCGCCCCGATGGGAAAGTTCGCTTAGCGAGGGGGGCTGCAAGATGCGGGAGATAATGGCACATCTACTACATCCACCAACTCTGGCAAAACGCATTCTGGCTGCAAATCATTTGGAAGATGCATGGAGAATGAAGATCTGTTTTCAGTCATTGAATTCGCTCCCTTTCTACAATATACTTCTTGTCATTGATCTGGATGTTCTGGTATACTCTAAATGTATTCTTTATTGATATTCTGCTCTTTTGCAAGCCAGAAATATTTCCATTATTAGTTCGCTAGGCATCTAACGTGGTCTTTTATCAAAGTAGAAAGCTTCAAAAATTTCATGCGCGTAGAGATCCTTGGAAGAATACTAATAGTCAGTGCCCTTCCTACGGCGCATTCGCTTGTAGTCAGCGGAAGCAAGTGTAGAGCGGAAGCAAGTGTAGAGCGGAAGCAAGTGTAGAGTCTTGCACGCGTATAGGGCTCTTTCTACCGATATAGCGCCACCTTTACTTGTTATAAAGACAAATAAATAACACGGATTTATAGATATAATCAACTACTGTCCTATACTAAAAGGATTAGTTTTCTTAATACGATTTACGTGCGATGCAGATAAATTTATTAGTATTCCGAAGACTCGATTTTAGTAGGGTGCGGCACGCGCGCCCGTGCTACACCCTCAAATACCGTCTCTCTTCTGATATCTAAAGTTCCTCTAAATATATTAACGCGCACCGGCTAAATTTAGTTAAGATACTATTGTTTTATAGTACTAATCAAGATCTTTCATTTGGACCTATATAGAAGCTTGTAGCTTAAAAACTAACTTTGTTAGAGGAACTATTAGTAAGACTCTACACTTTCTTCCGCTCTACACTTGCTTCCGCTGACTACAAGCGAATGCGCCGTAGGAAGGGCACTGACTATTATGATGTTGTTGAATATGAAGAGAGAACTAAGCGAGCACGTGGTACCCGCAATACGTTGTCGCTTAATTTAGCCGACCCCATGACGTTAGATTCGGCCTATCTGAAGTTGCGAACTAAGATTCCCACAACAACCACAAAATTAGGCACTCATTCTGATCATATTCGCTTAATTCTGAGGATAGAATTATAAAGGAAGTGCCAATCTGCTTCATTACTAAGTGCCTCAGCTTTTCCAAGTCAGCTCAACATGTAGAGCTCCCTTCTCCCAAATCATGTACACTTTTTGGCCGTATCTCCAATCTGAAAACCCGTCGACACATTCCATATCGAAATGCCAAATTAGTCTTGCGAGTATGAGCTTTGAAGTGACATAAGCAAAACTGTATTGAATTAGAGAAGGCCGAAGGAAGGGGATAGCAACTCACCTCCTCCCGATACAACTCCTGGGACCGAATGAGAATGGTTGCAGTACTTCTTTATTGTGAGTCGCTAAGGCCGGGTTGGAGAGAAAACACTCAGGTATAAAGTCTTCGGTTAGGGTGAAGTTCTTTGGATCGTGATATGCGGCGTAGTGCCCGACAGATACAGAAGTCTTGGAGAAGGATTGTTAGCAATGCTACGTCTATCAGAGCACAGTTAGAAGCTTGATCTCACGCCTTCTGGAACCCAGTCACCGCAAATACAGTCCCCGCCACTACTGACAACCCTCGGTATACCCGATGGGCCAGGTGGGTATATCCTCAGCGTCTCTTCAATCACGGCGTGCAAGTATTTCAATGGAGCGAGGCTTCGTACGGTGATCTCGTCTTTAGAGTTAAAGGCTGAGCGTATTTCATGAGTTGATTTCTGCAATGCTAAGGGGCATTTCAAAAGGCAATATGTTGCTCCAGAAAGTAGCGTCGCGGTAGTTTCCGACCCACCAGTGATGAATATACTTACATTGGCACAGAGCTCGTCCATATTTATATCTCCTTTGCTCTTGTGCTGCTGCAAGATATAACCCATAATATCCCGGCGATCAGTGTTCATTTCAAGTCTCTTGTTGACCATCTCAAGTGTGAATTTGTGATATTTGGCCTTTTTGGTCCTCAGTGACTTCGTTATGCACCGGCGGAGAAGCGCCCTGGTCATCCAGTCTCTGGAAGCTACAGCAAGATACGCGCCAGCTTTCAGGTTTTTGAAGATGGTCTCGATCCACGGGTGGTATTTTGATTGTTCCAGACAGCCAAAAGACTCCCCAAAGCCAACACTACCCATGATATCGAATGTTGTCCAATTGTATTTTGCCCCCATATCGATAACATTGTTAGTTTCTTCACAAAAAAATCCACATGAGATCTTACTATATATTCCTGCGCAGCAAGGGTTTTATCTGGGAATGCAGGAGCAAGTATCCGACTTAGGCGGGAATGATCCGCTGTTTCCGCGCAGAGAATGCCTTCTCTATTGCTCGGTAGACGTCCGTGAAAACGTGGACCTTTAAGCATTTGAACATGCCCTGGCCGATGGCCATATATATCCTTGCAAGCAGCTGCTGTATTGTACGAGAGTTCATCAAGGGCGATACGAACAACATCTCCATACTGTTTGTCTAGCTTAAGGCATACGATCGGTACCTGCCCTTTCATAGTATGATACATGTAGCAAAGTTGAGTTGCTCCATAGACTTTTGGGCCCGGGTATTTTGATAGTGGATGAAAGTACGCTTTTTAGATCATATCCGAAGCTGCCATAGACTGTAATCCTTGTGAGAAGCAGAATTTGGTCGAAACATACGCGGTGCAGACTTACCAACGACGTTATGGCTATTAACCAGACAAATCCACATAAGGAGACATGCTGCCCAAGTATCGAGTTCAATGACTACATACTAAGATATAACTAACTGTCTTGTCAAATAATTATATTTTCTTTGAAATATGGAAGAAATTCAGTGCTTAGATAGCTTTATAAAATATCGAATACTTCAGCGATAGGTCAACATACAAACAGGCATGCCGATTTACAGATTCAGCTTCATGGACACAAAGCTGTGTCACCTTGGAGCCTATAACAGGAAAGGTACCGCACTAGTAGCGGAGATACACCCCATTTCCGAGTTTTAGGTAGTAGTGACACAAATATCCTCCGCTGTGTCACGACGGCATTGAAATCCCGTAGTATCCCATTGAAGAATACTACGATTGTGTGTGATTGATTATTGGTGTGTCGTCCTAGATAACCTAGAGCTAGATCATCAGCCGCTGATTTTTAAGCCGATACTACGTGGTACGCTGCTAATCGAGAAGAACTGATCGGATACGTTTTTTCCCTGCGCGCATTGGACACAGAACATGTTTTATGTTGTCCCCCTTTTTACCAAAATATTTCAAAGAAAAATGAAAGAAAAATCGAAAGACTACTGTTGGTGCTGAGATCAAACATGCGTCGGTATTTTGGCTACTGTAGCTCTGTGCCGGAAAGTAGACGGTTCGCTTAGTTCACTTCACAATTTTGATATCCAAAACTATGATACAATATCTCAGATAACAGAGTATCAAGACATGGGAATGAGTAAACTGCTAAGCGTTGCCAATATCTTTGGACCCACCCTTGCTGATACTCGTGGAATGTGATCACTATTGATGAGTTATTCGACTTGGGACACAGGTGCAGAGGCGTACATCCGAACTGTACTTAGTCTTGGGTCGGGTAAGGGTAAGGGTGGCGTACCAAGTGCTTTCCCAAGTGTCACCTTCGAAACTACTTGGGTGTTTTCACTTGAAGCAAAAACTAATCAAATTAAACTTCTTCCAGGCTCTTTCGACGCTACTGCAAGCCGGTTTCCGTGCAGATGTCTTGGGCAAAAATCAGGTTGAGGTCATTGCGGACTGCAATCAAAAGGTGCTCGTGTCTGGACAGGGGATGCTTGGATTTGTTGAGTTAAAGATATGCAGCATATGCTGAATTCGTGACTTCTCTCCATGTTTAAACAGAAAATACTAACTGCCAATTGTCATCTTCAGCTTCTGGGTTCCAGGCTGACGCGGACGACACAGTCATGTCGGTCTTTTGCTTAAACCTTCTGGATCGACATGTGTTGCCAGATCAAATGATCGCGCACTTGAGTACCGGTAGTCATTTCAAGACCTACGAATCAGAACGAACGGCAAGCTTTAGTACCAACTGTAATGTTCTCAACATGCTTGTCAATAGCCCTCAACCTCTCAAGTATCTGGATTCGATTGCGGAAGCAGCTAAATACGTTGAGCAATGCTGGTCTGAGGACTCGATTAAAGACAAATGGGCATTGAAGATTCCTGCTATGCATTTGAGTTGGAGCTAACATCGACAGAATCTATCACCATATTACTCGATGATGCTCATGGATCAGGCTTTGACTGGTCTTTTGCGTCTTTCTGGCTTTCAAATTGCCACCAGTTCCTTGAGCGTTGCGATCCTTCTTGAAAAGACACCCAAGCTGTTGACGCAAGTACTTTGGAGAACATTGACAAAAAAAAAATCCAGATGATTCATGGGGTCAGTGTAGATTCCCGAAAAGGCTGCGTATGGCGTTTTGACTCTCATGGCTTTGCAAGATTTTCCTTGGATGAATAAATTGAAGACCCAAGTTCAAAGATCTATAGGAAAGGGAAGAGGGTTTCTGGGGGTTTCAGGGCCAAAATGGGCTCATGCCCAGTATCTCTGGGTTGAAAAGGTTACTTATGGTTCTCCCATTTTGTCTATGAGCTATTGCCTGGCTGCTATGTACACTAAGAAAGAAGAGTCGTGCTGGGGAAAATGTGCCAGCTTTACTACAATGGCCGTCGACGAACAGGCGATATTGGACATCGTTCACTTTCAGTACAGACTCCCGGGGCTTTCGAATGAGCCTCAATGGAATATAGAAGCAGCACTCACCGAGAGTTATTTTATTCTTCCAGAGCTGCGGAATTCACGTCTGGTGATGTTTCCTCGGCATGAGGTTAGAGAAAACAAAATCCTAAAATTCATCGCTTTTGTTTGGATCACAGCTCGAAATATCTCTCTTCCAGAAAGACTATTCTTCAATCTACTACTTTGGCGCGGAATGCATGTCTCAATGCTTACTGTCCAGATTGATGCGTATATGGAGAGCTTTGTAGAGAAATTCTAAAACGAGCTCCAGCAGATACGGATACTCATAACCAATTCTTGCGCTCATCCTATGGCTAAAGGCCAGAAAGATACTCCATGGACTGCGGACAACAGGATCGGAGGACGTGATTGTGGTTCAAAAGCTGACGAAGCACCTCGACCTTCCCCATAATTTGATCTTTCGGAACTGCAAGTTCTCAGAGGAATTGTGAATCACGTCTTGGGCCATAAAGAAATTGCTTCTCCCTCCATCTATCTCGGAAATATAATTCGGTATGAGCTCGAAAAATATCTTCTCGCAAATACTACCCAAGCGAGAGAAAACTTTCGCTTCAGACAACAGAAAAATGCACGCATGACTTTCACGTCTCCTACTAGTTCTTTTTACAAATGGCTAAGCAATACTTCGGCAGGCCATTCCACGTTGCCCTTCGCCACGGCCCTTTTCTGTGGTTTTATTGAACAAAATAGCAATTCTCAATTCCTGCTGGCGTGCGGCAAAAATATCTGTTTGAAGACGTATGTCGACATCTTGCGAGAATGACCAGACTGTTCAATGATTATGGGTCGGCTGAACGAGATAAAATCGAGAGCCCCGTGAATAGTATTAACTTCCCCGGGTTCCAGCTTGAGGCCCAGGATAGAATCAATGACGAACACTACGAATGTAACGACCCACGCAGAAGAGCCATGGAAAAACAAGAATTTGTGAGAGGTAATGTTTTCTGGATTGCTAGTATGAACGTAATTGCTTATATTTTGCACTTGCAGAACTGGAGAAGACAATGGACAATAAGGTCGCAGATGGAATCAAGCTATTCGCCACCGTTGCCGATATCTTTGCCCAGATCTATGTGGCACAAGATATTGGTTTATCGGCCGCAGATCTGAAAGATTGGCAGGGTACAGGTATAAAGTTCTTAACAATCTCAAGTTTCTCTCTCGCCTAGAGAACCTGGTAGCAAAATGTTTCCTACCTAGTTTAGAACTAATATTTAGTTAATCCGTCCTATATCTCATTTACTCGGAAACGCAGCTTGGTACAATTTTTATCCCCATGAAACAATTGTTCCCAACCGTCTTTATGGACGTTTCTGCTGAACCCTGCCCGTGTGTGCGTGGTCAATATCACGTGGACTGACTCGGTACATTCATCGCCAAGTATACCTACAGAGATACCATCATACACAATAAACAGAATTTGCGTGAGATGTCTCGTAATTTCAAGCAAAAAGATGGATTCAAGTAGGGTTGATTTGGACGACAATATCACATGATCAGCCCCATCTCCTTTACGGCGCTAAATCTGCTGAGCGGGTAGTAGCCGGCACCTGAAACACAAGACGATTTCAAACATCAAACATCGTACGAAGAACAGTACATCGTACACAGCCTCATCTGGCTCAGACTCAGGCTGAAATTGGAAGTCAAAATGAGGTCCAAAAATGCCATGTCAACTTCAGATATGGTCTCAGTCCAACGGTCGTTTGTGCGGTGTTCTTTGTACTCCTTTGATCATCTCAAGTTTGAGCCTCCACGGAACAAAGTTGCTTCGTTCTTACTCGGTACAAACATCAGAGATTCCACCCAATCCCCTTCCACGATCTATTGCCATTATGGCACCAAACCAAGTGTCTGGTCTTCGAGCCTGACCCAAGCTGAGGTGGCAATAATAATTGCAAGCGAACAAATTACAATCCCTCTGAGAGACGATTTGTTGTGATTGGGAAATCTTTGGCTGACACTGGCTAGAGTAACACTGGCTGGCAGCCGCTGTAAATCTCGGCTCTAACACTTCGCTTCGTCTCAGCCTCGTCTCAAGTGATGGTGTTCTCTAAGCTCCGGCTCATCATCATCTCCCACCCCCAGCTCCAGCTCCAGCTCAAGCTTCTCAAGCTGCCAAGCAACTCAACCTTTTTTTGGTTGCAAATCCCTTGATGGGTTCCCACCCAGGCGCAAATCAAGCTTTAGACAACAGTTAACCTTGTCTTACCAATCAGAAAGCTTCCATCAACTCCACCCACATTCTGTTTATCCGTCGAGGCATTGCAGTACTCCGTGTTGTTGGTAACTGTAAAATATGACGCACAACACTATTACGTCTAAGGACTACTCAGTGAGAGAGTCATTAGATGAAAGGGACCAGAGAACCCCGAACCATCGTACCACTGCACTGTGTTGGGAGATCAGTGGGAGAATGTGCGTGTTCGTTCACACATCTTGGCCGCTTCATGGATCTGATCTTCCTCCGTGCGTCGGAAGAGTTTGGACGGTATGAACCCAAACTCGGGACGGCATTCTGGAACCAGTAAGCGTACGAGAAGACCAGCATAGGGGCCAGACAGGGGCCAACTTCTCATCCCCTTGACGATACAAATACAAATCCCATTTCTGCATCGGAGAGCTTCCTGCTCTCTTCTTTATTCTTTCTATTCATTCTCTGTACTCGCTCAAACCAAAATTTCCGTCGTTTGCTTCATTTCTTCAATTACTCTTCAAATCTACATCCTGCCAGCCAGCTTTGTCGCCGGACGACCTTTAAATATCCACTCACACTCCCTCAATCGAACTATTCGAACCGACCTCCCGAAACCGACAAGATGCATTTCATAAACATCGCGTTTTTGTCCTTAGTTGCTGCTGCCGTGGCCAGCCCAATCTCTATCCCTCAACGTCTCGATGGTAAGTTTGTGATTCTCAATTCAGTCAATTATTTCGAAGAGTCTCGATTGTTGTGTGGTGCATTTGTGGGCAGGTAGAGAGTCTGGACCTCGTTTCTTCACCTCGAAAATCCAACTCTGAAGGCCAGACCTTCTCGACCCACCTCACGATGTCTCGATCCACACGGTCAACACCCAGATGCACAAATATGTCACACGTCACAATATGGGGTTGTGCATCAAATGCATTTAACATGGAGAAATTGTTTGCAAGACAACACACGAATATACATACTGATTGATACTTCTCCAGACAAAATGGCAAGAGACATTGCCACCCGTAGGCCACAAACAGAAGCCGAAGCCTCAGTAATGACCAATGCAAATGGAGAGGTCGTTTCCTTCGACTCTACTGCTGTTTTCAAGCGTAAGGGTGACCCGCGCTCATTTGTTGTTTCATAAACTGACAGACTATCTAGCTGCTGTCGACAAGCGACAAACAGAAGCCGAAGCCTCAGTTATGACCAACGCAAATGGCGAGGTCGTTTCTTTCGATTCTACCGCCGTCTTCAAACGTAGGAAAAAAATAATAATCAATCTTTCATCGCCCAACTGACAAATTATCTAGCTGCCGTTGATAAGAGACAAATTAATGATGATCTCCCTACCATGACTAATGCAGCTGGTGAAGTTATCAATTTTGATTCCACCGCTGTCTATAAGCGTAAGAAAACTAGAATCCGCTCTTCACTACTTAACTGACAAACTGTCTAGCCGCTGTTGATGATGCTCCTCCAGCTGTAAAGGCCCGCTCGCCACAAATCAACGATGATCTTCCTACTATGACTAATGCAGCTGGCGAAGTTGTCAACTTTGATCCCACTGGTGTTTTCAAGCGTAAGAACAATCGACCATACCAGTTACTATTTTAGCTGACAAGAATACTAGCTGTTGTTGATGATGCTCCTCCTCCAGAAGTGGCGGCCCGTTCGCCACAAATCAACGATGATCTTCCTACTATGACTAATGCAGCTGGCGAAGTTGTCAACTTTGATCCCACTGGTGTTTTCAAGCGTAAGAACAATCGACCATACCAGTTACTATTTTAGCTGACAAGAATACTAGCTGTTGTTGATGATGCTCCTCCTCCAGAAGTGGCGGCCCGTTCGCCACAAATCAACGATGATCTTCCTACTATGACTAATGCAGCTGGCGAAGTTGTCAACTTTGATCCCACTGGTGTTTTCAAGCGTAAGAACAATCGACCATACCAGTTACTATTTTAGCTGACAAGAATACTAGCTGTTGTTGATGATGCTCCTCCTCCAGAAGTGGCGGCCCGTTCGCCACAAATCAACGATGATCTCCCTGCCATGACCAACGCAAACGGGGAAGTCATTAACTTCGACCCTACAGCTGTCTACCTGCGTAAGTTATACTTCTGAAATATTCGTTGTAGGAGTTTTTCAACTAACAAATAATTTAGCTGCCACTGTCGCTGGTGATAGATAAATGCGATAGCACACACGCCTAGGTCGATTGGCAAACGCAATCATAGAGATATTAATTATTACACTACTCCGAGGATTTTGGACAGTTTTTGTTGGGGTTCAAGGTTAATAAACATGTTTAGGAGTGGGGTGTTTTTCTTTCTATCGCATAACACCATACCAATATGTTTGAGTGGATTTGTTATGGCGAGATGGGATCTTGTTATGTAATTGGGAAATCCCTGGGCTTTTTCGCCCTTTTAAATAGTCGATGGTCGGGAATCGATGGAGTTTACAGACCAACTATGAAGTTTTCTTGTTTGCTGTGAATGGAGTGAGAGTTGATGCTGCTAGGATGTGATGAAGTCTGCTCAAGTTTTGCGATCATCATTCTTCCTCTCATCCACGCAGATGCACTGTCTCGAATCCTTCATCGGCTGTAGCCTTCGCCATCTGGAACTTTCCAGGGAACAATCCTCTCTGAGATGTTCGAGGGCTAAAGAAACATTGAATGGAGCCCCATTACCTGTTATCTTCTTCAAATAATGAAAGCCTGAATATGAACTTTCACCACTAGAAAGCTGGAGGATGGAAGCTTATCTGGACGGCGCTCTAGATGGAGCGAGTTTTGGTGTTTTCTCTGCTAGATTCTCATTTTCTTGGTTTGGTTTTTGTTGGGATTCTAGGGTTATTAGGTACTCACCTTGGTGAATCCTTTTTCACTGACACTAATAGGCTGGACCATGTCTCTCCTGAGAGATACTACTTACCTGTTGCCTTTATTGGAGGCTTCGTGTCTTCAAAGAAATTACCACTTTACAGATGGGGGCGATATGGTATTTCAACTCATTTGCACGGTGATCGTCTGTTTTTTCTTCTTCTGTTGAATCTGCTTTAGGGGATCGAATTTAGTAGGTTATCTGCTAGGATCGGTGTCTTATGTTAGCGAAACTTCTGAAGACTCATTTTCAAGTATTCTTCCTCCATTAGAGGCCCTTTGGTACGGAAAACTATCTGTAAGTTATGTATCCAGTAACATTTATTGTTGATGAGACAGAGTACAGTACACCGTACACCCAAAGACTTACACTCGTAGGAATAGGTATAAGTAAGTTAGATAGCTTGTGTCCAAAGCAGAATTTATTACTAGAAAAAGCGGCTAAAGCTAATATATGCGCCCCATGTACGACCGCTAGAAGTAGCGAATATTAATTGTTTCTCATGCTCATAACTGCGTTTCGTTGACTCAAAGCTTCTTTCTTGAAAGCTCTCAAAGATCATCTTCTCAAGATTCTCACTCGAATCCTTCTACTGGCGATATCTTCGAGAGCGGCGGAGCGACAGGTGCTCTGGCACCAAAAATCTTAATATTTCAGATGGTCTTGGAGCTGATCATTTGTAGAAACTACTCATCAGGCTTTGGGTAAGTTCATCAGAATTATATTGGCTTATAGATACAGCCGTAAGCTAAGAATTTCGAGCCCAAATGATTGCATACCCAAATGCAACTCCTGCTCCAATTGTTTCGCCGCCTTAAAAAGTCCAATAACCGCGTCCAAATCCCAATTGACCTTCCATCCAGATGGTGCTGTTTTCCCTAATCTGATCCCATATATAGCACGGCCTTATCCGTTCCAGTATAACACATACAAAAGAAATTAGTCCAGACCATACGCCTCAGCATCGCACAAAACTTCCACGTAATCACCGTGCACTCTCGATATCCTGATTCCACCTCTCCTGCGTAACTTTGTCGTAACTCTTCACTCTCCCCTTCTCCTCTGTGACATGGAACTCGGTCGTCTTCTTGATCACTGCTCCCAAAGGAATCTGACTCCCCGCACTACCCATACTTCCCCTGCCTACTACATGTGTACTGCCATTTCCCATCGCTCCAATGCCCTCCGAGCTCTTGCAATCGAGCGTATAGTTATCTTCCTCATCGGTTCTACTCTTCATCCACCCTCGACTGTCCAATGTGCCTCGGCTTCTCGACTTTCTCCCAAAGGTTCCTGACCTAGGTCCTATGTTACTTGCTGAGATTTCGGAGTCATTCATACTTTCGCGCCCGGAGTAATATGCGTAGATACTTCGGGAGAGACTTAGGTTCGTGGCTATTATACCGAGATGGAGTTCGGTATTGGCCCAGATTGCTGCGATACAATAGTCGTAGGATAAATCCGTTACGACGGTTCCTAGAGAGGTGGCTCGCACGACAGCACAGATTGTGGCGATGAGACCTAAGGACATAAGACACGAGACGGCGATTTTCAGGTTGAGTTTTATCTTTACGTTCCATAGAACGACGACGGGGAGAGATGTACAAATGACATCCGTGATGACGGAATATGCTGTGAAAGTGTTAGAGAATGGTGAAGTGAAGAAAGAGGAGGCTCAAATGGGGCCACATACCGACTTGGACGTAAATGGAGTATATTCGAACACGCGTATCCCAGCATTTCCCTGGAGTCTTCGGGTCCCAGTACTTTTTGACGGGATCACACTCCGCAAGTAGAACAATCAGACAAAAGCCATTAGTCAAAATCAACCCTCCCATCATTCCAATCAGACATTGTCGCAAGAGCTTCGTCTTTTTGATGCGAAGAATAAGGAGACAGATCGAGCATTTGAGAATGCAGATGGCGACAAAAAGGAAAAGTTGAGTGGCCCAGGTCAGGAAGTTGACGTATTGATATTGAGCAGTGGTGAGATATGGCTTGTGTCGTCCGTTGCCTGCCTTCACGGAGACAATTTGTATTATCGTTCGACCAACTGATAAGAGCATGCATATTGCTATCGTCATATCATCCTATTACTGGTTGTTAGTACTGCTAGTACTGCGATAAACAGTGAAGTATGCGACCGAACAATGCGAGGTCAACCCCACATCTAACATTAGATATCACATTGAGCCTGACAACGCTGTAGTTCCATAAACGAAAATCGGAGATCGGAGAGCCCCAATTTTTGATACGGTTCAAATTGCTGGCACATCATTGGGTTGACTGGTGCCATGATCAAAGGCATCAGGGACACATCGAGCAACGCACGAGCTTCTCGCTGATGATAAATATGGCAAACAGAAGTGAAGTTCAACTTACCCATCCAATCAAAGAACGCCTATATCTTGCCCAAACCCGCAGACAAGTAGTCACAATAGAAAAGGCAGTAAGAACACAGGTCAGCACTAACAAGGTTGGACCTTTCGATTCGTCCGGAACATCCATCGTGACATCAACCATGGAAGCCATACTGGTAAAAGAAGAGGTGCGTGAGGATAAGGGTCTTCCCCAAAAGAAAGACGCTACCAAAGCACGCGAGTTCCAAGTAATAGACTTCCCCAAAACAAATATTGGAGAATGTCTACAACCTTATACCGAGCGGTAGCTATTCCGGAGCTAAGCCTACTTTTCACAATACAAGGGACCCTAACCCCGATCGCAAACCTGAAGCTTAAAAGATTGTCATTCTTTGCCTTCTCTGGAAGCCCAAGAATCTGGGTTACATTGGGAGCTGTGGAGAAAGCAATGGGTCGTGGGTGGTGAGACGATAGTGGGAAAGTCCAGATGTTTCGCAGAGAGGCAAGGGGTAATGCCAATACTCAACTAGGAACCGCATGCGAAAGTTTTCAAAATTCACCTATCGAGATGAGGAGTATGCATGAAGTTCTCCTTGTGGCTTGAAGAATCACGGACTGAGCGTTGAAGGAAAACCAGAAGAAAATATTTTGGGAAAGTCCGCCGCCTTGCCCCACCAAATGATGTGAGAGGTGCCCTATAAAAGAAGCCGGGGAAAGGGGGAAGGTCGGAAAGTGGAGCACAATTACACCCTGCTGGTGGTTGTCCAGCCGAATGGCATCAAGGAGCGGATGGCGTTTCCGGAAACAAGACGCCTGGGACTTGCAGAGAAGTCTTCAGGCAGAATTGATGAATGCAAAGGAATACATCATACGTATATTTGAGAGTAGGTTATCGGAAGATTCTTGCCACGAGAATATAGTTCGTAGCAATAAGAAGGCAGTTGGGGACGACTTTCTGCAAGTCACCTTGGTTCCGGGACAGATTAAGTTCATGCTCCCAAAATCAAACTGGGTACCGAAAACCCAGGCCTGTGCCTGGAATCATACGACTTTCCGTCCGTCCATTTCTGTCACTTCTCTTTCCCCACATTTTGTCGCTTAAAAACAAGAAACGCCACAAAGTGACAAAGGTTTTTCGAAACTCTCTGATTGCTTTGGCGATTTTGAAGGGGGCCGTTCGCAATAATGCAATGTATGTACAACTAGCACTCCCAGCTTTCGAAAAGATATGCAGCTTCAATGATAAGTGCTGCGCCTGCTCTGCCATTTGGTAGAAACCATCCATGTCGAGTTTGAAGTTGAATGTGGGGTATTGTGGCTAAATTCTGGGTCCGTGAAGTACGGGATTGACAAGCCTGTTATGGTTATATACCTGGAAAGTTCGGCCTTGCTCCTTTCCTCCAATAGTATGAGAGATACGATCGCATCAAGCTTCTCAAGAGGCATCCAAGTCCGTGAGGTGCCGTAATTCTCGGTTGGTGGCAAGCCATTTGTCCCCAAGGACCTGAAGATGTGACGACAGATGCGGTTCGAAATGCAACCACAAAAAATCCGATGTTACCCTCCAAAGTGTTTATGTATGCGGAGAAGGGGCTTGAGAGTCAAATACGCAAAAGCGAGAGGCAATTGTCAAAACCGGGGAGTTTCCAACTTCTCAACGTCTACGCTCCGTACAATAATCGACAGCAAAGTTTGACCCCGCTTGCGGGAACTACTGAAGATAATTGACTTTGTGAACGAACCAACACACAGACTTCCGTACCGAAGACTCCGCGCGGAGAACAAACGTGCGTGGATCGTTAAAGACAGAGGAGGCTCCTCTGAGGAGCCATCATTGACGCCAATCATGTCGCATGAAGCTAAAGAAGAAGGAAGCTAGAATGTTCTGCTTTCTGTTGTTGAGCTGCCGTAGAGCGGCAGTAGTTGCTCCTTTTGTCTGAACTTCAGGGAGAATTCGAGTAAACCATGACGGTATTCTGCGTTGTAATCATACAGAGAGTCATAACAGCGAAAAATCTTTGATCATGGGCTGGAGAAAGAGGACTGGTGTATACGAGAGGAGGAGCTTGAGACGTTCTCTTATTTTCCTTCCATGCGGTTGTGAGTTTCCCGAACAGTAAGCATTTTTTGATCTCGCGTCCTGGTATGAACAAATAGGTAAAGCGATCAGCTTGATATTGTACTTTGGGAGCGGCGAATATGATCGTTAAATTTATTTGTCAGTATTATTCTGGTTGCTAGTTCAAAACCCAAGACTTTGGGGGAGGAGATTTGCAACTTTAATCAACTCCGTGGGGGTAATGAAGCGTGCCGATAATCACGATGTTGGTTCTAAACGGCAAAATGTCCATTCAAGACCGCCATTCTATTGGACCCACAATCACAAAGTGGCATGGTGGTTCTTGGACTTCCTGAAAGAGATAGAAGCCCGGACTTGATGCTGCACTTCCCCTGTTAGATTAGACGACTTCCAATTGATGACCCTAGAAGTGCAATAAAAGTGGACAGCACCCCCAGCTTTTCTGTCAACAAAATCCAAAAGACTGGTCTAATTTCAAAATAAAATCCGATCACCAACATTTTGGGCTAAGAAAAGGCAGGATCGCGAATCGCTAGCCCAGGTTGGTGACGGAAATAAGTACAATTGGGGCAACTCTGAATGTTATAAACGGCGCCATTTGGTCCATTTTGATGGGAGAGTGTGAAGGCGTCGTCTCATCTCCATTTCACGTGTCAACTGCAAGTCGAGAAAGGGGTCGTTCGTCTGCTCACTTCAAAGACTCGGTTTTCCCGTTCTGCAGAGGCTTCTTTCCCGCTTGCTATCTCATCACACGTCGTCTGAGCGTTGCAGTTCATCACGGCCGAACACTACGTACTGTTCACCAGATGGCGTTTCCGAAGCTTTCACTGGCCGCATGTCTGGCATGTGTACTTTCGAATGCTGCAGTTGCTGCAGGACAATGTTCGAATACCCTCGACACTTTTGACTTTGTACGATTCCCCACACCCCCTTCAGCCAGTTGTTGCTCACAAATTCTAGATTGTCATTGGTGGTGGGACTGCAGGGCTGGCCGTAGCTGCTCGTCTGAGTGAAGGCCTTACAGAATCTTGTGTTCTGGTTGTAGAAGCTGGCCCTGATGGCAGAGCAGAACCCAGAATTTCCATTCCTGGTCGGAAAGGATCTACCATCGGCACCACCTATGATTGGAACTTGACCACTACTGCTCAGTCAGGCCTCAATGCCAACAGAAGGATCAACATGAGCCGAGGGAAGGTCCTCGGTGGAAGTTCTGCAGTGAACCTGATGACTTGGGATCGTGGTGCGGTGGCTGATTTCAATGCCTGGGAGACACTTGGAAATCCTGGGTGGAACTGGGATACTATGTTCCCAAGCATGCTGAAATGCGAGTCTTTTGAGCCATCCAATGAATACGAATCCACGAATGGAGTGGGAACGAGTGGACCTGTTGATACACTCATTAACCGAATTCTACCAACCCATCAATTGACCTTTAAGCCTGCTATGAACGCATTGGGCATCGCAGACAACAATGCTTCTCTTGCTGGAAACCCAGTCGGTGTGGCCCGAAAGCCTACCAATATCAGACCATCTGATTATAGCCGTTCTTACAGCACCGTATATATCGAGAATGCTCCAGCAAACCTGGCCGTCTTGACTGATACTCGAGTGGCGAAGATCAATTTTGATAGCAATAAGGTCGCCACCGGTATCACTTTACAGAACGGTACTGTGCTTTCTGTAAAGCATGAGGTCATCTTATCTGCCGGATCCCTTCAATCACCTGGTCTACTTGAGCTTTCTGGAATTGGGGACCAAGACATCTTGAAAGCTGCTGGTGTTGATGTTGTTTACCACAACCCTAATGTGGGCGAAAACCTTCAGGACCACGTGCGCATCCAGAACTCATACCAATTGAAGCCCGAGTTTCTCTCCTTTGACGTTTTGAGATGGAACACCACATTCGCCGATTCACAGCTTGCGTTGTATAATCAAGGTTTGCCATCGCTTTGGGATTATACTGGAAGCGGTTATGCGTATATGAACTGGTCGACTCTTTCTCCAGACATCGGAGCATCCATGTTGAACCTGGCTCAAGCCAATGCCAACCTGTCCTCGCAAATCGACCAGATCAAAGTCGCTCACCTTGTGAACGAGTCAAGCACTGTTCCCCAGTTGGAAATCATCTTCTCTGATGGTTATACAGGAGTCAAAGGGTACCCAGCAGCCAACACCCCATTATTCAGCCAGGGATTTTTCACGCTCATCGCCGCCATTCAGCATCCATTTTCAAAGGGCAACGTCCACATCTCCTCATCTGACATCACCGTCAACCCAAACATCGACCCCAGGTACCTGTCCAACCCATATGATCTTGCTGCTGTGATTAACGCGGCAAAACACTTGCGAAAAGCAGCAGAGACGGCCCCTATGTCAAGCATCTGGTCAGCCGAGTATGAACCCGGACCAGCTGTCCAAACTGACGCAGACTGGGAGGCATTCGCCAAGAACACCACGCTTTCCATCTACCACCCTATTGGAACCTGCTCCATGCTACCTGAAAACGCTGGTGGTGTTGTCAACGCAGAGCTAAAGGTGTATGGGGTCAAGGGAGTTCGAGTTGTCGATGCTTCAATTATGCCCATCATCCCCAGCACACATTTGCAAACTGCCGTTTATGGAATTGCAGAGCGAGCTGCGGAGCTTATCGTGAAGGAGTGGTGCTAGATCTCTATACTGTCAAAATTGTAAATATATATGTATATATCATATCTTAATGTTGGAACGATACATACGCAACGAGCGCGGGGAGTTTTCCGAGATTTGGTTTGGGGAGGCAATATGCACATGTATATATTTTGGTTCTTGGGCGCTGGGTGGTTCTCTGAAACATGATCAGAACGAATTTCAATCAATGTTAGCGGCACACGCTTTCCTTCGATGGGAGAGATGGGAAATGACCAGTGGTAGTTGCAAGCAGTTTTCGCGTAGTGAATAGCAGATGGAATAATAACCCCGAAGTTTTCCAACCACTCAAATCCTCTCGCGTATTTCCAAGCCCCACAATTGTCACAAAATAATATTGACATCTCCAAATAAGCCATTCACCGTCACCAAAACTGGGATCAAACATGTCCGCCTGGCCCAGTCAGTTAGTGTGTGCACCCAGAAGCGCCAACTCCCAAAGCACCAACACCACTAACTGTTTCCAAACGAAGAAAAAAGAGGAAAGTAGAGTGCGAGCCGCCACAGGCCCACGGGGATAGATTTACTAAGTTTAATGTAAAACTCAGTTCGTCTGGTTTTCAACCCTGCCGCCGAATGGTGATGGCTTTTTTGCCATTTTTTCCTGCTGTTATTTCTGTTTTTGTTCTCTTTTGGGGGAGGGCAGGGGGAAGGGGGTGAAGTTTGGGGGCATGTAGGAGCGTACTGACACAACCGCCGGTGTACTGTAGAGATACAGTAGTGCCTGAACTATCTTACAAAATCCTGCTACGACGGGCTCTGTTAGGACTTTTTTGGGAGGAGGTTCGGAGGAAAGAGCAAAACATACGCGTAGAACCATGGATAATGGCGAGCCAGGTGGTCGCGAGAATTGGGTCGCAGAAAATACATTCAAAGGAGGAGATGCACTTACTTAAAGACTCAGCAACATAGTCAAAAAAAAACGGGTCTAGAAAACTAATTCTAAGTTTCGTCAAGCTTTTGGTTAAACAGTAGACATGATTGATTGTCTTGATCAGCGGAGAAGATGAATGTTAACAAGCAATGAGCGCGAACTACCTCTCTCATCTGAAAGATGTGACTATCCACCCCGAGAGAGATCAAGCACTTCCAAAACTGAGAAACTTAAACAACCACGGCGAAGCAACGAAGCATGCATTAGAATAGAAACGGTCGTACCTATCATAGTATTTATGAATTTGCTAGCCTGTCCCCGCCCTCTTAATATACATCACATCTCGTCCATACCCGGCATCCCTTTCATCCCTCCAACCTTCTCCCAAAACTTGTCGAAATCGATTCCTTCATTCTCGAACAGTTGCCTCGCTTTCTCCATTGTCTTCTTCTGCTGTTCTGGGCCGAACCCCCCAGGCTGCGAAGACTCGTACTGGACAAGCTCGATCCATCGAAAGAATAGACTTTCCTTTCCCATGACTGTCAATTCATCCTTGAATGCCACGATTTTTCTTCTGCCCTCTTCTTCTTTGAGACTCCCGCCGGCTTCGGCAGTCTCGATAACCACCCAACCGAAGTCATCGTCGTGAAGGAGTATGGTGGTTTTATAATCATCCAACTTCATATCTCCTTTCTCTACAAGCTTCGCTGCTGTCACCATGGACTTCCAATCCAAATCCCACTCCTTGTTCAACATCAAATATCCCGTCTTTTCACTCATCCACATAGGATCTGTAGCCCTTCCGACATTATTGAATAAAAGCCCCTGTTCTTTGCTGCCCTCCTCCAATAGACTCTTGCTTTGTACAAACCATCTCCTACTTCTCCGGACAATGATCTCACGTTCCTTGAATCCAAGTTTCAATCGCCAATTCACAGGATTGCCAATGGCTTGTCCTATAAAGAAGGCTTTTGGCCAGGGCCACACAAAGACGTAGATTACGAAGTCGACCATGAAGCTAGCCGTCCTTCTCAGAATCTCCATTCCAATCGCCTCCCTGGTCATCTTTCGCGTATTCATCGTCAACTCATTTTTCTTTCCCATCAGAGAGTGGCATATTTTCATATAATACGGACCAATGCTACGTATTCGGTAGAACATAGCAAGCAAGAGGAGGATGTTCATAAAAACGGGCACCAAGAATATTTTCTTCTTGAAATCCGCGGGGTGCGAATCGATTGATGTGATGTAGACATGACCTTTGGGCAGAGTTGCAAGAAGGGGTTCGAGAGATTTCGGCGCGGGTGCAAAAGGCTTTGGGAGTTTGGAGGAAGCGGATGACGGTGCAGACGGAATTTTGGACTTGGGAGCGCGATTGAAGGCGCGTACCTTTGATTTGGGAGCCATCTTGGACTCCCAGGCGATAATGACAGGTAGTTAGACTTGAGGGTCGTCGTCGTCCGACTTTGGTCGTAGAAGCCGTCGCCGTCTACTCTACTCGAGTTCTACTTGAGTATGTGGCGTCCACAAATGTGGCGCCGGCCGGTGGACGAGAAGTCTAAACCCGATATTTTTTTGGTTCCCCCCCAAGCTTGAGGGCATGTCATCGATGCGAGGAAGACCTCAGGACGAACACCCAAGTGCTTCTTCTTTCAACCACTAATGTTTGTTCGCCAGCGATGAGGGGTAGGAGTATAATAAAAGTAAGTGAGCACTAAACTGGAAAACGGTCTCTTCCTAACACTTCTCAGGAGTCATGTAGTCCATCGGTATGCGCATTCTGTGCGCATCGACTTGGACGGGCCAGACAGCCATCGCATGTTCAGCGCCGATTTCTTCAGTCATCACGACCAGCTTCCCGACCGCCTGGCGAAGGAGCCGCCATTCGAGAAGAAGATGAACCTTCGAACGCGAGTTTGGGACCTGCGTGGGGCTCTCCTGGCATTGGGAGGGGCAAACAGCTGGGAAGAGGAAAGGGCAAGGGAAAGACTGGCTCTTGGGGACTGAGTGCAAGTCTTGGGAGTATAGGTGCTGGATTAGGAGGAGTAAAACCAGCAAACAGCACTGCTGAGTCGCCCTTCTCGCAACCAATTGGTGACCTTTTACCACATGAGCAACGAGCTCGGGAGCTTTTGAAGGAGAAGGTGGCTCCTGCTGCACCCTCGCCACTTCCAGTGCAAGATCTTTTACCGCACGAACGTCGAGCTCGAGACCTCATTACGAAACAATCAGCAAATGCACAGCAAAGGCCGCTTACAATTCATACAGGTGCGGGACCCGAATACACACGAGCTGGTAGATTTTCTTTTACGCCTCGGTCTGATGATGAAATCCGGGATACCGCCAGAAGAGCGATGCAGACGAGGAGAACGCGGGAAGTGTGGGAAGACAATTCATCAGGGCGTGGAGACGGCGCTAGTGGAAACACGTATAGAATTCGAAAAATGGGATATGTTATGGGACAAGGAGAAAGGATGGACTCGTACTCATCCCACCAGGATAGCACGAACTGGGCTCAGGTGCAAAAACGATACGAACCAATTTCCACAGAGCAAGAGCCTGATAGCGAAGATCCGGTTAGACCCAGGTATACAACGTTTGAGGAAGGGCGTGCTCAGAGAGTAAAGGACTCGAGGCGGGGACGATATACGTCATTGAGACCAAATGGATCAAAGTCCTTATTTGGGTCAGACCCTGTGGGAGGGGGACGAGCATCTCACCCAGCTGCTATCTTTTCAAGACCGATTGGAAGCCAAAAGAGTCCAGATCCGCTGTCCCAAATCAGCCCCACCAAAGGCATCCGTGCAGAGAAGTCAGAAGAGGAGGTTGCTACTGAAGGGGTGAGTGGACAAGTGTCCCGAGAATTGACGGAGGAGGAGAAGTGGCAAGCAGATATAGAGAAGGCCGCGCACAAAAAAGCAGATTCCGAGAAGCCAAAAGAAGAAGAGGAGGAGGTGGCCGAATATGAAAGGCCATCAAGACGAAAGAAGAAATCGCGCAATACTGAACCCGAGCCTAGCTATAGCAAGCTACCCAAAGGAAAAGAAAGAGACAAGGCCAAAAGACGACAGAATTTCGTGGTTGAAGAAGACGATGAGGCGGTGGAGTTGGCACGGCTAGAGCAACTTGAGCGCGCAGAGTTGAAGAGACAACGAAAACTTGAGAAAGCGGCCAAGAAGCCTGTTCCAATCATGCTTCCGGAGTATATTTCCGTGTCAAATCTTGCTATTGCATTGAGAGTCAGACAGGAAGATTTCATTCGCAAAATGCAAGATTTGGGTTTCGAGGACTTTCATCACGACTTCATCTTGAATTCCGAAAATGCAGGCCTGATTGCAATGGAATACAATTTTGAGCCCATCATTGACCGGGGAGAATCGGAAGATTTGAAAGCAGCAGAGATACCTAAGGACACTTTGGCATTGCCTCCACGGCCTCCAGTTGTTACGATTATGGGCCATGTTGATCACGGCAAAACTACGATACTTGACTACTTGCGTAAATCATCTGTTGCGGCAGGCGAGCATGGCGGAATCACCCAACATATCGGAGCCTTCTCTGTGCCGATGCCTTCAGGAAAGACTATTACTTTTCTAGATACACCCGGTCATGCCGCATTTCTGAGTATGCGTCAGAGAGGTGCCAATGTGACTGATATTGTTATTTTGGTAGTCGCCGCAGACGATAGTGTCAAACCCCAAACCATTGAAGCTATTAATCATGCCAAGGCAGCACAGGTTCCAATAATTGTTGCAATCAACAAGATTGATAAACCTGAGTCCGACATTGAGAAAGTGAAGCTGGATCTGGCTCGACATGGTGTTGACGTTGAAGATTTTGGCGGTGACACTCAGGTCGTTTGTGTCAGTGGCAAGACTGGTCAAGGCATGGATGAATTAGAAGAAGCCGCTGTCGCATTGTCCGATATCATTGATATGCGAGCAGATAGAGAATGCTCAGCCGAAGGCTGGGTCATTGAAGCAAGTATTAAGTCTGCTGGCAAATGTGCCACTGTCCTTGTCCGCCAAGGCACAATGCGCCCTGGTGATTTTATCGTTGCCGGCAATACCTGGGCTAGAATTCGTTGTCTTCGTAATGAAGCTGGTATTGATATCGAAGAAGCTGGACCTGGAACCCCAGTGGAAATTGATGGATGGCGCGAGCAACCACTGGCGGGCGACGAGGTTCTCCAAGCACCTAGTGAAGCAAAAGCTAAGAGTGTTGTTGACTACAGACTCGAGAAAATGGAGCGAGACAAATTGGCTGAGGATATGGAGGCTATCAATGAGAACCGCAAAGCCGAGTTCGACAAAAGGGAACGCGAAAAGCTCGAAGCCAAGGCAGCGAAAGAAGGTGTTTATCTGGAACTACCTGAACAAAAGGTTGGCGGAGCCAAAGACGTGTATTTCATTGTCAAAGGGGATGTCAGCGGTTCCGTTGAAGCAGTTCTTGACAGCATTGCTACTCTTGGCAATAAGGAGGTTCAACCCATGGTTCTTAGATCTGGAGTAGGCCAACTTAGCGAGTTTGACATTGAACACGCAGCAGCCGCAAATGGCCATGTTATCAATTTCAATACTGACGTGGAGCCTCATATTGCCCGTGCCGCGGAGCAAGCCAAGGTCACTATTATTGATCACAAAATCATTTACCGTCTGGTCGATGATGTCAAAGCAGAGCTTTCCAAATATCTCCCGCCTCTTGTAACACAGAGAGTACTTGGTGAGGCAGAAATATCCCAAGTTTTCTCTATCACGGTCAAGGGAAGACAAGTCAAGAACGTTGCTGGGTGCAAAGTCCGAAACGGGACCATTGGAAAGAACTCCAAGGTTAGAGTGATGAGGAATGGCGAGAAGGTGTACGATGGTATGTCTTCCTGATGTTTTTTGAATGAGGTTCAAGCTAATATGTTACAGGTAATATTCTGTCTCTCAAGAACGGCAAACGGGACGTGATGGATACAAAGAGGGGTACCGAGTGTGGCATGGCCTTTGAGAACTGGTATGATTTCGTAGCTGGAGATCTTGTGCAAACTTACGAAGAGAATGAGGAGAAGAGATATCTCTGATTCTCCTAATTGGCGTGTTTTGGTAAGGACCATACTGGGATATAACGCTGTATGAGGCTCAGGATGGGGGTTGTAAGCATAGATCAATGGGAGAAGGGTGTGTATGAAAGTGCATTTGGTGGTGGGGGTGCATCTAAAAGGCGTTGGATTGTTTTCTCTCATACTGTATAGTACCTACGAGCACCTACACTAGATTAGATACTCGCACATACCACTCCATCTCTATACAAATTTCATGGATGACAGTAATTTTCTTTCACACTCTTTCTTGTTCTCACCATGGTGGCATGGTACGTAGGTACCTAGACAGGTAGTGAATCCAAATATAATTTTAATTACTCTCCAATGACAACTGTGAAGAGACATGGTTGGATATAATAGTCAGTGCATAAGGCGCACTGACTATTATAGGCAGTCTCTAGGCAGTGGAATTCTTTCCTGGCAGTGGCTCTAAGGTCGAGAAAAAAGGAGCCTTTTTGAGGCACAGGCCACTCCACCCAACAAATCCACCTAAATCATGACCTTTTATTATAACACATACAAATTAAATAGTAGAATAATGTCTGAAAATGTGTCATTTGTCCCTCCCGGTCTCTGAACTCTTGAAATCTATTTGGGTAGGTTTATATACATTTTGAATGGTTTTTGGGTCGAGGTGTTGGGTGGGGTGGCCTGTGCCTCAAAAAGGCTCCTTTTTTCTCGACCTCAGAGAGTGGACCTGGAGCTATTCACCGCCCTGCCTTTTTTGGTACATGATCACCGTGATGTTCCAGCGCCTTAAGGTCGCCCGCTGTCCATTAACGCGTCTTTTACTAGAAGGCTTACAGCGCTATAAGTGGGTGCCGTCAAAACTCCGAAATCCACCCTTTTTGTGACCTTGTAAAAAAGACCTAGCTTTAACCTACCTAAATATCCTACTACCACTACTCCTACTACCTTTATTTATTTGTATAACGTTCTAATTCGGTAAAAGTAAGGCTATTCGCTACAGTAGGCCCTCGAGGTAAAAAGCTACGCTTAGAGTCTATACCTAAGCCTAAAGTTCTCGCTAAACGTACTAAAAAGACTCCTATAAATAATAAAGTTACTACTATTAAAAAGGGTTCTTAATATTCTACTAAACCTACTAAATTAATTCTTAAGAGGTTCGCGAAGTGTATTGCTAAGTAGAATACTATTAAAGAGAGTATTATTGAATAAGTACTAGACTCTTCTAAGGTCGAAGTAATTAAGTAAGTCGTTAAATTATATAAGGTTGCTATATATATAATAATATATATTAATTCGAGTAAAATAAACGTTTTTATAAAAATAATAAATCTATTTAACGAATTATACCTTTACTATAGTAAGTTCTAGGTAAATATTAAGGAAAAGGTAGAAGAGTGTGACGACACGTACGATATGTTGCACAAGGAGCGTCCAAGGTGTAGGTTATGGAATCGTAGAACTGTCTATTCGAAGATTCTAAGCTAAGGAGAGAAGAGAAGAGAGCAGAGCTCGGGAGCCAGAGGTTCTTATATACAGGAGGTTGTGCCAAGCTATGGCTAACTGAGCCGGGCTCAGGAAGCACGGTATCCGCTGGGTTCCAGCCAGGGGCTGGTCTGAGGTGTAGTGGCGGTTAGAACCGTCACAAAGAGTTTAGTAAGTAGCGAGGCTCTTTATATACACCTTTTTTCTATTAAATATAAGCCTTCTAGAGGACTAAATGAGTAAAGAATTATACGAATATATTAAGTATTACTAAGTAGAAAGAAATAAAAGAGGCTTTAATAATCCGCGCGAGTAATTAGAGCTCTAAAACTACGTCTTATATAGATTTAAGAGTTAACTATAAAACTAAAGGTTCGATTAATTTAGATACTAATATAATTAAGTCTATAAAGGCTACCCCTTTTATAAAGCTAGCGAAAAAGAATAAATTAAAGCTATATACTATTTATTATACTACTATATAAAAACTTTAGTAGAGAGTAATAAATCTAGTAAAAGTAATAGTAGGGATACTAGTATAGGAAAGAGTACTCCGGAGGCTATAACTAAATAATAGGTTATAAAACTCTATATAAATAGAAACGAGATAGCGAATATAATAACGAAGATATTCGAGGACTATATATATAAAAAAGATAATTATAATAGTTTAATAAAGGCTTATTAGATTTAAGCCTTTATATATAACTACTATACTCTTAATAGAAGGAGTATACATAAGTAAGTAGGCTATTTACTTCGAAATAAACCTAGTATTTCGTAAACTAATCCTAGCTTAGAATAGTTATCTAAGTAAACTAGTGAGGGTATAGATTTATATAGTAAGAAGCTAAAAGTAAGGGCTCGATAATAGAAACCTATACTAATCTAACTACTTATTAAAGCTATTCCGGTTTTATAAGTAATAGCTTAGTACTGTTTACCTTTTACTTCTACCTCTACAATTTAGCTAATTATTATATAATTATAACTTAGTTAGTAGTCGAGTATATTAATATATTCGAGTAACTCTTACTTCGCTAAATATAATAAACTATACCTTAAATAATATATTTAAGCGTATAAAACTACTAAGTTCTTACTATTACTCTAGCCCTAGTACTACTACTTATATAGAGACTAAAATCGGCTTTAAGATTACTTATAAAATAATTCGGTCTTTCTATAATTAGCTCGTTACCGATTAAAGGAAGTAAGGATATAAAGGGGGTTTAGTAGGCTTTTAGCGAGTTTCTAGTAACGAAGTTATAACTAAATAAAATAACGGCTATTAAAGATATAATTACTATAATTATCGAGATAGAATATAATTTTAATAAATATAAAGGTTTATCTAAAAGTATAAAGGAGAAGCTAAGTAAACCCGCTATATATACTTAAATTAAGAAGTACATATCTTATTTTAAGAAGGAATATAAGTATAAACTTAATAATAAAAGTACTACTAAAGTAGTACGTACACTAGTTAGTTTAAACTAATATATTTTACTAATTAAGAACCGTATACTAGCTAGCTTATTTAAATATCCTATAATAGACTACTAGGAGTATAATAACGATTCTGATATAATTATAAATAATAATAAGATATAATTAACTAGACTAGGAATATAGTAAAGGAAAGAGTAGCTAGAATAATAAAGATAAATAAAGGTAATAAAACTAGTAAATAAGGAGTACTAGCGGAAACGAAGGTTCTATATAAGACTGGCACGTCTGCCATTAGATAGGAGCTTCGTGCTCAACTTAGTTATCAATCTTATCATATTAGTTTGACATCTTTGATACAAGTAACGAGTTCACTTCCAAGTGAACAACCCGATAGTCTTCTTCTTATCATAGCATACCAACCAGCGAACACCCAGCCAAGTTTAGTTAGCCAGTTTGAGTATTCGTTACACCTAGCTACTTCTAGCCTAGTTCTAACCTATTCGATAGCCTACTCTAGGAATAACTAGTATATCTTAAATCGTTAGATATTCTTTTTATAGTAGTATCGAATAAAGGCTTTAAGGTTATAGAATAACTCCTCGATTAGTATAAAGTTAGAAGAATAAGGTAGTAAGAACTATAGGCGTACTCCTTTAGATTTATATATTTCTCGAATTATATTAATATTTATAAAATAGAATTAATTATTATTTATAATAAGAACTAAATAAGGCTCTAGATATTAATTTATTACTAGTAAGAGGTTATTAATAATAAAACTCGAAAAGATAGGTATAGTATAAGAGCTTGTTACGAATCATGTGAACGCACGTGATAAGTGAAGACCAGGCGACGCCCTGACAGGTTGAGCACTATCATAACTCTTATAGCAAAATAGGGATTGACTAGGCTAGCTAGACGATCCAAGGATTTCCTTTGGTTACTAAGTCACGTGATATGGATCATTTGGGTCTGAATGATCTACGATCCAGGAGTGTGGATCTGGCGATCTAGTCGCACCTGTAACGAATACTCAAACTGGCTAACTAAACTTGGCTGGGTGTTCGCTGGTTGGTATGCTATGATAAGAAGAAGACTATCGGGTTGTTCACTTGGAAGTGAACTCGTTACTTGTATCAAAGATGTCAAACTAATATGATAAGATTGATAACTAAGTTGAGCACGAAGCTCCTATCTAATGGCAGACGTGCCAGTCTTATATAGAACCTTCGTTCCCTGATTGATCGCTCTAGTCGCTCGCCCTGATCGCTTCAGTCGACAGGCGACTCAGGCGACTAGAAGAACCCTCGTTCTCTGATTGATCGCTCTGCTCGCCCTGATCGCTTCAGTCGACAGGCGACTAGGCGACTAGAAGAACCCTCGTTCTCTGATTGATCGCTCTGCTCGCCCTGATCGCTTCAGTCGACAGGCGACTCAGGCGACTAGAAGAACCTCCATTCTCTGATTGATCGCTCTGCTCGCTCTGATCGCTTCAGTCAACAGGCGACTCAGGCGACTAGATCACGTGGTTTTCTAACCAGAAGAAATCCCTGGATCGCTTAGCTAGTCTAATTGATCCCTTTCTTGCTATAAGTCCATGGATGTGCTTAACCTGTCAGGACGCCGCCTGGTCTTCCTTTGTCACATGCATTACTACACGTGATTCGTGACAGCACCCCTGTGGAGAACGAAGATTCTATATAAGACTGGCACGTCTGCCATTAGATAGGAGCTTCGTGCTCAACTTAGTTTAGCAATCTAGTTATCAAGTTATTACTTCTTTGTTAACAAGTGACGAGTTTACCTCCGAGTAAACAACCCGGCGCATCTGTACTTCTTACCCGCATACCAACCGTCGAAACGATTACCTTTGTCAGATAGTTTGAGTTTCGTCACAGAGCTCTCGAAAGTAATAGATTTTATATATTTATTGATTATATATACTAGTAAAACTAATACTCGAGAGTAATTTAATAACTATTTACTAATAATTATAAGAACTTCTATCTTTATATATTTATATATTCTATTATTAGTTTAAGGATTACTTCTATACTTATTAATAAATATAAACTAGTCTAATTAATAGTTATTCCTAAAGGTTTTAAACTTCTAGTTTGAGTATAATTTAACGTTTTATCATACTACTTTAACCTTAAGCTTCTTTTAAGATATATCTATTCTTTAAAGTATATTCGATACTATTAGTTAAGTAATACGAACGCTAAAGTAATCGAATAAGAAGTCTATAATTTTGTTCTAATATAGATAGGGTTACTTATCTAGGATATATATTACTACCTCTTTTATTTCGATAGTAACTTTCGAAATACTTTCTATTTATAGCTTAACCGGTATTATATTATACGCCTCTAAATATATATTATACCTTTATTTATTATCTAACTCCCTAATAGTCCTAGCTCTTATTCCGAACGCCTTCGTAATTAATTCGTAGTTTAGTTTTAAGTTAGTTATAAGCGCCTTATAAATAGCTTTCTTAGTCCTTTCGGTAAGTTTAGACGCTATATTACTAGGGTAATATTAAGTTAAGGTTATTCTGTTAAATTTACGCTACTTACTAAGCTAAACCGAGTAGTAGTTGTAGATATGTATTGTAGTGGTAGGATATTTAGGTGGGTTAAAGCTAGGTCTTTTTTACGAGGTCCCAAAAAGGGTGGATTTCGGAGTTTTGACGGCACCCACTTATAGCGCTGTAGCGTGGCCGTGGCTGTGGCTTGGGAAGCCAACCCAACTTTTGCGACAGGGCCCGCCTGTGAGGACCTCACGATTGCAACTTCAACCTTTCTTTGTTTGGCGCAAGCAATCTCTTCAACTTTACGGTCGCCAGCTGGATAACTACATACATCAACGATCCTAAGGTCCAACTCCTCTCCTAATGGCAAAAGGCCTATGCTGATTTTGATTGATAGCAGTACATCTCAGACTGACATTGAGTGCGCCCTTTCTTTCGCACAGCAGATTTGATCTTCAACACACACGTACGCAAGCACGCGCGACCGCGGCCGACCTTTACAATGGCGGAGGAGGACGCAGAGATAGCTCTCCTACACAAGCTGCAGGCAGGGCAAGAAGGCGCGGCATGGGCGGTGGGTGGAGAGAATGGGGTCTCAGTCAAAACAGAGGCAGAAGGCGGAGTTGAAGACGAGCTACCTGCACAAAATACTGAGCATAACATCCAAGAAGTCCAAAAAGAAGTTGCTGCAGATGCGAATGATCAAGTCCACTGTGCCTTATCTCCTTCCGGCGATGATAATGTTTCCGATGGTGGCGAAGATGAATATGATCCATCTTCTGTCATTACTGCTTCTACTCCTCCTCAGCCCGCTCCCGCTGTCATGATCGCAGCAGAAGCCGCCTCGAGATCTAGCTCCAGAACATCCATTCGGAAGCGCAAGACCGTGGGCGGTTTCTTAGCAGATGATTCGGATGAGGAGATCGATACGGCTACGCCAACACAGAACTCAGCTAGTCTGCAGCCACCAGCATCTAATAATCCTAAACGATCTCCTTCCCCTTTACAGACATCTGTCACCACCCAACAAGATGTTGCGGCTGTACCAGAAAATCCAAGTGATTCGAAGGCAGCTCCCAACCCATCGCATGTTCCTTCTGTGACTTCTGGACAACCATCTACTGTGCAAGCTCCTGCCGCTCAGATACTTACCTCAGCAGGTCCATCACAGAGTATCTCTGTACCCAAAGCACGTCTCCCAAATGACAAAATAGGTATACTTGAAGACAGAATAAAGGAAGACCCTCGAGGCGATTTAGATGCATGGCTGACCCTCATCGCCGAGCATCGTGGGCGCCACAAGTACGATGAAGCTATTCAGGTCTACGAAAGATTTCTCGCTATGTTTCCTCAATCCGTGAGTATCCCCAGCATAATCCTGTCAGACTTCTGCTAATCCCTCTAGGCCGAGGTATGGGCAGAGTACACTGAGATGGAGCTTGAGAACAACCGACGAGTTGAAGCCGAGGCTCTATTTGGAAGATGTTTGTGGTTTGTGCCTAACGTGAAGCTATGGTCCGTTTATCTCAACTACATTCGTAGAGTCAACGATTTGTTGAGTGATCCCGAGGGTACCGTTCGAGCAACTATCTCACAAGCATACGACTTTGTATTAGGCGTTATTGGGGTGGATCGGGACTCGGGAAAGATATGGCAAGAATACATCCAATTTGTCAAAAGTGCGCCTGGTCATCTTGGAGGTACAAGTTGGCAAGACCAGCAAAAGATGGATCAGTTGAGAAAAGCATACCAGCGGGCTATTTGTATTCCAATGTCCAGTGTGAACGTGCTTTGGAAAGAATACGACCAATTTGAGATGAACCTCAACAAGATGACGGTAAGCTCGGAGATGTTGAAATTCTAAGACCACACTAACATGTAGTATAGGGCCGAAAATTTCTTCAAGAAAAGTCACCAGGATACATGTCAGCGCGAAGTGCTAATACAGCATTGGAAAATATCACGCGAGGGCTGACCAGAACAACATTGCCAAGACTACCTCCACTCCACGGATTTGAAGGAGAACCAGAGTACATGCTGCAGGTTGAGTTGTGGAAGAAATGGATTGCTTGGGAGCAAGAAGACCCTCTGGTTTTGAAAGAAGACGAGTTTGATGTTTTCAAGCAGCGTGTTCTTTATGTGTATAAACAAGCAGTGATGGCACTACGTTTTTGGCCAGAATTGTGGGTCGACGCTGCGGAATGGTGCTACAGTAATGGGCTTGATCAAGATGGCGACACCTTTTTGAATGACGGAATAGTTGCCAACCCAGAAAGTTGTATACTTGCATTCAAGAAAGCAGACCGCTTGGAAACTACCTTGTCAACCGAAGAGAGTAGCAAAAATCCAGCTGACAAGGGCAATATTGTTCGAGCACCATACGACAAACTCCTCGACACTCTCTACGACATGATCAAGCAATTGAAGGCTCGAGAAGCTCAGGATCTTGTCAAACTTGAGGAATCACTAGCTCTTGATGCTTCAATAAGTGCGATTATTAGCAAAGCAGAAGATGACGAGGAGAATGAAGCGGAGAAGGCACGAAGAGAGGCCGACAAGGCGGAAAAGACGAAGGCTATTCAACTTGGCTATGCGGGTCAAGTGCATCTCATGTCTCGAACCATATCGTTTGCCTGGATCGCCTTGATGCGAGCTATGCGTCGAGTGCAGGGCAAGGGTGCTGTGAAGGATGTAATCGGTGGATCGAGACAAATTTTTGCTGATGCTCGCGCTCGTGGAAAGATCACAAGCGATGTTTACGTTGCTAGTGCCTTAATCGAGCATCACGTATATAAGGATCCTGCTGGCACGAAGATATTTGAGCGAGGTGCCAAGCTATTTCCGGAAGACGAGGTTTTTATCTTGGAGTATTTGAAGCATCTGCTATCTATCGGCGATACCACAAGTAAGCACCCAGTGTGACACATTTTACCAAATTTCTAACCACATATAGATGCCCGAGTTGCCTTTGAAACGGCAGTCAATCGTTTGACACAGAAGCCTGAGAATGTTCACAAAGCTAAGCCGCTCTATTCCTACTTCCACAAGTACGAATCTCAATATGGAGAGCTGTCACAAATACGCAAGCTTGAACAGCGAATGGCCGAGGTGTTTCCCACTGATCCCAAGCTCCAACAGTTCGCCGCCCGTTATAGTGGTGAAGGGTTTGAGCCAACCAAAGTGCGACTCATCATCTCGCCTGCCACTCAGATGCGACCAAAGAACCTTGCTGTACTGCCTTCGATTGAACAACATACTTCGGTCCAAAATAGTCCTCGGCCAGCATTCGCACAACCACCCGTGCAAGAAAACAGTCCAAGACCTCAGTACTTACAGACCACAAACTCCCCAAAACGTCCTTTCCCCGTGGATGACTTTGAAGATATGAACCGACCCCAAAAGATGTTGCGGCGAGGCGAATCGCCACTTAAAGGAGCGGCAGGTCGGCGTCTGAATCAACAAAAGCAGCTCCAGCAGACGCAAGGAACCCCAACATGGCAATCGAATGCTCCGCCTGTTGCGGTACCACGAGACATCACATTTCTCCTCAGCATTATTCCCAGAGCAGATCTTTATACGGCCACCAAGTTCAATGCCGAATCCATGGTTCGACTGCTTAGTCAAACTCATGTTCCGGATTATAGCGCATGGAAAGCTTCCCGAGACCAGCCTCAACCATTGCCACCTCAGCAACCGCCACAAGCACAATATGGTAGGGCTCCCATCCATCAAAACGACCGACCCCAATCACAAGACCAGCATCAACAGCCGCATTACTCTTTTGCCGGTCAAGATGACCGTAGTTGGCAAAATCAGACCAGCTACGGAAACCGTCCAAGTCAAAATGTGAACAATGAACGTAACGGCTACTCGCAGCCACCAGTTCAGGGCATGCATTTGCAAGGACTTCCACCTCGGCCAGAGCCCAATTCCGGTTATTACCAGCAGGACTATAACAACGCCCCTGGCACTAGTGGAAACTGGCAACAGCCCCAGGTTCAAAATCCTGGCCCCTCTTTAGCGCCTGCTCAAACATGGTATCAACAACAAGCTGACCAATTCGCCCCAGGGTACAACTCTTACGGTCGATAATCGAGAGTTCTTTAGCGGATTACAAGCAAACTTCTTCAACACTCCGGACTGGTTTAGGCCTCCTCCTCCTTCCTCTTGGCCAAAGTAATTCCACGACACGAGCAGCATACAGGTGTGTATTAGGTATTGCTTACGAGCTGCGCAATATTTTCTTCTTAATATGCGGTGGAGGAACTTTTGATGCTTTTCGGGAAATGGATTCATTGGGTCACCCCAACAAGGTATCTCCAAGTCCGAGCTGATTATCTTTCTTGTCTGTTGTCTTACTCATAGCATGGAGTTCTGGTGAACCCTGGGGATCTCAAAAAAATAGCAGGGCAGTGGTACCTGCTTCTAGCACTGATGTATAATAGGAAAGCGATAGTACCATGCAATGCAATGCCATTTCAAAATTTTCTTTTCATTGACTTATTTTTCGCGGGGCGTGATGATATTTTGAGTCCGACTACCTACCTGTCTACTGATGTGCCAGATTTGATGGGAGAGTTGAGCTAGTGTGTGGATAGAGCTGCATAAAAGTCGATTGACCTGATCCTTCAGCAGCTCTATTTGTACATTTGCTTATAATTTACTTCAGCATTGGGCATATTAGGAGACAGGTAGGCATGCGTGGTTCATCAGTTATGTTTTACGTTTAATGTATTTGCGATATTGAATCAGCTTGACGTTGGGTTTGTAGCCCTTTCTGCCCTCACTTCTTCCGGATGATACAGTGTATAATTTCTTTACAGGCATTGAGAAGTGACTCGCAGTGAAGACTGGCCATGGCGCATTACCAATCATCTCAATTCACCCTCGCTACTTGTTTTATTGCGCATATGATCTATTTGCATGCTTGGCAGACTATTTGGGATATTTGGTTGTCTGCTTGCATCGGTTGGACATGTCATAGAGCAAACATACCTATTTTTCGGCGAGGTGTTTTGCTTTTGCAGTGCGTTTGCAAAGAGCAAAACATTACACTGCAAAGCATCCTTCCCAAACCAAAAAGTACACACATGAAATGCGATTGCGCCCTCTTCTTGACTTCCTTGTAATCAAAGTGTTTGATTCTCAACTGCTTGTAGCTTGACGCTTCGAGCGCTGTCAAAGTTCGTAGCTTTCCTCGCTGCCTGTGTTGATGGCAAATAGCCGCCTGCCGCCTTCCGCTGGCTGGACAACAAAGACAGTCGATCCTGGCTCGAAACCTCCTATGCGGCAGCAAGAATCCGCAAAGCTCGCTTATTTGGCCTATCCAGGAGGGTAGCAGCAAACACGTGACCGCGCTAGCAGAGTCTAATTTCCCGTATCGCCAGTCTGTCGCCCACCACAGTTTTGATATCTTTTCCTTCCGCATCTACGTCAACCCCACCTCTTTTCTCCTTCCCTACAACCCATCCCGATCTCAACCCCAACCTACAACACAATTGTCTTGAATTGTGCCATTTATCAGTTGACGGCATCTAGTCAGTCTAGTCAGTAAGTGCATCCTCTAATTGCGTGTTCTTCCTCGCCGCCTTCTTGTGGTTGCGAGGCGCGTCTGTTTGCCCGTCTTGTCGCCTTGCGCCAGGTCTTCGAGCACTCGCAACACAACATCTTCCTGCATCGAGGAAATCCATCTCTTCCCTCTCCTTGACTCCCCGTAGCCCCAATTGTTCGAGTTTCGAGTAGCCGCTGACCTCTCTCCAGTAGATACGCCGCAGTGTTCGATCTGTCACGTAGACTTCCGTGATCTGCAACCCTGAGCGGTGAGACAAGCCCCTTTTACTCCAGCTGTTGGATTTTATGCCTCACAAAGGCAGTCCAATCAGTGGCTTTGCCGAGAATCAGCAAATCTTTCCCCTATATTCTCTTTTCTAACGCCATTTCTCCCGATCATTCCCCTGGCCTTGACACTTGCCCTTGAGGCCGGACTCTCAATTATTTTCCGTCATTCACTTCAATTACAACAATGTTCCCACTGACTGACAACTTCCAGGTTCCAGTTAGCTCATTAACACCATGGCTGGCGGCGCTGGACAGCGTCGGGGTCGTGACCTCGACCAGCCACAACCCCCACCACACAATGGCGGATACCCTCCGGAAGGATATTCTGCCCAACGACCACAAAATCAAGCTGGAAAGCATGATGGTCCCGGTCCAGGATCAGCCCGCAGTGTAGGAAGTGGTGCAAGCATGCCTCCTCAAAGTGGTGGATTGCCACCCCCTTTGGGATATGACCCAGGCCGCATCACTTGCCAGCCTGTAAAGGAGAGTGCTATTTCAAACACCCGTGTTGAGTTACCTCCTGATGCAGCAGGCCTTGATCGTAAAGTGAGTGATCTGTTTTTTTGAATTAGTCTTGCTTGATCTATATTCTCGGTGTGTACTTCTCTTGTGTAATTATATTCAAGCGAAGAACCTGTAGTAGTACTTCACATTTGCAAGTGCGGTCTACTGAAGGAGGGATACTTCTCTCCTCCTCTAGTGAAGTACAAAGCCATCGTCCTCACTTGCAACGAGGGGGGCGTTCCTTCTCAAATAGGCAACTTCATACTTCGTTCGTTCAGTAGTTGTTGGAAGACACGTCAGGCATCAAATTCTCAGCCGCACCTCCCGCTTCCCGCTCTCCTGCTCGTCTATAAATCCCCCCTCTCACCCTCAAGACCTCTTCTTCCTTTCAACAAACAACACAAACTCTTCACATCTTTCTTTACCTTATCCCAAACATCTTGCAATCATATCTCATACAACTTATCCAAACACCTCAACGCCAAACAGAGATAGTTGACTCGTCGACTTTCAAGTTTGACCTTGAATAAATACCTTTCACCCTTCATATCTTCATCCCTCCTCAACATTGCCCTCAATCTTCCTTAACCCCGCATTCTTCCTCGTCTTTGTACACTTCCATCATCACCCCTTTTCCGCCCTTTTTCAAAACTTGACCTTTTGAGGTCTTTGAAAAGTCATCATGGAGGGCCACGAGTACAGCAAATACTATGGTCACGTCTACGATGTCAATCACGAAGTGGTTGGAGAATTGGATTCTAAGGCTTTTGAACAGTTCGAGAGAGGTCTGCCCAAGCGTCCAGGTTACAATACCACAGGAAAGCAGATTGCCGTCCGTGTGAACCAATACAAGGTGAACAAGTTCCCTACCATGGACGTTGGACAATATGATGTAAGATACCCTTCACCTTTATCTTCACTTTCGAACCTCACTAAATTTGGCAGATCAACTACGGCCTCAGACCAGACCAAGAGTCCAAGCGCGGTTTGCTGAAGGCAATTTTTGATTCATCCGATATGCAACGTGAGTTGAACAAACACAACCCATTTTGGTTATGGGATGGCAACAAGCTTCTTTGGTAGGTCATTCATCATTTGAGAGTCGTTTTCATGTAATACTCAAAAGTCATAGGTCTATCTGTCAAGTACCCGAGATTCGGGTTACGGTCGACCTTGATAAGGCGAAAGGCCGCACACCTCGAGATGGTCAAAAGCCAGATACGTACAGAGTTAGAATTGTCCGAACAAAGCGTGTACGCATGGACATGGTCCGCGCCTACATTGAGGGCAAGATTGATTTTGACAATTCGGTGTATGAGGGAATCAGTAAGTTCTATATTGGTATAAATCTTTTAGATCACTTTATTCATGCTGGCTAGATTTTCTCGACCACTTGATGCGTCAGGGTCCGTCAGAGAGAGGTGATTTAGTATCTCAAAAGCGCAGCTACTTTTCGAGAACCGGAAACAATTATGCGCCCCTTGACAACCTTATCGGTGCTTCTAAGGGTGTTTATCAATCCATCAGACTTTGCGACGTGAGTAGCCCACCAATCTCCACCTTACGAGAAGTACGCTCACTTTCATTTAGCCCAACGGTGGATCAGGCCTTGGTATCAATGTCGATGTTGCCAATGGTACCTTCTGGTCTGGTCAAGAACTTATTCAAGCAGTTAGAAACTATACGATGATGGTCACCAGAGATCGTTCGCTGGACTATAATACGCTTACACAACGCCTTGCACCTGTAGCTTACAAGAACGGATACACTCAATCCGCACCCTTCAAGGAGCTTCGAAAGATGTCAAAGTTGCAGTTCAAACTCAAATGCCAACCTTTGGGAAGCAAACCCGTCGCCAACCCCGATCGTAAGCCAGTGTTGTAAACCTCTTCCAATGTCAATAGCTAACATATACTTTCAGAGGTTAAGCACAAGGTTTTCACCATCAAGAATTTCGCATGGGATACAAAATACGGCGCTGCTGGTTGCACGCCCAAGACCAAGACCTTTGAACTGACTGATAAGCCCTCTGGCAAAAAGCGAATGATCTCAGTCTATGATTACTTCAAGGAGAAATATGGGTTTATTTGCAATCAGCCACATCTTCCCTTGATCGAGACCACCAGAGATGGATTTATTCCAATGGAGGCCTGTTTACTCTTGGGATTCCAGAAGTACCAATACAAGTTGGACCCAACTCAGGTAAGAAAAGCACCTGTTGTGAAAAGTGAATTGTATCTGACCAAACCCTAGACCGCAGCGATGATTAAGTTCGCTGTGACCAGACCTAAGCAGCGCTTGGATTCAATTATGAGCGGTGTGAATATGCTCAATTGGGGAACCGATAGATACCATAAGGCTTTTGGACTCGAGATCGATAGAAACTTTACAGTGGTGAGTAAACATTCGTTTCTCTTTTACCCGGTCCGCTCTTTCGATTGACTAGAATCATGGCCATTAACTTGTATCAAACAGACCAACGCCAAATTGCTGCAAAACCCAGAGATTCAGTTCAAGGGTTCAAAGCATAACCCAGGCACCTCAGGTCGATGGGATCTTCGTGGAAAGAAGCTGTGGATTCCCAATCAACAACCACTCAAATCATGGGGATGTTTGGTTCTTGATGGTTGTATGGATGAGGCGTCATGCAAAAACTTCATGAATGTTTTCATGCAGACCTACATTGGCCACGGTGGAATTGTCGCCAACAAGAATCCATCGATCGTGGTTAGTCCCAGGGGTGCAGACGTTTATGCAAGTGCCATTCGCTTCCGAAATACGGTCGGCAACGCAAACCAGCTATCTCCCCAGATCATATTCATCATCATGAGCCAGCGTGACTCGTTCATGTACGAGCGTTTGAAGAAGATCATGGAATGTCGCTTCGGTATGGTCTCGCAAATGATTGCAGTTACGCACGCCAAAAAGGCAGCACCTCAGTACTGCTCCAATGTCAGCATGAAGGTTAATGCTAAGCTGGTAAGTTCATTTATATTTCACTGCCTAGACTTTGTTAGACGGAAGGTTTGTTGACACTTTTAGGGCGGTGTTACTTGCAGAGTCAATACTCCAGCACCAAAGGCTTTCCCTATCCCAACCATGATTATTGGTATGTTCACGTCTTATCTTCTGACCATACTCCTCTAATTTTCCTAGGTGCCGATGTTTCACACGCCTCGCCAGGCTCTGAGCAAGCCTCCATTGCAGCAATCACCATGTCCATGGATCCTGACTGCTTGAAATTTGCAGCCCATGTGCAGACGAATGGCCGTCGAGTTGAGATGATCAGTGAGGAGAATATTAGAGGCGGTTTCATGAGCTTGTTCAAGTACTGGGTAGAGAATGCTCGTACTGGACCTCAACACATCTACTACTTCCGTGATGGTGTCTCTGAGGGACAGTACCAGGCGGTTCTTAATGATGAGGTTTTCCGTATGAAGCAGGCCCTTGAAGAGGTTTACCAGGAGAAGGCCAAGGCAGTGCGTGATACATCTTCTTTTCTCTTCAGCAATGGTGATAGTATTGCTAACATACGAGTAGATCAAATGGACTGTTACCGTTTGCAGCAAGCGTCATCACATCCGCTTTTTCCCCAAGGAGGGCGACAGTCAAGCAGGCGATAGAAATGGCAATGCTTTGCCTGGTACGCTTGTGGAGCGTGATGTTACACATCCATTCCACTATGACTTCTGTATGTCTTCGTTGCTCAATCCTGAAGTATTCCTGCACTAACCAATGTGTTAGATTTGTCATCTCATTCAGCTATCCAGGGTACTGCGCGCCCAACTCATTACAGGTAACCCACAGCAACCATCTACCCCGTCACCGTAGTCTGTTGCTAACTTTCCTAGCGTTCTTGAGGATCAAATGCAATTGAAGCCATCCGATTTCCAGAATATGATCTACAAGCACTGCTACCAATATGCTCGCTCAACGACTCCAGTATCCCTGTACCCAGCTGTAAGTGCTCTTCCACAAAGGCTTTTGATCAACGCAGGACACTAAACTTATTAGGTTTACTACGCACACCTTGCAAGTAACCGAGCTCGTGCCCACTTCCCAGAGGATATCAGTCTAGGTGCTAAGGGAGGTCAAAAGTTCGTGGAGAAGAAGGAAGATGAGGTTGTTTTGCGTGCCATGGGCAAGGGATCCAAGGGCCCTTCATCGCGAAGCGGATCGAACAAGGAGACCACCGAGGCACTACCCTTGATTCCTCTTGCCATGGACAGCAAAGACCCTGTGTTCATCAAGGCAATCAGAACCAGCATGTGGTACATCTGAAAGCCGCTCATCTTTGGGGAATTGGTCGCACACTTTCCCACGGAAGCTCTTTCATTTCTTGTTTGTTTATTTCATTGATTTGTGCCTCGGGGAGCATGGTGCTCAAAGGTTATCCATAATCCTCGCGAATTTCGTCCGCGACTATGGTGAGGGATGGTGCTTTTGTCTACACCGGGTATTCTTTCGGGGCATTATGACAAAGGGATCAATCAATACGGTGCGTTGAATATTCGGTGGGATCGTGAGAATAGCGCATTTATGAAGGCAACATGGCGAAAAAAAAAAAATGCAACGTCATACACTGGTCTTTACTTAGGTAGTCCAGAAAATTGAGCGATGCTTTGACTCAAACTTCTGTCCTCTTAGAATGTGAACTTGTGAGAAATTTCAATCTTTTTGTGACTTCAATTGCAAACGCCAGTCAGCTAGCTAACCTTTGTGAATTTGAAAAGATCCATTTAGGCTCATGATTAAACAACACTTGTCGATGAAGGGGAGTTGATTGAATAGCTTGCTTTTTTCTTTCTTTTTGAGTTTATGGCTCACTTCGTGTAGCTTTCTTCATCTGCGATTGCTTTGGGTTGGATATTTGAGGAGGGGGTGATGAGGGGGGATGGAGAGTTGGGGAGCTGGAGCTTGGATTCTGGAATATAATGCTGGGAAAGAGGGAGGCCGTAGGGACGGATAGCTTCTTAGAGGGGTAGAGCGCGTGCGTGATGGTAAACATGGTGGATATTAGGCTTGGCGGGAGGAGAAGTTGAGGGGAAGGTGAGCGTTTTCAACGAGGAGATCATGAGGTTGGGATGTTGGGTGCTGGTGTTGGGTTTGGGATTGAGCTTAGGTAGTCAAGTTCAAGGATGATGGACTTGGTGTTTCTTTTCACGGCTACTGGTATGACTATTTAGGGAGATTGTGTTTACATTGATCGTTGGGGCATTCTTTGGGCTTTGGGAGTTGAGGAATATTTGGGAGGTAGTTGTGAAGGGGGCAGTAGTGGACTGGCTTTTGGGAAAGGGATTACTGCTTTCTGGTTGTTGGGGGGTTTGGGTTTCTTCTTGGGGAATTGATTGGGACTGGAATCGGGTCTTTGGAGGTGTGGTTGTTACAGTATGTGGGATTGGAAGATGAGTGTGCGAGGTGATCGTTTTCTTGATAGGAGGTTTCGTGACTACTCTGTATATGTATTACAGATCTAGCTTGGAGCAAGATTTTCCTCCACGCCTCGCACAATGAGAATAGCAACTGAAAGACTTCTATAAATAGCTTCGAAATATCACGCGCCTTTCATAAACCAAAATAATCTAATGTCTTGTGCTACTTCAGACGTTTAGTATGATTAGCTCATACCGTGTAAAGCACAAAGTATAGAATGACGAGATCTTTTACTCATCACTCTTCCCAAAAATAAATACATATCCATGTCCAGATTTCCTGACCATCCTCTTCCAATCTGGCGCTACACGAGATCCCATCATTCCATTCTATTCAGGGTATGACAACACCCCTCGGTTCCCATCTTGAATCTTTCCACCTCGACACCTCGGCTTGGTGATACCTCAAAGTATTACTATAGTATCACGCCCGAGGTCCTTGAGCTTGTAACGTTGTACGAAGAAGCGGGTTTTTTGTTATCGAAGGGTTTTCGCTATTCATGTACCTCATTTCCTCTCAGAACTGTTTCTGTGTGGGTTTTAGGACAGTGGTTTTAGTATACAATAGAAAAAATGCGATTTCTAATACCGATTCCAAAGCTAACGGCACTTATGGTTCTCCTCCCTCTCGCTTTGTCCACCCCGACGCAGGGGGAGGGGAGAGATGTGGATTCTGGGGGTGGTGATAGGATTAAGTAATTCTCTCGTTTTTGCTCTTCCACCCACTACTGTTCCTTTTGATTGCTTAGAGATTGGAAATTTACTCAGAGATTGAACATGGAAGAAAGAAAGCTGACACCAAAAAAGTATAGTACTCTACACACAACCCAGCGGCGGCGGCCAAGCGAAAATCTACGTGACGGAGATAAATAAATGTTATTCTATTGATCCTCCATTGTATGGTTCTCCCTTCGATAATTCCACTCTACCCCTCATGATCCATAACCCCTCTACACATTCCCACCTTCAACAACCACTCTAACACCCCATATCATAGCCTAAAGAACACCTACAGCATCACAACCCAACAAGCACCCTACACCTGCACCTGGTTCTCCAAGACAGGGTGTCACGCACAGGATACCTTGTTTACTATCAGTGGAGGGGGGGTGTTCGTTCGGATTCCCGAGGAGAAGAGGGGGGTTGTGGGGTTCGAGTGTGTGGATGAGGTTCTCTGACGGCAGCGTTGGGAAATTAGGGGGATGAATTTTGGGGTGGAGTCTCGTTGCTGTCATGGGTTTACTTTGGGATGTTGGTGAGTGTCTTGATGCTTTTGGATTTATGGAATGGGAGGTGTTTGAGGGTTGAGGATAAGGGATGAGTTGGTTTATACATCCTCGGGGCTTAAGCGAAGGATGGGGATTGTCCACGACTGAGGAGGGGATAAGTGGTATTTGGGGGAGTGAGGAAGTGTAGAGTATGGGTATGGATGGTATATGTAGAGATGTGAAAGGGAGTATTTGAAGATTGCATCTCCTGGGTTTGAGCAACGGAGGGGATGAAGTGTCGGTACTGAGGGTGAGAGTGAAGTGAAGTGATTACCTTTAGAGTATATCTTCCCCTCAACACCAACAGTGAAGTTTGAACACGGAAGTATACAAATACAAAGTGAAGTATATGAGAGATTTGCGACGTTGGATTCGGAAATGTGTCGCGATGAAGGACCCCGCCCTGCTGAACAGTGAAGTGAATCAGCGAATGACGGGTGAGGGAGATATCAAGTAAGAAATTGTCAGACCACATCCTTTGAACCAGTCGGTTTACACACAAGAGAAGGAGATGAATTATGAGGTATCATTTCTGTTGTGCTGGGTCTACTTTCTCTTTTGCTCCACTTCCTTATTTGATCCACTTATAGCTCTGCTGCCTAAATGCTGCATGTCTGCCTAAACCTTACACTCTTTATATAAACACCTTAGATAGCTACCTTTTACAATGCAATCAATTCTCCATGACCTTCAGTACCCAATACCCTTTCAACCCAATAATTTCATACATTCATTCCATTATTGGCAAAGCTATCATCCAAATCCAAAAGTCTACCTAGCTATCGAGTACACAAAGCCCCCTTCCCCTACGGACGGTTGTTTCATACAGCGACTCTCCTTGCGGGATGTACCATATCCTCGATACCCTTTTCCTTTTCTCCTGACTTAGCAGCTCCAACCCTGGAACTTCCAATTTTGATATTATTCGCATTCCCAGGTGTTCCTCCTGTAGCCTTATTCTTCGCATGCCTCTCCCTCGCTAGCTGGATTTTAGATTTCTTGTTGCCATTGGCATCAAACTCATCGTCATTTCCTTTCCAAGGTTGCTTCTTATCTCTATTGTTGTTTTTCTTCTTGTTCTTCAGCTGCGTCTTTGTAGAGGGTGTTGCTTCTACGACTTCAGCATTCTTGACCGGTTCTGGCGAAGGATACGCGGCTGCTCCAAGGGCTTTGACTGTGTTTACCCATTCGCCTCTGCGACGCTTGAAGAGATCAAGATGGTAATTTCGCCAAATGATCCGACCAGTGAAATTCTCTCGAAGTGCCACTTCGTGATTGCAAAGTGTCAGAAGAACTCTTTCACACAAGATGAAGAGAGGAGCTGTGGACGCTGTGGATTTTAAGAGCGCATCGAGGGTATGGGATCCAGTCGTGGAGAGTGCAAGAATGAGGGTAGGGTCCAGCTCTGGTGTTTCTGGCTCTGTGGAAAAGAGGAGCGTGTTGATGAATTTTCGCCGGAAAAGGGTGGGGGTAATTGGGTTGAGGGCCGATTGGATGATATGGGATGTTGGTGTGTAAAGAGCGAGTGCGAGAAGTGTTGGTTGTGGGAGGCATAACAAGGAGCTTTGGATCAAAGTTGATGGTGGTCCAGGGATTGCGAGTAGACTTTGAGCGAGAAGTGAGCCATGAGTTTGTTGAGGCGTGGGTTTCAATGCTTGCTCTGTAGCTTTCTTCGACTTAGACCTCAGTACAGTTCCAGTCTTCTCGGTTTGTTCATGTACTTCTGGTGTCTCCTCTCCTGGTTTGGATGTGGTAGAAGTAGCTTTGATGAGGGCATCCACATTAGTAATGCAAGCCATCTTCAGAACCAAGGTATTGGGATCGGAGCCATATGAGGAAGCAATGGCGTTTGTCAAAGCCTCCACAGATGCATGCGCTTTTCTGGCATGGCATCTCTCCATCAAGGTCTTGATGATGACAGTCCGTGATCGCTCAACCAGGCCCATAATCTGGGGTGCTATCTGCTCAACAGCGTCCACCAAATCTTCCTTGCTTATCCGCTCCAGCACCTTCATAACGACGTAACTTGAAATCTCGTTCCTTGCTAATCCTGCGATACGCTCTTTGAAAGTGGTTTTGTATATTTGTTTAAACAGCTTCCCTGGAGCATGCGTGCATATGGTTTCGAGTAGACGAGATCCAATTGCATCATATATGATACCATTGATGAAGACAGATGCCGCGCTCCCCTCCTCGCCCACTTCATCTGGCAGGAGAGCAGATATGATGGTTTTCTGATCAGAATTTTTGCCCTTTTTGGAGTTTGGATTCGTGAGTTCGAGTTCGAGAAGGAGTTGTAAGCTAGGATTGCCTGTAGGGTGTGTGGCAAGAACTTGAATAAAGGTAGGATCCATCATCGCAATGGTATCCGAGATAATCTTTTCGACTGCGAACTGGAATGATTCTGGAACTGCGCGCTTGTTCAAAGACAATTCGGTTGGTGCTGCGGCCATATTCGCAACCACGACCTTCTCTTTCTTCTTGCTCTGGAGCAGAGAATTTGTCGAGCTCTTCTCCAGTGATCTGCCAGACAATATAACCAGCAATACTCTCAGTGTATGCGAGGCAAATCGATCCGTCAATAAGAATGTCATCTGTCCCTCCAGCTCATCCAATGTTGCCAGAAACAAACTCTCCATGGACAAACTCTCTGGATCCTCAGTATCATCCGCATCTCCTTCTGCCTTTTCCTTCCTCTCTGCTACCTCCTCGTCTCCAGTCAATTCTCTTGTAACCACCGGAGCGCTCTGAATAAACAGCATTTCAGCGCAATGGCTTGCAAAGCGATGCTGTACCAGATGCGCAAAATTTCCAGCAAACACCCCGAATAGCTTCTTCTTCTGCGCACTCGTACTCAACAGTATCAACCTTTCCATCAACCGCGAGCAACTCTGACTACAAGCAATTTTCAATTCCTTGCCCTCGGCTTCCTTATACACACTCTCGAGAAACAGCGTTCGCTCTTCATCGGACGGGAAGTCGTTAAGCTCGAGAAGTTCGTCTGCGCGGCGAAAGTATTCCTGCTCCTCATCCTCAAGCATACCATAAAAAGGTCTTTCGGTCGCGGGCGCTTTCTCGTCATCTTGTGGTAGGATTGAGTCGTCGATTCCTAACCTCATGAACTGGACTCCATCGGAGGGGTCCTCGAGGTCTTGGGACTTTTGACGTTTAGGGAGGACGATTTCCTCGTCGCCGGTGTCTCTTTTGCGCTTCTTGTCTTTCTCCCCCTTCCGCCGACCCCGACTGTGTTTGTTTTCTTTGGGCATGGTGTTTGTGGGTTTGGTGCTGTTGCGCGGTGTTTTTCTTTAGATTTCTTATCGCTCCCAAAATCTTGAGAAACTTTTTTGAGCTGCGGGCGAGGATCCGGCAAAACTACCTGCAATTACCCGGTAGGCCCACTCTCGCCAAGAGTTAGTAGTAAAGAGAGCTTCGAGGTCTACTTTACTCTAGTTTCGTGCAAGTTCAAAATGGAAACTAAATTATTACAAAAACTGGAACGATAAAACTCACTATAGTTTGACTGCTCAAGAAAGAAAGAATTATGGCAATTGTTAAAGGTAAAGGTGCCTTGAGGCTTCAATAACTAGGTAGAATCACTGCCCCCACCTGATCCCATCCTAACTTAAAGCGGGCCTCGCGAGCACAGACGCCTGCGGCTACTCGTAGAGCCCCTAAGGACAGTCTCGTAGTACCCCCCTGTTAATTTCCTAAATAGGAAATAAAGCGCTGATTCGTCTGGAGTACTTGATTAGTATCCACCTACACTTGGCAACTCCACGAGTGTGGTAGGTAAAAGTTGACCAAAAATATCAAGCTTAGTATGAAATTGTATCTACAAATCTAGGGCTTTCTAATAGTACTATTATATTTTCGATGTTTGCTTTATTAGTAAAGATACTAGCGTTTTTATTATTTTATGATTTCGGGTGTGAAAACCCCTACTAGTATATACTTGGCAACTCCACTATTCCACTTATCTACTCCACTATGTACGATTTACAGGCCTTGTATGGCTTCCAGTACTACGAGACTGGCGTAAGAGGCTCTGCCAACTCGTTCCTCGTTGTTGAGGCCTGAGGCTCTTAGACTAAGAATGACCTGATCCCAGCCGACCAGAACCCTTCTACCCCTCCAAAAAAGAACACATATATATCTTCAAGTAGTAAATCCATTCCATATCCCAAAAAGCCACCATAATCATCCCTAGGAAATCATTACCATTTCTCCTCATATCCTCATCTCAACCATTCGACTTGACAAAAATCTTCTCTCCTGCTCTCACCAGCTCTTATGCTAAGCGAGGTACTGTAAGGTCTTACAATAACCAGCCCAAAAATCTCCTTCCTACTCCCATTATCACTACAAAGCGACCCACTCCACCGTAACGATTTCAGCTCCTCACATAAAACAATAATTATGTATAAGCATCAGGGCAACAATGTCCAATGGGAAGCCCCCGCGGGTTGGTCAAAGGGCACAGATACGGAAGCTCAAACCACTCAAACCATTCCATCTACTACTACCTGGATCTGACGAGGGTTACTTTAGCGCTGTGTTATTCTAGCGTGTAAGGTTTCGATCAGGGGTTGAGTTGCCGGTTTGGTGTTAGAATTCTAGGGGTAGCCGTAAGCGAATTACATATGGAAATAGAGGAGAAGAATACGGGGACGATAACCTGTTTGGGGGGGTTATATTCTGTGGTTCATAAGGATTATACTTTGAGGGGTTGAAGGGGCCGGCTACATAGGAAAGAAAAGTACATGGGATGGTCTTTAAGAGACAAAAGAACGAAAAGAAAAAAAATTGAAATTGGTATTCTATAATAACTAACCACCAAGTACCCATTTCCTTTGTCTGGAAACTACGCACGAAAAATCCACAACACCATCGATAGCAACCCACATACCTCCCAAACGCCCAGCAATCCCATTTTCCCATTTCCATGCTCCCATCAAATCCCACCTTATCCCAGCCCTAGAAAAACTTCCCAGTAATGCCACCCAACAGCATACTCCTCTTCTGCTTATTAACAAACTTATTCACATCATCCGCCCACCCCTGACTACTATCAAGCATCTTATCCGTGCTATCCTCCACAATGCCCAATTTCTGCGTTCGTTCATTCAACTGGCGTGTCATATAATCACCCCATCCCTCCGAGCTCTGTGTTCCAGGCGTTCGCGCAGAACCATCTGCCCCGCCAGCTGCACGGACAAGACGATCCTCCTCCGCTGCAAGCGCCATCATCCGCTTACTCGGTGGTCTATCCGGGCCGCCTATGAGGAGATCAAGATCGGTAGTGGAAACATATTGAGTCCCTGAGATCCACTGCAGATTCGAGATAGTCGGTCTCGTAGGCGGTAACGCATCAGGATTATATAATTTATCAACTGTGGATTGAGTAAGTGGTTGGCCCGTCCCCCATACATTAAGCATAGCAAGTTCCGAAGGACCGGTCCAGCCGAACACACCACCCGAGGGAGTGACTATGGAAGACGAGAGCATGGTTTTATCGAGCATGGGGAGGTCGGCGGAGGTAATTTCCTTGAGAGCCGGGAGGGAGTAAGCCCGTGTTGTTTTGTCGCTGAAGACTCCTACGAGCGAGATGCCGTGGCCTTCAAAGTCGGTGACGCAAGCGGATTCGCAGAAGATGTCGTCCCAGGATTTGTGAGCGCCTTTTGCAGTGGCGGGTTTGAAGATTCTGGCTTCGGTTTGGGTTGCTAAAGTTCGTTAGTATTACACGGTGATGCAAAGAGAGGGTAGAAAACTTACCAACAACCAAAGTGCCATTTGTTTGTTGACCATCTCGAAGTGCTGCAACAGCCGTTCCTGTAGCCGATGCCGGTTTTCCAGTGCTCGCAACAATAGGATTGATAGAAACAATTCTGCCATCAAGTGACGTGACACCAGCAAGCTGAGCAGTATATCCACCATTCGCCTGGGGCAATATCTTGAAAGTCACCACTTTTCCTTGATTGGTGCCGACGAAACAAGCAATAGAGGAGTAATTGTCACCTTCTAATGTCATGACACCAAATTCAATGACAACCGGCCAATCTGGCTTTGCCGAGATCTCCTTGCTACCCTTTCTCATGAAGCTACTCCGCTTTTCGGCTTTGATAAAATCGCTGGTAGACTTGGTGAAGAATACCGTAGGTCCCCGAAGGTCTATGAGAGAGAACACTCCATTCTCAGATCCAACACCAACAAATCCCACTTCTGACATCTTAAGAGCACGAATAGGACCAGAAGCCATATCGTAGAGAACAAAGGGTTGCAGTCCCTCTTTTAATGTTGACTCCGCTCTACTTGAAATATCTGTTATTCCTCCCGCGACTGTATCAACACCTAGCTCTTGACCAAAAAATTTGTTGGAGCCCCAGTGATAAAGCGCCACTTCGCCAGTGGCTAGTCCAACTCCAAACTCTCCAGTATGAATTCCCATACTCATACTAGTGATATTGACGTCCTCATACCGATCGAGAGCTCTGCATATGTCGACCTGTAGAGTAGTATTATTTTCTAGCTCATCACCATGGCCAACATCAAAGATTCGAATCGTTCCATCGCCATGTGCTGATTGCACAATATTTCGGGACTCATATCTTCTTAGGGGTTTAGTGCCTTCTGCGCCACCTTTGAGGAATCTGGGGCCTTCTTGTCGGCTCTCTACCATACCCAGCCATCTATATAAAACGAGTCAGTTCTTGCCTCGGTCTATGATTGAAGAGTAATTTGGGTTACGATGCACTATGAAGTCGACTTACCTTCCACGATCCACAGGCGTTACTTGAAACGATAACGCAAATGGATGAACGAAGAACAACGAGGGATGGAATGCTTTGGGCGGAATTGTGTATCCACTTGGGAAGCTCATGGTTATTAATTCTCCAGATGTAAGAATCTGTTGATCCCAGTGTTAGTTTTTAGTATGAAGTAAAGACGGAAGTTTTGCTGAGTTTTAGACAGCAGTCAAAATGACTATATGAAGGACTTGACTCACAGCAAGAATAGCTATAGGGTCTTGGGCTCCATCAAAATGAGGAGAAGTACGAGGTATCAGACAAAAATCTTTTACTTCGGCGCCCGGGGGCGTTGCTAAAGAAATAGATTTCTTTCCTTTGAGATGGGTTTCAAGGACTTCCCACTAAAATTTGAAGAGTTAGCTTTGATTTATGAAGAACGAGGTATGTGACCCAAAGTATTGGCAAAAGAGATGAGCAGAATAATACAAGGTGAAATGGTGAGAATGCAAGATAAAGCTCGTTGAACTTACAGATGATGTGGCGTAAACAGGAGTAGGGCCTAATTGATTGAGTTAGTCCGATCAATGTAGCCAACTGAGATCTCATGTGTTTTACCTAATTCCAGAAATGTCATTCCTTGAGCACCAGCATACAGAATTCCCGTGTCGTCTGGGTTTTCTTTACAGCACCATTTTACATCTTTGATAATTGTCAATTGCCCTTCAGTGGCCCCTGAAGGATCAACTTTAGCATCAGTCACCGTTCTTTTCATTACGATGCGACCGTCTTTTGGATCAAAGAATACCATCGTGGAGTGGTCCCATATTGACCCAATAAAGGTTCCAGTTCTAGGTTGAAGGAGTCAGTTTGCGCGAACCTGAAGATCCCAACATAAAAGATCACGATGTTCAAAATTCTGAGATTAAAGAGACTGTAAAAAAGGGGTTGAAGAATGAAAGCTGGAAAGAAAAGGAAAAAACCTCCTCAACGTACGGATGCCAAAAAACCTGACGAAGTTTCCCGTCAAACTCAAAGTACGAAAGTGGTTGAGCTCTCTTGAAAGAATACGTAACAATTCCCTCGGTATACCCAATCAAAAGCTGTCCAATATCCCTGGGATGAAGCTGCATAGAAACCACCGACAAAACCCTCGACCTTGGACTTCTCTCCTTCCAATAATTTGGCAGTCTCAAAGGAGAGATCTTCTCCGACGCCAGATCAAAAGCCACAACCTCTCCATTTTGTAATCCTGTAAAGATCCAATCCAGCATGGGATCTGTTACGAGTGCGGTGACCACCCCGGGTGGGTTGAAGCTTGCCAGCTTCTGCTTGGATTGTAGATCCCATACTATAATTTCATTCTTCGAATCTAGACTTATGAGGCGGTCGGCGACGAAATGGAGTTGCTTGACGGAGGCTCGCCGAGGGAGTGTGAAGTTGTATTGTATTCTTGCTTGTCCGAATACGTAAATGGTTCCGCCGCCAAAGGCGCTTTCGGTGGTACCGACTGCTAATAATGACTGCACCGGGTCGTATGCCAACGTTCTGATCGCAAAACACCATTAGTATATACTCAAACAGTTCTTTTGAGGTAGTAGGGATACGTACCCAATCTGCGAGTTTATTCCGAATCTTGCGCGATCGTCTGGGGAGAAGAGTCCTGGTAGGATGCCGGCGGATAGATCATTTTGGATACCGGCCTGTTTTCCCCGCAGGAAGCTTGCCATGGTGTTTCCGGGGATTTTCTATGCGACGAATGGGGGATCTGTATTCGATGCAGGTGGTAAAGAGTCTAAGTATTCGGTAGAGGTAGAAGTTGGAATGGAGGTGGTCCACCAGTGAAAGGTCATCTTTGATTGCAGGAAGAGGGAGGGTTGGAAGGAAGGCTGCCGTGGTGCTGGCAAGGAGGGGCAGTTTGAACAAGAGGCCCAGCTGGGCCCATAAAAATGCCTATTACGTATGACTGGATATTGTACAAGAGTGAACCATGCAGCCATTCATAACACAGCAATTAATTCACAAGGGCATGAAGTTTGAAGCTCAGAATATGCTATTTTTGGGGGCAAAAAAAATGTTAATATTTATCAATTTATTGAGTTGTGTTGGGGGTCTCTACGGATACCGGGTTGGTGTCTGCTATGTGCATCTATAGAGAACTACATGCAATAAGAGAAAAGTCATAGAAGATGAATGGAATTTGCAGACCTAAACCACCAGGGCATGCAACATGATGATCAACAAGCTTAATATGAAAAACGATGCCTGCGATGCTCCACAATCTCATACTCTCCTTTACCCCAAATTCCCCAGTGATCCATGTACGCCTTGTCACTAATCTGATCAGTATTGACTTTGACATCTCTTAATCTCCTCTGAAGTAGGCTCTTCTTGACCATCTGCATTTGTTGAAGAATACGGTCGTCGTTCCTCTCCGGGTTGGCTATAAACTGTGAATCCAGTTCCGCGATGGTCCGCTCCATCTCCTTTTTCTTTCTCGCAGGGTCAGAGATGGATTCGGCATTCGTTGCCTTCTTCTTTGCAGCGACAAGTCCACAGAGTTTGCATGATAGGGCGGGATTTTGTTGGGTGCCTCGATCGATTCTCCAGTCTGGTATTACATCAGGATAGTATCTGAGTAGCCAGGAGAGTGGTGGAATGGGCAGTGTGAAAGACTTGCAATGGCCGCATGCTGCCTTTGGACACTGTAGAGTGGAGAGAGCGCCCTTGCAGTAAGGGCATGGTTCAGGTCGAAGTTCTGGATTGGTAGTCATCCTGTGGTTGTGGGCCATAATAGTGTTAATGACGAAGATTTGCAATATGAACACAAGTGGTGCAAGGCAAGAAATCTAGTGACTTAAATAGATATGAGAGAACGGATGAATACTTGGATACTTGGATTGTGAGCAGGGGAACGAATCACCGTCCAACAGTCCAAACCCAACTGGCTATGAATGGATGTATGTGATGGTCATGTGAATAAAGGGGCAATGTAGGTTTCAACAAAGCCGCTGAGAATTGGATCAAGTGAAAGTCAGCCACCAAAACTAATAGCGTGAGTGGCACAAGCAAGATGTAGAGAGGTAGCGCCCAACGCAAGATGATGTTGCTGTCGATGTAGCATCTGTAGATGTAGCATCGGATCGTGGACCTCGACTGGCATGAATGGGCTCAGACTGAGGTTTACGAAATTCTCTTCCGGCAATCCACGCCTGCGTAAAGCTGCAAACGACCTCGGACTGTGTTGCCCAGAACAATGTCGAAAGGTAGCAAGGCGTCTCCGTTCTCTCCAACCGAGACCTGCTCCAACCAAATTTCCAACTTCCTCAGCCGCCTTCGCCCTAGATGATCGATGATCGATTGTCGTGTGTCCCGCCAAAAATTTCTCCCAGCCCAATGCATTCTCATGCCGCAGGTAGCAGGTCAATTCCCAGCGATTATAATTCTCTTCTTGCCTCCAGATTCCCATCGATGCAAACCATTGAGTGAAATCATGATTGGATATTTCCAGAGGCGTGTAGTTTTATGTATGAGGGAAGAAGAGCCTCTGGGGACGACGAGGACGAGCTCAAGTAGGCAAATTTTGCTGTGGTCCGTGCTTCCGGACAAAGGATTTTCCGACAGCACGTGCACAGAGATGGTCAGCATTTCCGCCACCCCTCCATTGCCCCTCGGAAACAGGTTGGGAAGAATACCCACCACTGCAGTGAAACCACCACCACAACCGCAATTTCTGTGCTGGTTCATGAATCGGGCCCCGAGTCCATCAACGCCTTCTTCAAATTCCCGTTCTCGTTAGTTTATTGCCAGATACTTGTCTTCAGCAGAAAATATTCCTTGCATACGCTCTTAGCGACAAAAGAGAAGAGTCACAGTCAACAACCAACTTCTACTACAAATTCCTAAAATGGCACCAGGCGGACCACCAGGTGGCGCAGGACGCGGCCGCGGAGGCAAATTCAAGAAATTTACTCGAGGAGGTAAGTCGTGCATCCAAATTCCGTCAAGTGTTGCCCTATCTAACAGCAATCCATACAGGCGGCAAGCACTTCTCCAAGAACCTCCGACCTCTCGACGCCAACGGCAACGAAGTCGAAGAACGCGACCCCAATGCTTCAACGGAAGAAGAAGAAAGTTCCGAGGAGGAATCGTCGTCAGAAGAGGAGACAAACCAGCAATCCATGACTCGTGAGGAGCGTCGAGCTGCCGCAAAAGCAAAGAAGGAGGCAGCAATAGCTAAGAAGAAGGGTGTTCCACAGCCAGGCGACATGCCATCCAGCTCGGAGGAGGAGAGCGACGATGACATGCCTGCCAATCCCAATCACTCAAAGGCTGCACGTAATCAGGCTAAAGCCGCTCCTGTCAGCGTGGATGAAGCAACCGAGGGCGTCAAGGAAATGAGTGTGGGAGGAAAAGGAAAGAAGCCCGTTGCAGAGCTGAGTCGTCGTGAGCGAGAAGCTGTACAAGCACAACAGGCCAAGGAGAGATATCAAAAGCTTCACGAAGCCGGAAAGACTGATGAAGCCAAGGCGGATCTTGCCAGGCTCAAGTTAATCCGAGAGAAGAGAGAACAAGAGGCAGCACGCAAGAACGCTGAGAAGGAAGAGCGTGAGGAAGCAGAGAAGGCAAAGAAGGCCGAGATTGAGGCTCGGGAAGCCAAGCGAAGAGAAGCTGCCTTGGGGCCGTCCAAGGGCAAAGGCAAATCAAAGAAGTAAATCTTCTTCCTTCTGGTCTTGTGCATACCTCTTCAGCATCATCTTTACGAGTTTCCTCCTTTGGCTCTTTTAGTTGTGGGTTGGCATAATGTACCCCTTCATTCGCCTTCATTTTTTATACCTTTTCTTTTCTCTATTGAAGAATACCCAGCGTACAACTTTCGTATGCAATACTCTTCTTTGACCTTACTTTCTTGGTTGTTAGTTTCACCGCAATTGAGTAAGGAATTCAAACCATCACCAAAACCAAGTTTTTCCTCATTCGAACATGCCATTGACTGAATAAATGTAATATGCTGGATGAGTTGACAACAAGCAGTAACAATTCTCTGGTATTAAGTATCGAATGAACTGAGACAATACCTCCCGAGTAAGCGGTAGTAAACACACAACCCTTGACACCCACAACAAAGAACGTTTCAACCAATGAATCTAGCTTTCTATAATCAAAAAACCCCTTAAATAAAATATGCTCCCCGCGTCCAGCCACGTGCCACACGTGCGTGGAAGAAAGGGAAAAACGGGTAGAAAACTCCGCACGTCATGGGTCTGGGGTAAGCCTCACCTAATTTCACTTCGCTATTCTCACAACCTTTTACTGGGACTAAGTCGTTGGCCCGAACCCCTTGTCCTGAAACAAGCTCAACACTAGTTTTGTATATATTTCGGCGCATCTCGGTATTTTCTACACTGTCTTTTTTATTTCATCTGTGCATATTTTGATAAGGGAGAATTGTAAATCTTACAGTACATACTTGGTAACAATACGCAATCATGGCTTTGAATACCCCGTTAAACCGCGCTGATGAAGTTGAAGATGTTTTTTTATTTCCTTTTCCCACTCAACCTCTGCCCCTTTTATCTTACCCTCTTACTAACAAAAAACACCAGCTCCTCTCAACGCTTCAATCTCTCATCCTTCCTTTCATCCGCTCAGCTGACTCCGCGCCTCTCACCAAATCTGACGGCGGCAAAGATGGCGAAGCGAGAACGGCGTTGGTCGAGTATCATGCTCCGAAGGAGTTGAAGGAGATTTTTGGACTGGTTTTGCCGGATGGGGTGGGGGAAAAGACTGAAGGGGGTGGGAAGGAGGGTCTTTTTGAGATTGTGGAGAAGGTTTTGAGGTTTAGTGTTAATACTTGGGATCAGGGATTCTGTGAGTTTTCTATTTATTATTTGTTTCTTTGGGAAGTTCGGGAGAGTATGATCCGAGGAGGAGGGAGATGGGTAATTTGGGAGCAGTGATATTGTGAGAGCGTGGCTGACTTTTTGATAGTGGATAAGTTGTATGCTAGTACGAACGCTGTAAGTCAATATCACAATTTGACTAGAAGTCGAGGAGACATTGTTTAGCTAATCATACAGTAGGTCGGTCTCGTTTCCGAATTATTGCTAGCAGTTTTAAACACAAATGTAAGTTTTTTCCCTTGCCTTTCTCGCTTCCCATTTCATTCTAACAAGCAACACAGGTCCAGTAAGTTCCTCATAAGACCAACCCCACAACATCATCAAAACCAAACCAACTAATCATCATATCCTCTCAGCGTCTACCAAGTCTCCCCCACTTTAACCATAATCGAAAAAACCACAACCAAAACTCTCGCCCAAAAATTCGGTTTCAACGGCCCATGCTCCGGCGGAATCTCCACACAAGGCGGCTCAGCCTCCAACACCACATCCCTAATCCTAGCACGCAACACTCTTTATCCATCAACTAAGATTCATGGAAATGTAACACATAACTTTGTCCTCTTCACTTCTTCTCACGGACACTACTCCCTCGAGAAAGCCGCTCAGATGTGTGGTCTCGGCACGGCTTCTGTGATTCCCGTGCCTATTGATGCAACGGGACGTATGAAAGTCGATGAGCTAGAACGGCTGATTAAGGAGTGTAAGGGGGAGGGCAAGACGCCTTTTTATGTTAACGCCACAGCGGGGACGACTGTCCTGGGTAGTTTCGATGATTTCGAGGCTATTTCGACGGTTTGCGAGAGAGGGGGATTATGGATGCATGTCGATGGATCATGGGGAGGATCAGTGATCTTCTCCGAGAAGCAAAGACACAAGTTGAAGGGTGTCGAGAAAGCAAACAGTGTGGCTGTCAACCCACATAAAATGCTGGGTGTTCCAATGACCTGTTCATTCCTCCTCGGTCCTGACATGAGGGTCTTCCATAAAGCGAATACCTTACCAGCAGGTTACTTATTCCACGCCAACGAAGAGGACTCCACCCCTGAATCCGCAGAAGCCCCAATAGATGAAGAAGTATGGGACCTCGCAGATCTCACCCTGCAATGCGGCCGACGGGGAGACTCCCTAAAAATGGCACTGCACTGGATATACTACGGGTCCTCGGGGATCTCAGCACAAATCGACCACGCTTTCTCCATTGCTTCCTACTTTACCGGTCTCCTCGCGTCGAAACCTACTTTCGAACTTGTTTCTGAGAATCCGCCGCCGTGTTTGCAGGTCTGCTTTTATTATAAGAAGGATGGTGTGCTTGGGGATGAGAGGGAGAATGGGAGGACGACGGCGAGGGTTGTGAAGGGCCTGGTTGGCAGGGGCTTTTTGGTGGATTATGCGCCGGGGGTGAAGGGGGAGATGTTTAGGGTTGTGGTTAATGTTCAGACGAGGAGGGAGACGGTCGATGGGCTTGTGAGGGCGGTTGAGGAGGTTGGGGGGAGGTTGTAGAGGGTGGGATGGAATGGGATGATATGATTGTCATTGATTGAAATTGGAAAGGAGCTTGAAAGTAGATTTACTAGATTTTTGGACCGTTAAAAGTGTTATTAGAATTTTGAGCTTGATGTTATTGAGAGAGTGGTCACGGGGTGTCTTATTCCTGATGCTAATCTTCTTTTGGGATTTTGGGCAACCTTTTATGTATGCCTATGAAGACAGACGGATGGATGTATATCTTCGGTGGTTGGGAAGTGCAGTGTGGGAGTGGAAAAGTGCGGAACCTGGTGGAATTGAATTCAGTGAGATTGTTTTCGTTCGTGGCCAAATACATAAGTCACTCCAGGAGTTGGATTCAAAGACTGTGAGGCTTCTTTCACTCCCCGGGAATCATCCGATAATCTGAAGAGGAAATTCTAGGGTAGTAACTTGGACTTAGTGTGACACTGTCAACATAGAGCATTTGCATGGTTTGGAAATAAGCCAGGGAAGTAAACGAGGAAGATAATACGATGGTGTTGGTATGCATCACGGATCTCTATCCGTGGGCTTTGGCTGCGGTGTCACCTATACTTACTCCAATTATGAAGAAAGAGACGAGTTTCTTCGGAGTGTGCTTTCTCGTGTTGGGCTCTAGTGGAGTCGCAATGAGGATCTTGGTAAACGGGTGCCTGGATCACACCTTAATGTCATTCAATCTTTTTGTCTGATACGAGATAATTTGCCTTGACTTCCGCTCGACCTTTGTCGTAAAGTCGGTCTCGGGTAACATCCGAGGGGATCAATTTAGGTGGGTTTTAGCCTGATGTAAATATACACCGTGATGTTTGGTAGTGCGACTTCACTAAGAGATTTTAGTGTGGTGAAATGAATGAGACGGATTTTTTCGATCGGTAATGGAAATGGTAATTAATTTATTTTAGGTTGACATTTTGGAATTGGTGGTTGATTGGGTTGTGAATCTATTTCTGTACCTTTTGTGGGTTGATGTGTGCTTGATTTGATTTGATTTGATTGAATACTGGATGCGGTGAGAATTGAGGGGTATCCTTGGGACACGTGGGACTTTGGGATGGAGAAGGGGAATTGGGCGAGGGGGGATAAAAGGCTGGGATTTCTTATTTATTATGAAGGTGGCTTATGCTTTCTTGATTATGATTACTGCTGGGCTGTCTATAATTGTAATAATGAGACTTCCAAGTACTTTGTTCTTGACGGTTTGGCTTTGTGTGGTCACTAGTGCTGAGGAGTTACAAGTTAATCCTCTGGGAAGAGCGAGTACAAATTCATACACTTCTGTAATACCTTTCGTTTTCTTCTCCCCTCAGAAACCAAAGGAAAGTGCTAATCAAGACACGTTTCTGCTGAAAAGATCAAGGATGCACTCAAAGCAGCAAAACCGGGTGACACACTAGTTCTCTTCCCAGGCACACACAAGGAACAAGTTGTTATCAACAAAGACTCAATCACATTTCGGGGTTTACAAGATCCAAGTGCGGACTTGAAACCCGGGACGAATGATGTGAGTATCGAGTACGGCTCTCACGACAAGAAAGAAGATGACGATTCTGGTTTGTCTTCCAATCAATTTATCTCCACTCGTCATTCATATAACACAGACCCTGACAAGCACCCTTTTTAGCAACCCTTCTTCTCGACGCCTCCAACTTCCGCGCCTACAATATAAACATAACAAATACCTACAGCTCATCCAATACCGCCTCACCAGCAATCTCAAATTTGGGCGACAATAATGCGTTCTACACATGCGGTATCCATGGTAAACAAGGAACCTTCTACGCCCACAAAGGGAGTTTGTTCGTGAGTAGAAGCTATATTGAAGGGACAGTGGATGTTATTTATGGCAGAAATGGCAATGCCTGGTTTCAGGGTGTGAAAGTTGGTGCCTTGAGAAAGGGTGGGACATTGACGGCGCAGGGAAGGGAGGCAAGTGGGGACGATGGGTGGTTTGTTTTTGAGAAGGGGTTAGTCCGCTTTTTTATTTGCTTTTCGTGGGAAAAATGGGAAGAGTAATAAATGTGTAATACTAATGATCTCTATAGAAAACTTGCGATTGCGAAGAAAGCGGATAGTGGGACGAAAGGAAGTGTTTACCTCGGTAGACCATGGGGGGATTACGCGAGGACGGTGTTTCAAAATAGTAATTTGGGGGATGTTGCTACTGAAGCCGGGTGGCAACGTTAGTATTCTGATATATCCTCCTTTACTCTTCAAATACGGATTCTGACTTTTGGAAAGTGTACACCTCCGCGCAATCGACGAAAAATATCCTGTTTGGGGAATACTCGAATACTAATGCTGATGGACCGAGGGTTTCGTGGGCAAAATCAATGGGTAACGCAGAGAAGATTACGAATGTGTTACCGAAATATAATGAGTGGGTTGATGCGGGGTTTATTGGTGTTAGTTATCCTGTTTGAGAGAAGTCTAAGTGGAACCTGAGGGATGGAGTCGTCCTGTGTCACGTGATGTATCTGGTGCTTCCAGTTTCAGAGGAACCCAAAGTACAGTAAATACTTCTAATTGGAAAAATTCTTGGAACAATTGTAAGAAGATAGCAACGTTTAAGCGCTCCATGCTGCAAGTTCTGTTATTCAATGGAAGTATAACAGACGGCGTTTGAAATGAGTTAAGTTAAGTTAAGTAGTAGCATCTACTGAACTTAACTCGAGTGGATTTTAGATCTACTCGAGTTAACTCGCTAAGTACTCGAGTTGAGTTGAGTACTACTTGAGTAGTATAGTGTAATTCGGACCGAGCCTCGGCGAGCCGTTCCGACTACTCGTCATCAGCCGTTCACCCTCTATGTAGATTCCGGCGACAAGTGTTCGGCGGTTATTAGCGTGAGAAATAAGTAGAGTAAAGTAGAGTAGTAGCACCTACTCTACTCTACTCGCCAAGTACTCGAGTACTATTAAGTAGTATAGAGTAAGTCGAACCGAGCCTCGGCGAGCCGGTCCGATAGCTTAGACTTAGCGGCCTCCTTATATAGGGTATAAGTAATAGTATAATAGAGCGCTTTAGAGTAGAACATACTATCTCTTTTAACAATAGCCGCTAGTTTATAATAATTGTTTTATAAGATATTAGTTATTTCTCTATATATACTAACTTATATAAAAAGTTATTCTACTAAACGTTTAGTATAAGTTAAGTAAAATAACTTTTTTAGAATACTTGAACTAGAAGTAAGAGTTAACAGTTATTTTAAGCTCTTTATATAAGTATTTTAGTTGTACGAGGCTTCTAGAATAATAACATTAATTTAAAAGGGGTATATATAAAGTAATAACCACGTCTCTTACTTTAATTAAGTTTTAGTCACGTGACTTAAATACTACTTAAGTAATTAATTTCAATACTTATTACTACTTAGTTAGTAGAATCCGCTACTCTACTCCACTCTGCTTAAGTAGTATTCGAGTTGTTAAGTAGTTTTTTATAACGCTAATAACAGAAAGAGTAAGTTGACTTTAGACTAACGCTTTTAAGAACTGTTAAGATCAAGATCACAGCAGTGGTATAGTTGAGTAGCAAATAATTCGTTAATTCATTGTTCGCTAAAGCAAACGTAGGAAGTCGTGTATATAACGAGATGAAACATCAAAACAGATGTCTCGGGCCTGATACCCTCACATTCCAACATAGGAGTCTGTCTTTATACTCAATCTTCATCCTTCGGCCGTAACCTCGTAAAAGCAAACATATGGAGTAGGTAGATTTGTATGGAGCTCAACACGCCAGTCTTGGAGTTCCATCTAGTTCAACGTTGATCTTTAACACAATGAAAATACTTTACCTTATCCCCGGCAACCAAAAGTGCCCAACGTATTGATAACTTGCTGTGAGCGTTTTCGGTTAATATAGCCCAAACCGCTCCTTTCTTTTTGCAAACTACTCAAATCTGATCATGCTGTTCCCCTGCTCTTCATAATCCAAGGAGAATTGCTTCTGGCACTCCTCGGCAATGTGACCTATGAATCTGACTGGGATATTATGCTCAATAGTATAAATTTTGGCATAGTTGATACGCGAAGCATAATTGAGCTTATCCTGGGGGGTCTTTGGAACCATTCGAATGGCGTTTTTTGCAATGACACTCTCGCCATCCACGGATTCCGGATATTCCGTATATATGATGGCATGCTCATCAACCTGAACACCGGGTTTGGTGAGGCCTCGGAACCCATACGTGAGGATAGGACTAAAATTACATCGCTCAGTCTGGCATTCAAGATAAAGCACATTTAGTAAAGGAGTTCGTTCTACTTACACACACTGGGAATGTCCTCTACCACTGCGAATGACTATGAAGCGACGTATCTTAGTAGACACCGTTTGTCCCCTCGTATCGTATTCTTCAAAATTTGTAACCTCTGTCTGGCCCGAAGCAGTCGAACCCATAGGCTCGGACCAGAGTACCTTGAAAACTTGGCCTGGCTTGAAATTCTTTGAATGCAAAACACTAAAACCAGCAAGCATACTTTTGCCACCACTTTTGCTTTTACCACTGCTCCTGGAACCGGAACCTTGGTTCGAACTTCCCTGACCCGATGTGTAGTCTTGCTGGAAACTTTGTTGGGAGGTTGGCTGATAAGATGACGGGTAGGCTAGAAGTTTATCAGCTTCAAAGTTGTAAAATCAGAACAAGTTCACTGGTACCTGTAGACTGTTGATAATTCGACGGTCCAGGATAAGAGGTAACACTTGATGGGCCTTGATAGTTGGCCGTGGGGGTACTCCCGGAGCTCTGAGAGTAACCGTATTCTCTCGCTCCGCTTCTCAAGGTAGATGGATAGCTGATTCGTCCGCCTTGGTCATAGTTGGGAATAGTAGTAGAGTTTGACCCCCCTACAACAATAAACACAGTTTCTGGTCAGATGAGAACGTGGAGGTACCTGTATAGGGATTCGACGAAACAGAATAGTTGGCATTTGTAGAAGCATAAGAATTGCTGCTAGCTGGGTAGGTGCCGGAAGTAGAATTTGCTAATGGGTATGCTTTTGATGCTTAGTTATCCTCAATTATGATTGAAAACAGGTTATTTGGGAGAAACCTACCGGAGCTAGAATTATTGGAACCATATAGTCCATAGGTCTCCTCACCTGTCGAAGAAGGAGAGTATTGAGAATCGTTATTCGAGGAGATATTCGTGGTGGACAAGGTGGTGGAAAATTCATCAATATTAGTTGTTGATCTGGGGTAGGGATCGTTCTCGCTAGTATCGTAATTGTACTCAACTATAATGTCTCTATAAGCGAAAGGATCTACCACCTATTTGCATTTCAACATAAGCTTACTTTGGCCATTTGAACCGGTCCGCCAACAGTAATAACCCCTACCTTGCGGATCGAGTATCCATGCGGACCACGCCGTCGGTGTTTGACCCTGACCAGGATTTCGGGAACTCCCTCCTTCATGACTCTTGCCATGACGGGAAGATCTGTGATCCTTAGGCATGTTCGGTGAGAGGATCAAGTCAGCGAAAGGGGATTGATTAGTTTTCGCTCAATTGAGGTGAACATTGTAAACTGGAGAGCGGCCTAAGGGCCTTTCAACTAAATAGGCATGGAAGAGCCGCATCACACTTCATCGCACGCATATTGGGAGAGTCCGTCGTGTATGTGGTATTGAAGCCCATGCAACCTATAACGCATGGCCATTCATTTTTGGGGAAAGGTGCGACTGCGGCACCACACGGTTGGCTTACAAAGATGAAGATTGCTGCACAGCAGAGTATATATTACCTGGCTGATGATGTGGTGATTCAGTGCCGCTTTGAACATCCCACGTCCTCCCTTGCATGGTGTGATGGCAAGGGAAGCACAAGCTGCATGCCTGTGGCCTGTGGTAGGCGAGTGCAACGCGGCTTTCAGAAATGCCCTCGGGAACTGCATATAGTAATGGAATGAAACCCCATTCGAATTCCAGCCTAAGATATCCAGCCAGTTATCGTCAATCCATAGCATGAACAATTCCGCGATTGCACTACCTCGTAAACCAGTATGCTCTCGACACATGTCGCAACTAAGTTAATCATCAGTAAATGGGCGGTAGCGACCACCTCTTGCCCGCAGCACTATGCGTCGTGGTCGCGGGATGTTGCATCCAAAACAGAGGTCTATGCGCGTACAGCGTGAGCAAACACCAACAAGGCGAGATAGAGATGTAACTTCTAATAAGAGCGCCAAAGACACTAGAAAGCGACGCTCCGCGGCCACCGAATATTCAGTCTATCCAAATTCAGCATATACCCAGATAAGCGAAGCGCTGCCAGTAGACCAAGTCGTACAGGAACCATATAGGTCTGAATGCGCTTTAACGGAGTGCCAAACGCCAGTCGATGAAAACCGAAAGAAAAAACTTCAGCCCAAGAAAGTGGTAGGAACAACAGTTACAGCGGAGGGGAACGACTTTTCAATCCTGAACATGAACAGACACAAGAAAAATCACCATCATGACCTGACAGGCATCAGAAAAGATATCCAAAGGGAGAGCTGGCATTACGACGAAGAGCTCAACACGGAGGACTTGGTGACCACAACGGAAACGGGGGCTGCACCAGCAAAAGACGTGATGCAGAGAATGTCCTTCGAACTCCGGGAATTGAGACCGGAAAATGATATGGGGAGCGAACCTAGAGATACAGGGCGCGAAGAACAGGAAAATGCTGATGAGGTTGGTTATGAACTTTGGGGGGATGTTTTTGAGTCTGAAGTGGGGATGGCTTCACCAAAATCAAAGATGATCAATGATTCGCCAAGATCTGTAGCCGAATTTGAGATACAGCCGGAGAAACCTCCGTCTCCTCGGGGTCTCATTCATCTACAGCAAAAGCACCGGGGTCGTACGATATCCAATTCATTTCAAGAGGGGCTCTTGGAGACTTTTCTCAACCAAGACGATTTAAGCGAGGATGAAGGTAATTCATCCCTCGGCAAAACTACCAACAAATTACAGAGTGCGAGGGTTGGTGTTTTCAGATTACGAGAAGAATGCCGAAGAACGCGTGAAGAGCTCCGCAGGAAAGAACGGGTTAAAATTGCTGCAGACGAAGCTTTCATCAAGTTTGTGAGAGAGAACCTGCAGATTCAAGCTCTCCCAAACAAGTATCATGATGCTTTAGCTCCTGTATTTTCACAACTGGATCAACATTTCACAGCAATGCAGAAAGCTAGAGATGAATACGGACCGCTGGACGACAAATATAATGCGCTCTTTGACAATCTCGATGATAAGGAGTTCAACATGGCGCGAATTGAAGGTCAAGTAAACAGACAAAATCCCACAGGGGCGAGTGTAGAATCACATCAGGTGTCGAAGAAAGCCAGGTCTGCCTCCCCAGACTCTCTGGTCGACATGTCCTGGGAAACAAAGTACCATCCGCTGCATTGCAAATATCTCTCACGACTTGGCGACCTCGAGCTGGCTCTAGAAGAACACGAAATTATGGAGCTTGACTTGGACAACTTTATCTACCAAGACTCGAAAGCACACTCAAATGGTCCCTTCAACCCAGAACTTGAGGCGATCATGAAGAATTTACCAGCCCAGCGGGCCGAATTACAGAGTAGAATCGCCATCATAGAAGCGGAAGTCGAGGACTTGAGAGTCAAATGTTTGGCGGAAGGCATAGACCTCCAACTAAGGACTATAAGCACTGTAGCAAGAGAGAAAAGCATTGAAGAACTGCCATTTTCAGATGAAAACCATTTGGATGTACCCCGTGATTTCTCGATTTCACAAAAGAATATCAGTCATGATAGCCACAGTATGTTCCATTTATTATCCCCCCATCCCGGTGACGGGAGAGGCAAAGACAAATTATTTCGAGAATTGATCACTGAGTTCGACGAGGATAACAAAAGCGACCGAATCAACCGATGGCTCCTTCATGGACTTAGAACCTCTCCATTGGCCCTCGACCTTCTCGTCCAGATTTTCCTGGGTGTTGCAAATATTCTCGACTTAAGCAAATGGCAGACCGACCCCTTCCAGTGGCAACGTAGTGTTTTATCCGAATGGGAACGAGATGCAGCAAACATTCCAGCAGACGCTTTCAATCTGGCAGTGACTCGGAACTCTCTCAGCCATACCTCAAAGACCTCTGAACGTTTCTCTGTAAGGAGGCGATCTGATATGAATAGTCCCAAAGACAAGGGTATGATATATCCAACACTACCTCTGCGACCTTGGAAAAGTGAACCATCTCGCTTAGGTGCGGATATGGGAAAAAGTGCTGGTAGTCTTCAGAAGGGTTCTATTTGACTATTTCAAAGTAGCATTCTGGAAGGTAGACAGGATATAAGGAGGTCTCAAGCAGATACTGATAATAATGGCTCGCTAATTGCCTTCATGTATACTACTCTGTGGTTAGATTTTCTTGTTTTCTATTCTCTCCCACCCTTTTCACTCAGCAGTCACACGCGAAGTCTTTGTTTTCTGTTATTCTAGTGCTTTTTCGAATCAAAGTTTCCTCAGATAGCGTACGGTGGAATTCAATAATGGTATTCGAACTTTCATTTCGTGGAAGGCGTCTGGGAATATGCAGCTTTGGTGCTAAATTTTGCGATACGATAGGAGGTCCTCATTGTACTGTACAACTGGGATCGTGGAACTCGACACAAGTTACGATTGGTTTTCTTACCCGACAGTAGTAACGTACCTGTGGCTCGCATCTCGATCTTATCTCGGATGTGGGAGTGTCCGCAGGTGACTTTTCTCAATCCTTCCTGATCTCGATCCTATGCGGCTCTTTCTTTCCCTCTTCGTTGGTCGCTTCATTTAAACCCCCACGTACTCCGCTAACAGAAATGTTGAGTCATGGAGACACTTTCCGAATCCGCAAATGCCTTGCGACCAATACTTAATCTTACTTAGAATCCTTACCGAGTTTGAATGCCTCTTTTAGAATGAACTTTTTAATAGCAGCACTAAGTCTTACATTTCAGACAACAGCAACCTATAAAAACGGCCCGTCCCACCACCGCGTATCACCACGCAGAAAATACCAGGATAATCCAACTTTCGGATTCAGCCTGTCTTTGGCAACCATATTTCATTCGCGGCGTCGGATAGTGCCCGCCGCACGCCACGAAATAAGCAAAGTTGTTGATGGGCGTGTCGCCCCGCATGGTACCAGGATTCTGTGTGGTTGATTTTTATCAATATGGGATCGTGTAACCACAACACCTTCCAACTATGAGACATTTGAGGCTCTGCGATGGAGTCAGACGACCAGAACCGATATGAGAATGCAGCTCGAAAAGCAGAATAACCTGACGCCATGTGATTGCATGAGCACCGGACATCCTGACCCATCCAACCCATGGAGAATAATCCTAGTACATGCATCGGGGCATCGATTTTTGGCAGGAGAATTTGTAATTTTGGTTGGTTGGTGAGAGATAGTCAGAAATCAAACGACTAGCTATCTCCCCTTCGACGGGTAATACTCGATCTGCTGATTTTGAGATGTGACAGCCAACTCCTCAGATCCGCGACGGCGCCACTCGGTAATTCCATCCCTTGTGGGGGTAAATATTTGATATTGTCTCTAATTTAGTAACGTTCTTATTTTATCCGTCATTACCGTAGTAAATCGAACTTAAGAAGGATGCTGGTGTGTGTGGGTGGAGTACGGAACAGTGTGAACGGGAGTGAACTTGGGGCTGCTACTTGCTAGAAGTTCTTCTTCTTATGATTTGAAGGTTGCGATGATTGAAGGACCCGTAGGAATCTGTTTTCTAAGTGGCTTGACAAGCAGCCTTAGTACTCCACCTAGACACCCCAGCATCCTTCTTAAGTTCGATTTATTACGGTACTGTTTTCTAAACTGCGCTGATTACCAAAGTCCCTTGACACGAATGAGAAGGGAAGGGAGGGGAGGTGTCCTTGTGACTATTTATCACCACTTAGCCTTGTTGTTGTAACTTCTCTCAAGTGAACAGCGATTGATTGAAAGTGTTGCTGATTCCCAAGATATGAAGATTACCCGTTTTCTTCCCACGAAAGTTCTCCCATTCAAAAGCAGTAAAATTTCATCATATACTCAGCAAGGAAAATATGGAAACGGAACCAGAGAAATAGCTACACACGTAATGACGGAGCCAAGGATTCAAACCTCTCGCACTGCTCCCTGAACTTATCCAATTCCTTCACGACCTGGAAAAATACGGCTTTCTGCAACTCGACTTCATCCAATTTGTATGCCCCAATATCAAAGATACAGAGCAGACACTTTTGTACAAGCTTTTGATAGATTCTGTTGAGGCCTGGTTTTCTGCACAGGCCATCACCCAGGTTTTGAGCGGCCTGAAAATCCATGACGCCCGAATCTTTAGATGGATCGTATTCTGGGAGGGCTTGTACAAGTCTTTCGAGTGGAGAATCATTCCCAAGCTCTATGAGAACCACACCAAGGCTGAAGGGAGTTTTATTTCTAGCCAAGTCAGACGCCCTGAGACCATATGAGTACTCTCATCGTCCGAAACATGTTGAGCTAGCTAGTTGGACATTGACGCAAGAATTATCGAGCTGACTAGAGTCCGGTGGGTTGATCTCGTTCTCTGGAAACCAGATATCTTTACTACCCCATGAAGCGTGTAGCCATGGAGTGGAATGGAATCGTAAGACTGCAAGCGATAATAACCTCGCTAGCTTGACTCTTCCAATCAAATCTCCGTCTCTATGCCCTTGCCCTGAAGCATATAGTATCTCTTTCAATGATGGCATGTTTGAAGCCACAGAATGACCAAATAAAGCGGGCGTAGGATTTGAGTAAATGAAATGCTTGAATGTCTTGGTCTTTTCTAAGAAACCACAGCAGTGACCTTCATTGTGCATTTCGAGGTTTTGTTTCGAAAGCATTCGCCAAGTCGCAGAGATAGGCTAGCTACATGGTCAACTTGTCTATCGCACGACCATCCGTAATCTAGATCCTGATGCAGCCCCGTAGATGCTCTTTCCCAGTGGGAGCAGAAAAGTCTATACCTCATATACACCCGCTCCCACTGGGTTTGGATAGTTCGGAAATACGCGGCATTGATATTTGCAGGAGGTGATTGGTGATTTGCTGGACTATTCCCCAAATTGGTCATTTGACGTGTCAACTGCATGAGAACTTCGTTGCATTTTCTCAACTCGTAGACAACGTCAGTAAGCCGGTGCTTGGAGAAACTGATCTTGCTTCGCTGCCTGAATACAGATAAAGAGCTCTTTCCTTTTGCCTTTCAATAAGAAAAGATCAGCTTGGAAACTCTTGATATCGGGAGTTCTTAAATGTGATTCCATTTCGGATATAGCAATTTGGACACCAATTTGGGTCAAATGAATCAACATACCTCATTATCTAGTACATCGTCGAAACCTGACGTCTCCTTCTTTATTTTCTCCAATGTTTCATTCATCAAAACCACAATTGATCGACAGCTATCATATGAAGACCCAATGAGCTCTGCCAGTTGCTCCGAGACTCCTGAATCGCTCCGGTGGTGGTGGTTAGGATCCTTTTGAATTACTACCAGCTCTCCGCCGACCATCCGCAACAAAAGTTGACACTCATTGAGGAAAACTCTCTGCTGAACCTCCAACTTGGTTTTGAAGTTCTTCATTTCTTTACTGTAGCGACAAAAGATAACGAATGGCTCGAATGTCACTTCATAATTCTCTACAGCAGAGACCAGAAGTGGCACGATGCCAATCACGAGACTCAAAACTTCCATTGTTAAAACCTGTGAAGTATTAGATCTCCATCCCTCATAGACAGCGGTTTTCTCACGACTTCAGACCACGTACCTCCGTCAACAGGTCACGTTATCTTTGCCCGCAGCCTCACAACAGTTGTGTCAGAATTCGAAAGCCTCCATCTACTACTTGTTGGAAGCGCTATAGAGCTGGAACGTGAAGATCGTAGGTGCGGTTTATTTGTCTGATTGAGTTGTCTCCTCAACATACTGTGCGCTCTTATGGACGAGGATAATATGCGGAGTGAGGTGTACAAGTGAGAATCTGCTTGCAATGGTGTAAACTACATCATGCTGCACATTTTCATCATCTGGATGCCAGGTAAGGCTGTATGGATGCCATAAAGCAGATCTCCAGCAATAAAAACACCAAATCCAAGTTCATACAATGTAGTATGACTCTATTTTTGCACTTATGGCGGTTATAGGCAAAACGATCGATTTTTTGGCAATTGAAAACTTTAGCCTGTCATAGAATTTTCTTTCAAGAAGTATCAGCCGCATTATGGTCCAGAACGTTAATTAGCGAAACTGACTCTACAAAGTCCCTCCTACAACTACCCTTCCACAATGTGTAATTACTACTACCAGAAGGAATCAAACGTCCGTCATCGAGACTCAGAAGCAATTCTGAGAAGGTCCCATCAAATTCCATCTTTCTTTCAAATAGTGCACTCAAATGCTCCGAGGTGTAAACTTTCCACATGGCTCGTAAACTTAATTGCCCCTAATTTAAGCGAGAACTAGCCGACCAACCACTCCCGACCACACTGTTAGTATCACTCAGTACTCGTGAGTAGTCAATAGTCATAAACTGATGAAAAATCAGTAATTCTTGGCTTCTAACTGCATAGAGAAGCGAAGGTAGGTAGCTAGTCTACAAACGCTTATATGCCAGTACCGGATCACGTGGACAACACGGGACTGTTGCGACGAGTAAGAGACGTGGGTCGTTGCTCTATACTACACACCTCTCGTAGAATCAATTTATTCTAAAAGCGTCGTACAAGTAAAATATTTGTATGAAGAGCTTAGAATAATTGTTACCGGCTAAATTTTATTGGCCTAGGTATACTAATATAATTATCCTACTTGTAAGTTTACTAGAAGTTTGGTATAATAACATTTTATATGGTGTGTACAGAGTAACGACCAGGCATCTTACAATTGAGCTCCAGCGACGGAATAGAAAAACAATCACATTGATTTGAAATTCATAGAGTTGATAAAGTATAAAACCATATAGATAGTTCCGGGAGTTTCGTGGCTCCGGGCTAAAGTACGCTCTCAATAACTTGATCTTGATTCTGACGTAAAATGTTGAGGATCTAATACTTGTATAGTTATATCCTGTATACCCTCGATATGACTTTTCAGGGGTGCTCCAAGTACAGAGAACAGGCTACCAAATTATGCTCGAAACGATTTTCATCGCACACAACCGAGCAATTGTATCTTAACTTGGAATAACTTTCACGAGTTCCACAGGCCTTCCATTTGATGTACGAAACATTAAAGTGCAATTAATTGCATAAGTGGTAAGATAAAAACAATAAGAGAGTCCTGCCAAAGAGTCAAAAAACCATTCCAACGGATCAAGATACAAAACTATGCCCTAACAACTTTACATGAATAACCCTCAGGCCATTGTGCACTATGACACTATCTCAGAATCTCTTCAACGTTCAAACTCTCTTCCGGGGCTCTCTCAAACTCTCCCAAGCCAACTTAATACCAAAGAACACGAAAGTTCCCAAAATAGCGCCCCCCAAAAACCTATCAACACCCGTATTCTTGAACAAGAACGCATGATTAGGGACACCAACGGGTATTTGCCCACCCACATCCTGAGCCTCCCGAAAATGAAAGCCCGAGAAGTTTGCGCTATGAGTGGTTTCCTTGTCTGTGGCGTTTAGGAACTTAACCGGATGTGTAAGATTTGTTGTTTCTGATTCCATCGGGATGTCATGGAGAGCAATATTCGCAAACTCCGTCTCATTCTCTGAGTCCCTGATTCGGACAGGTAGCGGACGATCATCATCTTCCGCCATCTCCCCTTCGACAACTTCCTCCTTTCCACCCCACCACAAGAGCCGTGGCTTGATGACCGGGTTCTTACCAACGGCCTTCGTTATCTTAGTTCCAGGATGAAAAGAAGCGAAATAGGATTTGGCTCGTTGCCATGCGTTTGCCCGAGATTTATCCCATGTGCTTCTTTTCTCGATGGTACCAGCAGGAGTGACGTTTATCTTCTCGAAATCGGGAGCATCCCCTAAAATAAAATGTAGAGGAAGATCGTAGACATGGTTGTCTTCTAGATCTTTACAAAGGTTCCTAGGCTCGACCTTTGGACTGTGGTCCTTCGCAACCTCGTCTGGAGAACTTCGTTCAAATTTGGGCTGGATGACATCTAGCCAATCGAGGTAATCGTAATTCGTCTTGTCGATAGGCGCCATATTTCCTGGATAGTGATGATATCGTATGTATTGGAAACTGAAGAGATGGCGCGTATGTAGATAGCTGGTACGAGGTAGTCTATTTGTATGGAAAATTCCAACAAGTCTGGGAGGTGATGAGAAGAGCGGAAACAAGAAGTTAAATAATACTTAAACTGAGAAACTTGCCTCATAATTGCGAAAATTTTCCTGCATCGTAGTGCTCACCAGTAACACCGTTGAAGAGGCCGTCTTTTCTTGGCAGCCGCCAGTGAAGAATTAGGCGACGTTTGTCTTTAGCGTTACCTACCAAATCCCACAGCAGTCGACGGTTAATGTTGGGTCAATACAAAATCCCAAGCTAAGAACATCAAGTAGCTTCAAGGGAAGCGAGATATTCGTTAGTCAAGACTAGTGCACGTAATGCGATTGGCGCAGGAAACTTGTACAATTTTCAAGATTGTAAACAAACTAAAAGCAAGATGAAATCACGAAGGTAGTAGCGACGATTGAGGCGAAATGGCTCTTTGAGTAGATTTCATACTCGAGTCCCCTTATTTCGTGTATATTCGCATTCATATCATACAGAAAAAACACGCTCACCTATGCAACCATTCATTACACATATTTTGTAATTTGGTTTCGCGCGATGCGTTTCTTCCAATTCATTATTGCTCTAAATTTTCTTCCTCTCTAGACTTTTCACCTTCTGGGCATTCCCCGGCCTCTACCTCTAAGTGCTCTCTGCGCTGCTCCAGGCGGTAAGCCTCGTTGAGGAGCCTGAGGCTGTGCACTCTCCTCATTTCTGATGGTTTCATCGACACTCAAAATCAAACAACTGGCCTCTGTTGCTGCTTGAAGAGCGTTGAGCTTCACCAGCGCCGGCTCCCAAACGAAAGCCTCGAGATTGTCTCGAACACCCTCGTTCACAAAGTCGACACCGGCCCAAATGTTTCCCTTTCTATGCTCAACACGTAACTTGTTTAGAATATCGGTTGCATCAAATCCTGCATTGTCGCAAAGTTGGCGAGGAATAACTTCTAGAGCTTTGGCAAACGACTTGATGATAGCTTGTTGTTTATGTGGTACGTTCTTGTCGGCGTAACGGTGAAGGTATGCTGAGATCTCCATTTCGCACGCACCACCTCCTGCAACAATAGTGTTGTTCTTGATGGCACGCTTGACAATCATAATAGCATCGTGGAGAGAGCGCTCAACTTCAGCAATGAATTGCTCAGCACCACCACGCAGCACAAGTGTGCATGTTTGTGCCTCTGGGCAATCCTCAAAAAAGTTGAAACGTTCTCCACCAATTTGTCGCTCATCGAAACTGCCGCAAGTTCCGAGATGCTCTGGTCGAATATCTGAACAAGTGGATTGTATGGATCCTCCGGTGGCTTGAATAACACGCTCTAGGTCACCGGCTGACACCCGTCCTGCGCAGAAAATATCACGGTCGGCAAAGTATTGTGTTGCTAAATCACCAATGGGGAGTTTAGAAAGCACGACCTTCGCACCGGTCTTGTACAGAGCCTCCATCTTGTTGTAGATAATCTGCCATTCTGCATCAACGATAGCTTGATACTCGGAAACTTGTTCAACTCGGACTTCAGCGTTGTCTTTCTCGGACTTGAGCTCGAGCTCGACGTTTAGGCAAACAATCTTTGGGTTCTTGAAGGATTTTGGTTGTTGTTCGAAACCGGCGTATGAGAATGTCTTCTTGAATGCGACACCGTTGACAAAAAGAGAATCAGTCAGGGAACCACCTGGAATTTTCTTGATACCAATAAGATTTTCGTTGAGGTCCTCCTGGTCAAGGGAAAGAACGGCATCAACGACCACTATGAAATGTTAGCCAACTTTCCCCTCCAAAGGTGAAGGCGGGGGCCATACTCTTGGTGAAAAAGGGGGTATTTCTCTTGATCAGTTTACTGCTCATCGCCGTACCAGCCAATTTGCTCAAGGTCTCTCTCTTGTTGCTATCACTTGTATTGACGGCAATTTCCTTAATCTTGTTAACTGCCATAGTCGAAGCCCTCCGCAGACCCTTGATAATGGTCTGCGAGCTGATTCCTTGTTCAACATGCTCCTTGATCTCCTTCAGAATTTCTCCTGCAAGGACAACCACCGATGTGGTACCATCTCCAACCTCGGCGTCCTGCGATCTCGCGATGTCTGTGAGAATTCGTGCTGCGGGGTGTACGATATCCAGCAGCTATCTGCTATCAGTTTCCAAGCTCCAAAATGGCTCTGCATCTTGTTCGCATACCTTCATGACAGTTGCACCATCGTTTGTGATGGTCTGCCTGCCATTTTCATCCACGAGTAACAAATCTCCACCGTATGGCCCCAGAGTACTTCGTATCGTAGCTTGTACAGCTAAACAAGCATTGATATTCGAAATAATTTGGCCTTTTCCCTGGGACGAATCCGTGCCTACGTAGAAATAAAATGTTAGTTTTGAAAGCTGTGTGAATATTTTCAAGCTGTTGACTGACTAACCCTCTTTCAGCACAATAATAGTTGGTGTCTGACCACCGAAAGACATAATGACGGTATTGGTGAAGCTACCTCGAAAACAATTATCGATAGGTGGGCACTTTTCCTGTTATGCGGGCAACGGTGGTTTTGGTATGGGAATCGTGGGGTGAGGGGGAGGGTTGGCAGAGCTCGACGCTATCAGGTTGCCGTGAGAAAGATTTCGCGGCGGTCGCGACGAGATTGCGTCAATGGCACTCACCGAGTGCCGTAGGCACGTGATGCTCCCCTCCTCCCTATTCTTTGCTTAATTGCCAATTGATAGCTTGGAACACAACTATAATAAAAATTGGAGCTTCTAGTACTAAAAGCTCGCTTCGTTCCTGGGAATACAATGTTAGTGGACCTAACTTAAATTTATAAACTGTATATTGAATGGCCCAAATCTATACTGATGACTTTTTGGGTAGCAGAATACATTTGCACAACAGACTATACACTCTGTCTGTTCTCTTGGGAATACTCGCTAGGAAGGAAGTAGCTTACGAAGACTATAGTCAGAAGCTATTCTAATTAGACAGAAGTGTTTTTATCTATTGCTTTGTGAGAGATGACGGTCTCTCTTTTATCGTTAATCATTATTCACGTAGCTTGGACCTCTTACTATCTTCGAGGAATTAATGATTTGTTCTCTGCGGCGCATTATGTATGCCTTCACAAAGAAGAACCATTGGTATAGCAATCAGTAATACTTGTGGCCATGCTCCTGTGAACACCTGGCTTAGAATAACATTACCTTAAAAGCCTTGTATAACTAAAATGCTTAAATAAATGGTTTAGAACGATCGTAGATTCTCACCTTTTTTCAACCAGCCTATATTACAACGATTAATTTGAATGTGCTAGACGTCTAGTAGAACATTTTTTGTAGTGTATCCAAAGTATTGACCAGATGTCTTACTGCCCAGATAATGAAACCACTGCTCTTGAGTGCGTGGAATCATATCAGTATTGTCTACCTAGATTTACACAACGTTGGGACGCGAGCAAAGTCAATTCGACGAGATAAATAGCCAACTGCAGTGAAAAAGCTATTGATCTGCACTTGAAGATTTCTGGATGCTTTCCATCTCAAGAATGGCTTCATCGAAATACACACTTATTTCATCGGACATCCACAGCACAGTTCAACTTACCCGCAAACTGCCGACCAAACCATACCAAATAAATCGCACGTAATCATCTAAAATATCAATGGATGAAAGAAGTTGAAACATGCCTTGCAACATAATTTACAAAGCTTTGTAAATTATGTTAAGGAATTGTTATTTCGATCCTCGCAGCTTGAATTGGAGCATCGAGAAGACTTCACCCCTGGGCGATCACTCTAGGATAATTTCCACTGTGATCCCTCGGAAAACGAAATTTCTCCCGAGTATTTTATCGCAATTATGATCACATCAACATTAACTGGGCTAGATCCTTGGCCACCATCATTCCCCCGGGTTTCTTTTACGTAGCCAGTCTCCTCACCAAAGCAATCGGTACAGCTGCGAGGCATATACCAAACTTCGGGTACATGATGTACATCTCATTATGAGATTCATTAACAGATCTACTACATTCGTTCTATTCTTCTAGCTCACGGCTCAAGACTGCCTTGCATTTTGCAGTACTACACCGGAGTTCCGCTAGAACTGGTAATGCTACAACCAATCCTTCTCCGCTCTCGATAAACCTATCAAACATTAGGGTCAATTCGCATCAGTAAGAATAGTGTCTTTGGATTTATAGCAAAGTGTCTTATCGTATATCTTTTCTCTCTGTCTCTCGATAGGCGAGATGTATCTGTAATTACTATTATCTTTGGAGACTAGGAAAATTATGTGGACCAGTCTACCAAAGGTCCAAAGAAAATTCCCCGAAAACAATTGATGTCTACAAACATGAATTATTTCTAGCACACTATCAAGATTAACCAACAATCATACTACTCTCCATCACTCTCCTAATCACTTCCACTCACCCACCCTCCAAAATCCAGATTTCCAATTCCATCCAAAGAACAACATAAAACAGCCATTATCCAGGAAAGCACCAAAAAAACACCTCTCCCAACACCAACCCCTATTTCACTTAAATCCGTTAAGCAGACATGAACCAGCGTATCAAAAAATCTAGTCCAAATAAAACATTATCCAAAAATCCGTCGAATAACATGATGTTTCTTTATTGAAAGCCATGAAAACCCCTATCATTTCGTAACATTGACTCCCCACCTTTCACCAAATCAAGTATAAAAGCTACCGCGAAGCAATATCTACGAAAAAAAATACCATCAGATAATTTGTTCCACGACTCATCAATAAGAGAAATGGCACCGGGTTTCTTTTTCAAAACAAACTCAATCTTTTCCAAAAGCGTAGTGTAAGCTAGTCAGCTTCTCCACAACGATAATTCATCAACTCACTCGAGAATGGAGAGGTTCCAACATCACTTTACTGATCTCTGGATCTCCACGGCTATTGAAAACTGTATCTCATTCCCAACTAACGACCTAGTAATCTCCCATAACCCACGTATAAACAAATACACCAGCAAAAAACTCCTCCAAAGACAAAAATACCACCCAACACCCCATAAAAAACACAATCCCCACCATTTACAACCCCGCCAAAACCCCCC